GTACGGGATCAATACAATCGGGTCGATTTGTTGCGGCAATAATCGTTACACCTTTGAGTTTTTCAATCCCATCCATTTCGATGAGAAGTGTAGCAATAACGCGATCGCTCACATTGGATTGACTAAAAAATCAGCTAAAAAGTTCGATTTGTTCTTTTTCTTTGTTTCAGTGGAACTTACGAATTCGTTGAACCTGATCTGGCATTGGCGATGGCATCGATTTCATCGAAAAAGATTATTGCTGGTGCAGCTAGACGAGCACGACGAAATAACTCTCGTACGGCTCGTTCTGATTCGCCCACCCATTTACTAAACAACTCAGGCCCCTGAAAAAGTATTCACACCTACAAGGAAGATGCTCGAAAATTCACAAACCTTCACAGCAAGAAAATTCAGACCCGATTCAGTGGCAATTGCTTTTGCTACCATTGTTTTCGAACATCCCGGCGGTCCGTACATGAGAATGCCTTTCGGGACTTGAACGTGAAGACGTTCGAGAGCGGGAGCATATCTCAATGGCCACACAACCATTTCTTCCAGACGTTTTTTCAATTCATGTTGACCACCAATATCTGACCATTTGACTTTCGGAACTTCGAGAATCACTTCGCGCATGCTACTCGGTCGAATAACAGCTAATGCGCTCTCAAAATGTTTCATTGTCAAATTTCGATCGAGTTCCTGACTTTTTCTGGCATAATGATTGGCTATAGAACTCGTATATCAACAAGGATGAGATCTTTTGAGAATAACCTTACCTTTTCGACAGAGATTCTCCAGATCTGACCCACTGAATCCATGTGTTCGTTCTGCAATGAGTCTTAACTCTTCATCATTGAGATTATTTGTCATACTGCGTAATTTCAGATTTAAAATCTTTGGAAAAAAAACAGAAATTTTCGAATTGATTTCAAAATATATTTACCTCAAGTCGATCTGTTTGATTCGGCACTCCAATTTCAATTTCTTCATCAATTCGACCAGGTCGTCGAAGATCAGTATCGACTGAATCCAATCGATTCGTCGTCGCAATCAAAATTACATTCTTTCCATCTAAATATCGATCTAACAGTTCAATAAATGTTGTTGTCAATCGTCGTTCTAATTGTTGAGTTATCCGCTCTTGATTCGGACAGAGACTTTCGATATTTTCCACAACAAGAAAGTATTTTTTCGTTTTATTCACTGTTGTTTGTGCAAAAAGACGTTTTAATTTCGTTTCACTTTCACCGTAATGTCGACTGTACACATCAGACGGATTGATCGGAACAATCGTTGCTGATATTTCTTGAGCTAGCGCATTGATGAGTGTAGTTTTACCGCAACCTTTCGGACCGTGGAGGAGTATTCCTCGCGGGGGAATGTCATTGAGTGTAGAAGATAATAAAAGATCAGTTAAATCTGATTTTTCTTTCTTTAAACCACCGATGTCGGATAGAGTGAGTGATTTTTCTGAAGTTTTATTCAAAGAGTTTGTCGTTGACAAGTCGAATTGAATAGTAATCGAAGTTGTCGACGAAGATAACTGATAGAGTTTTGGAAGATCATTTTCAATCGAAAGCGAATGAAGAGAATCAACGAGATCTGATTCATCGTTTGGTCGCTCGACACGAAATGATATCGATTGACCAAGATAAACAAATTCAATCTGTTGACCAACATACACGATTCGATTTTCTAAAAGAAAATCAATCTGATCTCCTTTATTCCTCTCTATTAACTCACCTAATTGATGTTTTAAACAGATTGTGATCAAACGGCGTTCATTCGTACTACGTGTTGAACATGCAACAAGCGCACTAAAAATAGAATTCATATCCTTTCCAATGTCAACAATACTTCCTCATTGTCTACTTCAATGTGATTGAGCTTGTATGTCGAAGATTATCTTTTGGAATAGTTCGTAGTTCAATTAACTGCTGTTCGAATGCTTGGTCGAACAGCGAGCGACTGATTGCTATTTGATTATCTGCTATTGTTGAATTTGGCCACACATAGCCTATTCGGAGCAAACGCTGTTGATCTTTAGTTTTCAATGTTAAACAAATCTGTTCATTCCGATGTGAAACTCCGAATAGTCGCATTGTTTCCGGAGAAATGAACACAAGATCTGAGTGCATAAACGAAGGCAGTACTAGATCTTTGAAATACTCTACACGGAACAAGTCTAAGCGAATTGTCTATGGAAATCCTTGATGAACAAACCAGATTTATGTTCTTGTATGATCAATTGAGCTCGATTATGTTCAACGAATACACAAGTTAATTCATCTGAACATTGATGATTGTCTTGAGTGATTGAAAGGGATTTTAAACATTGAGAACACTGTTGCCATCGAAAAGATGACTCAGCTGTTGTTGGATTCAATGAAGAACGAGTTTTAGATGTTCGCATATCTTTGACAAATATCTGAAATATCATTAGTCCGTGTTCTCACTTCTCTCCACGCGATTAAATGATCACAATGATGCTTCTCTTTCGTACGAATGATCTTTTATATGAATAGAAGACACAAAATGAAAAAATAAAGATGAATAAGCGAGAAAAAAGTGTAGAATCTGTACAAAATATCAGTCAATAGAGAAAACAAAACTGTTGCTTTATTTGCTTTGAAATTGATTTGTTGATTTAGTCGTCACTCTCGGAGTCCAAAATAAATTCTTAGCATCGACACGTAATCTTCGTTTATCTTGATAACTATCAAATAAATCTTTAGGAATGGAAAGAACATATGAACCTTGATGATAACGAATTATGTTTAAATTCTGAAGAGCAGCTAGAACATCTTCTTTCTTTATCGCCGTCATTTCACTCAAATCACTATTTGTAAAAGAAAAAAGACAGGGAAATGACATATTTTCAATGAGAAACAGACACTTACTTGATAGAAAGTGAGGGATAATCGGTTTCGTTGTCCTTTGGTTTATGTTTTAACAATGTTTGTAAAATCGCTTCGGACCAATATCGACGATATGACAACAATCCCAGGTCAGATAATGGTTTTTCCGGTGTACCGATTTTGCCTTCTAATTTTGAAAGTGTATAACCTGAAAAAAAAACTTTCGAAGAAGACCGAAAAGCGGAAAGATGAAGTCTTACTGAACTCAATCATGAAATGTCCATAACCTTTCTTTTGATAAGGTGGTAATGTTAATATGCACGACAGATTGTAATCTTCACTTGATTCTTTATCCTGAAAGAGATTTCTCGATTAGGTGATTATTTAATAAGCAAACTATTGATTACTTTTGAAAAATAACCGACAATATGGAAGCCCTGAGCATCGAATTCCGTTAAAATATAGAACATAAATGGATCTGTATCATAGTAGAGTGTCTTGTGATCAAGAAATAATTTTGCTAAGAGGCAAATATTATGTGCATAGGATTTGTTTTTTCGTCCATCGATTTCAAAGAATGATATGGTACCATTACGATAGATTTCGTTACCAGGTGGATGAAATAACGTACATTTGGTCTAGAAAAGTATTGATAAAGAAGAATGATCGGTTTTTAGATTAAGCAAAGAATGTTTTACTCGATGTCGTTTGAGTGCTTCAACATCCTTACAATATTTCAGACAGAATTCACATATATAAACAACAGAGGATGCTGTGAACTCCTAAAATTCTCTGAAGAATGATTTTCATCCAACTTTATTAGAAAATTTACCTCAGGATAAGGAGAAAAGTACCAGGGTTTGATGAAATATCTTCCGAGATGGATCATATTGATATTTTTCACTTTAGTTATTGAGTGAGCACCACTGTGATGTGCATTTCCATTTCCTCGTGCTATTGTCGGTGCTATCGGTGTAGCTGTTGCTGGTAATGGATCAGTTAAAGATGGTAGAGTAGCTGCACGAGATAGATCACTATTCAAAGAATCCGCATCATCTGATAGAAAGAAGGTTGTCGTATTTCCCAATGGAAGTTCTGCTGCACCACTGGCTGCTGCTGCTGCTGCTGTTGTTGTTGTGCTTGGTTGTACTGTTCTTGGTAAGGATGTAACAGGTATTTCGTGTGAAATATTGTTTGAGGACGATGAGGATGAGGATGGTGGTGTCAACTCTTTTAGATTCATTCGATCGACAGTAACCCATTCGTCAAGACGACGATTGTAATTAACATAATGAATATAAAACTCGTGAACACCGTTGATTTCGCGAATACTAACGATTTCCGCAGGAACTAGAAGAAGCATTGATTGAATCAATCTTTTCATGAGAATGCAACCTACCAAATGCTTGTTGAATGTCCATGTAAACAGGTACGAGACAACCTTCGGTCATTTTTGGCTAAAATAAAGGCGAAATAGGAGCAGAATAACTAACAAAATTATTTACCAGACATTGAACAACTTTTGTATCCAAAGGACCGATCGGTTCGAGCGGCGTATCCGTCAATTTGGTTGGGGCCGGCTCGGTGACCATTGGCATTTTTTGCACCATATATAAAAATTTAAAGCACCATATAATCTACAATAATATCAGCAAAGGAAAAAAACGTCTCAAATCGATGAAATGCAAACGAAACACAACTTCACTATTGGATAATGATGAATCATCCCCTCATCAATATGGATGATTATATACACCAATCACACAGCACGCTCAACATGTTTACAAAATCAAGCACTTTTATGAACAAATTTCCATGGTTTGATGCAATACCGATTGAAAGCTGTTCATTTGTGTTGAACAATCGTTTATTTCATCATGAAGTTTTAATACTTGTTTCTGATTGGTTGTTGCGCTCATCTGAGTAATCAAACGAAACGAATGGTTAGAGCCTGAATTGAAGCTTGTTTTGAAATCACCAGAAGGAAAATATCCGCCAGGACACTACTTTCTTTTATGATTCAATGAGACAACGGATGAAAAGGTGTCTAAAAAAATGTAAACGATTATTTCAGTAAATCGATCTTTATGAAACAAGAAATCTTTTGTTCGAAGCTGTTTTATTGACATAGAAGTGGATTTATAAAGAACAGTATCGACAGCATTGATTCTTTTATGAATTGTGATCTTAAATTCTTGCATTCGATTGTTCATATTTGATCGATTTCGATTTCGATAGACTGAGGCAGAAAAAGAAGAAAATAACTAGCTGTAATTGTTAAGCTCATGCACCTTTATGAACTTACCGGTTGGTTTTAAGTACGACCTCTTCCGCAACATGTGAAAACCATCATGCAGCGACAGTACTTGCATGATCATAAAACGATTGGTTTGGTGGAATGAATCAAAACTAAAAACATGGTAATTAAAGCAAGACAATTGGTGTATTTCTTCTAGAAGGTTTAAATTAATCAAAGAACGACTTTATATTCGATTGTATGTCAATAACTTTATCTTCATCTGTTACATACATCGGTTGTTTGCAGTGCTGTACAGAAGAACAAAATTGTAGTGTCATTTTTGCTATCGTGAATAATGTTTTTCAACTAATTGTAGATGAAAAGATGATTCACGTTACAGAATAATATTATCTATCTGTTATAATACAACAAAAACGATATTTTACTTCCAGTATTATTTTAACGGTACAAAATCTAGAAAAGAACAATAATTTTTTCTTTAAGCTTTAGAAATTCGCATGAAAACGATGCTCATTTTGCTAAAATATGTTTTTGAATAATCAGTAGTGTCTAATTCGGAACTTGAATTCGAGTATTCCTACTGACTGAGTCACACGTACGAAGTACACATTGTCTTCTCCTCACCATTTCCAACTTATTTCTTCTGTTTAGATCATTGTCGATAACAAACATTCCGACTAAATCTTTTTCTTTTTCAGATGCAAAATAGTAATCTTCTTCGTCTTTTCGAAGATCTTCTGATCACCACAACCGACGCTCAGCGTATTGAACTTCTCGAACGTATTCACATTGAACTATCAAGTATAACTTCATCGGTTCAGTTCGAGCAGGTTCATCAACATATTCCTTGGACTTATCTTTTCGAACTATTTCGATCGAACAAAAACGATGAAGTAGAACGTCTTCTCTGCTCCATTAGTGAATATTTCATTAACAATTTATCTATCGAGCAGATTATGACAAATTTCTATCCATTGTTAAACACTGGTTTAGATCGTCAAACAGGTTATTCATATCGTGTGAACCTTCTTTGTTTGAAAGCATTTGAAAAGTTAACGCATTGTTCAACATCAGAATGTTTTTATGTTATTCAAAACTTGTTTCAACATTCGCATATCAATGCATTGCTTCATCTATTTCTCGATAGTGATCAACAAACTTTATGGTTAAAATCGAAGGAAATTCTCGAACAAATGATTCGAAATGTTAGTCGAATTGAAAATACTGATGTTTTCAATACTTATCTTCGAGAACAATATTTTCATGGAAACAACAGACAAATTTTACTTTCAGCAAACGAAAGAAACGAAATTGTGAAACTTCGACTATACGAATATTTGATTGATTTATGTTTGATCGATTCGAGAATTTATCAACATATTACCGAAGAGCAACATTTACTTGATGAATTTCTTCATGATTGTACACATAGTGATAATGATGTTTTATATTTAATGAATTGTTTGGAACTGTTAACAACTTTAACACAAAAGTCACATACTTTATTATATTTACAAAATAAAACCAATGTTATTGAACATTATTTACAATTGTTATTAACATCGAACGAAGCCGATGCGTTGTATGAATTGGTTAAGCCGGGTTTTATTAAATTTTTCGGCTGTTATTTACGAAATTATCTTGTTTTGCTTCAAAATAATCTGTCAGAAAATCCGATCAATCAATTACTTGAACGATTTTTACCGTTTCTATTCGATCTGCTACTTCAATCCGATGCCAGTGCGTACGTCGCTATCGGTTTAGGTAAAAAAAAACACGAACTTTTCTGTAGTACATCTTTGCGAAACGCAATTATTTCAGATACAATTGGTTTTATCGGTAAAACACTTCGTGGGAAAGAATACATGTTGACAGTGGCAAAATTCGGCAATTTTATTGAGAAACTAATTCAAATGATTCGCTCTGCACAATCCGATGTTCGGTAAATGATGTAGGAATTCATAATAATAAACAAATTTTTGTTTTCAGCATCCGTTCACTTTCTTGTCTGGCTGACTTATTTCATATTTCATCGAATGATCAAGCAACATCAGAGATTCACAATCTCACCGAACAAATCTACCGTTTATGCAATCGAGTATTTGCAGTCTTGCCCATTATAATTCAAATCGCCAAACAACCGTTTGTTGATTTACGATTGGCTGCATATCGTTGTTTATTCGAATTGACCCGATCAACATGGGCATTATGTGCAATGAATAATGAACCCGGCTTTCTCGAATTTCTTCTCAACCGTTCGACAGAGAAAGACAAAGAAGGAAAAGAAATGAAATATGCAATCATCCAGTCGATTTGTCAGAATAGTGAAGAGGCAAAATCAGCAATTGGAAATGTTAATTTTCTTAAATTGAGACGTTATCTTAACGAAGGCGTTTTTTATATTGAACCCGAAGCGAATGTTGCTTTTGATGGATCAAACGAGTAGGCGCATTGATATTTCTTCAGATTAACAACATTTTCGCATGGTTGGTGAACTGTATAACAGCAGATGTTAGTGTCTTCATTGCGTTGTTAGACTTCGCTTTGTCTAGATACTATTGTTTCCGTTACAGAGAGAGTGGTTTTCTGTTGTTTTTTATTATCTTTGTCTGGCCTATTCTCGTTTTTTCTTCCGAAATAAACGAATACCGAGATACCTCGGATTTGCCTTTTCACGACATCGATATACGGTAGGTTGAATTTTTTTTCCTTTCTTGTTGTGAGTACCATGATGATTTGTTCATTCCCATAGTCGAGACTCACGGCAGAGAAAAGAAAAATTTATTGGCTTATCCGTTTTAATGAGTATAGAGAGATTCAGAGAAATAAGGCGCATATCTAGAGCGAACATACTGTTAATGAACTTATGCGAATCCAAATCTTGACGCCAATACATCATGGGATCTAATATTTGTAATAGTTTTAGTTTGCTACCCTCAAGAAAAGTATCATTGCGTATAGATATAGAATAAGATGACTTACATATTCGATATCGTTATTTGGGTATTGATCCATTGACTTTGAACACACGTCTAGGTACCAATTATCATGCAACTTCAGACAACGTTTATTAGGATATGTGTGTAAGAATCCAACGCGTTAACAGAAATGAATGATTTTCTCTAAATCATCTGTTACGTTGATCCACTGACAAATAGATAAACCGTCAAGATTCGGAAGCGGTGGATAAGACATTGTTCATTTTATCACTTACCTCACGAAAATGTTATTTACAGAACATGAAGGATTAAATGATCGATAATCTAATCTAGAAATTGATCTTTCTAAAATTTAGTATCAATCAAGCCTATAAACATGCGCCCTCTTTCTATGAATCTTCCGACTCATTAAAACAAATGAGCCAATAAATTTTCTTTCTTCTTCTGTTGTATAGCTTACCAATCAAGCAAAAGTTTCGTCAATCTGATGAAGTACCATGGCATACGCCAAAATAAAGAGTCGATGTTTTCTATTCTAGATTAAAATGTCTAGCATTGCCGAACAACTTCAGCAAGTCGTAAACAAAGGTCTTTCGCATAGAGAACTGATGGACAAGTAAAGGAATTTGAAATTTATTGAGAAGACAGCGAAAATTTGAATATCTTAGATTTAAATCGATCCTTGATGAGATCTTTCAAGATTCAAAACAAGCTCATACAGTAGAAAACTTGAAAAAATTTCTCGATGCTGGTTCGTAACTTTTTATTTCGATTTCATATTAAAATCTTCGTTTGCTTATCAGTGGTCGACGATAAAATCGTTTTGGTTGCATCACGACAATTACTAACAGATTTATGTACATCATATCTACCTCGTTTATCAGCGGATCAGGCCAAAGAAGTGTCGTTATACGCACTTGAACGAATGGCTGCACGAGCGATATCATTTGAAGATCAAGTTGGTCAATATCGAAATTTTCTTGCGGATATTTATGAACGTGAAGAAAACTGGCGAGAAGCAGCCAAAGTTCTTTCTGTTGCACCGTTAGAATCCGCCCAAAAGTATGAAAAGTATTTTCGCAATTTCAATTCTTGAATTATTGTTGTTTAGACCTTTACCGCCTGATTACAAATTAAGAACATATCTACGTATCGCACGACTTTACCTGGAAGATGACGATCCCGTTCAAGCGGAGGTGTATATTAATCGAGCATCGTTATCACAGAATGAAACACGCGATGAAGAATTGCAAATTCTCTATCGAGTAAGTCAAGTGTCAAACAGCGATTTTGTGTGTAAATTCATTGTTTTTTAGGCATGTTATGCACGTATTCTTGATTACAAACGAAAATTTGTCGAAGCTGCACAACGTTACAATGAATTATCGCTGAAATCGATTATTAGCAGCGAAGAACGTATGAAAGCATTAGATAACGCATTGATATGTGCAATTTTGGCACCGGCGGGTCCACATCGATCGAGAATGTTAGGAACGTTATTCAAAGATGAACGATCACAACGATCACCCGCTTATTCGATATTAAACAAAATGTACGAAGATTTTGAACTCTATCGTATCATCTCTCGGATATTTCAGGTATTTAGAACGTATTATCAGTCCCCAAGATGCAAAACAATTCGAAGGACTCCTTGCTGAACATCAAAAAGCAACAACAGCTGATGGTAGAAGATAGATTTTGTTTGTAAATAATGAATTAATGACGCTTGTCTGTAGGTTACACAATTCTACAACGCGCTGTGATTGAACATAATCTTGTTGCTGTTAGTAAAATTTATACAAATATATCATTCACTGAATTAGGTGGTTTACTAGGTATTCCCAAGGAAAAAGTATGTTGATTTGTTCGAAAGGAAGGTTCTCATGGAAAATATTCGTTTTAGTCGGAAAAAATCGCATCGCAGATGATCTCTGAAGGACGTTTGAGCGGCTTTGTTGATCAAATTGCATCTGTTTTACATTTCCAAGGTAAACTATGAGCAATTTTCGCAGAAGTGAAAAAGTTTCATCCATCTTTCTTCATAGCAAGCGAACAACTTGCTCAATGGGATCGTCGAATTGAATCATTTTGTGTTCAAGTCAATCAAGTACTTGACAAAATTCAAGCTGTTCATCCTGAATGGTGTGAAAAGACCATGGCAACCATCGAAGCAAAAATAAATGCCACAACAAATGACGAGCACGATACCCCGATGATGGAAACAACAACAACAACTGTTAGATCAATGGATGTTTCCTAAATATTTCTTTACTCATAACTAATCTATATTTTTATTTCATGTTCTTTCCTTCTTCTTCTTCTTTTTTTTTATTTTATATATAAATCCAGACGCGATAAACAAAGCAAGAAAAAACAACGCACAACCTGATACACATAGTTGTATATATATATACAGACCTGCAGGACTGAATTATTTATGATGAATATTTCAAGTGTATGTCAGGAGGATATTTCAATCGAAAATCCATCTTGATCTCAACGAGATTTTCTTTGACGATAGCATTGAAAGTGATTGCAAATTAATGAGTATATTAACTCATTTATCATCAAATGTCTATGAATAAATACTAATGTTAGGACTACCGATCTCGAAAGATTTTTTTTTTCTTTCTTTTTCTTCCATTCTACTTGCATTTTCGTTCTGTGTGAATCGTCGTCTTTTTTTTTTCGACGACCACCTTCTTCGTTTCTTCTTGTAGTTGGTGCGTCAGTTTAGTTTCATAATATACAGAGAAAGAGAACTATGTTTTTCTATTTGTCGTCGTTTGAAGACGAAGAACAACGGCAAGATTGAACTTTTGTCCGATTTGACTTTTTTTTCTCTATTGCTCGTTTGAATCTATGTGTATGTGAATACAATAGAACTAATCCATATAAAACATGGAGGAAAAAAACGGAGACAACGAAGAGAGAAGAGACAGTGAACAATTGACAATACGACAAAATAAAAGTTACAATCGTCGACCATTGTCAAATCGTATGAGTGACAATCATCAAGTAAATCATTTGTTTCTTCTTTCGCATTTCTATTCGCAGCAATTAAGGTCAACAGAAACAACCGACGTAGTGTAACAGTATCCGTTATTGATGATGAGCCTCGTCATCGACCTATGAGTCGTCGATCTGAATATATTCCATCATCGATGAGATCGTCAGCATCAACACAACATATTTCTAATCCCTTCACTGCTGAACAACAAGCACAACAACAACAACAGGCAGCAAATGATGAAGAAACGTCAACATATTCTTTCCGGCATGTAACGAAAAAGCTCCAGCATGCGAAATCACATGGTGAATTGTATCAACCTCATCCTCCTTTACCTCTTCCTCCGATGACGAAAGTTTCCAATGACGAAAATGAAATTAAATATCGAATCAAACATTCATCGAATTCTCCTCAAACTTCTTCATCAACACGATCGCGGTCAGCAACGACCACAATTATACCAATTCTAACTCGCCCAATAATCAACTCTTCCGATGAAACGTTCAGTTCATCGTCGTCATCAAACAAAATTCCGTTATGGAAACGTTTCAAACAAATGATCGTGCCAACCAAACGGAGCAAAGATCCAGCAGTGAAAACATCCTCTGTACCACTTAGCGAATCTTCGACCAACGATCAAAGTAAGACGAGGAATTCAGTAAACGAGGCGCTTTTCGCCCTTTATTATCAAGGGAAAGACACACCTAAACATAAAAAGATAAGAAAAAAAAACAGACGAAAAAGATTGTTTTTTACTTAATCATCATGAAGTAAGCGAAAAAATGAATCATTTTCGTAGATCGAACAGTTGTCGACAATGCCGTGACGAACAATAGCAATCATCATCATCATCAAATTTTGAAAAATCCAATCAAAATTCAAGAACTACGTTCATGGCTAAACCCAAAATCATTTCCTGAACAACGTATTCGCGACGAATATGAAGTAAATTCACTCTTTAACTTTCTCCAAAAGACTTTTTCTTCTTTCCATTAGAAATTACCAACAGAATCCCTTCATCCAAAAACTTTAGCATTTCGTCCTGAAAATAAATCCAAAAATCGCTTCAATGCCATCGAACCTTGTTCGTACATATTCTCCGTCCCCTTCCTTCATCTACACATATTCTTTTCTTTTCAGATGATCATTCACGAGTTATACTTAGACCTTTAATTAGTGACCCATCAAGTGATTACATCAATGCATCATACATCGATGGATATCGAGCAAGCAAATTATACATCGCTGCTCAAGGTTTGTTCATTTTTTCTTCTATCTTACAGACATCCTCATTTAAATTAGATCACACTGCATTATTTCACGTAGACTTTATTGAAGGTTAACTTGAGTTGATTCGATCGAATGACTAACCTTGAGATGTGTATGAATATGACGTTGATCTATATAGAAAAACAATCAGGATTTCCTTGAATTTTTTATCGTCGATACATTTGACATTCACATTTCACCTTGACCCATGAAGAAAGGAAAAACGCCTTTTTTTGGAAATTCTTTTCAGCACCAACTGAAACAACCTTATATGATTTTATTCGTATGATTTGGCAATTACGTATTCAATCAATTATTATGGTTACACGTTTATTTGAAGATGGAAAAGTAGTGTAAATAATCCATATGTTTATGTAAATATTCAATTGATTCTACTCTAGCATAAATGTATTCAATATTGGCCCGACGAAGGTGAAAAACGCATCAATGATTTTCGAATTCGTCTCGATAATGAAGAAAAATATGCTGATTACACAATACGAAGATTTCTTTTATTTAATCAATCGGAGGTATTTCGATGTCAATAGAGATTAACTGAAAGAATTCATCTTCATCTATTTACTTTAGTCGACAGATGCATTAGTAGTTAAACAGTATCATTTTTTATCTTGGCCAGGTAAACAAATTGATACAATCGTGACTTTTTGCATTGGAAAGAGAAAATTTAGATCATGGATGCTTGGCATTATCAACGCCATTGTTGGACCTTCGGCAACGTTTCCGAACGGATTATAAATCATCGAATCCGATACTTGTTCATTGCAGGTGAAGAGTTCTTTGGATTTAATTCGCGAATTTCGATCTTGTTTTGTCATTTGTTTAGCGCGGGTGTTGGTCGATCTGGAACATTTATTGCTCTCGATTCGTTACTGGAACAAGCTGAACATCAAGATATAGTCGATGTTTTAGAATTTACTCATCGAATGAGGTAAATATTTTCCAGTAAAAGTAATATTTACATGTTTATGTTTGAATATTTAGACAAAATCGCGTATATATGATACAAACAGCCGAACAATATGTATTTCTTTACCGAACACTAATCGAAGGGATTGTTACAATGGATACAAATGTTTCATTGCAAGAATATATGACGACAAAGAAGTTCCGTATGGATACGAAAACGCAATACAAAGTAAAAGAAATACGAGTTTTCGTGATGATTGACTTTTGTTTTTCAATTTTGTAGCTTTTAGAACAATTACAGTCAACTATTGAATATTCCTGTCGAGGAGCACTTGAACCTGCGAATATTAATAAAAATCGTAGTGAAACAATCCTTGCCCGTGAGTAACTTTACTATTCCTGTGTAAATAAAGTGCAAGAAAGATCTTTTCATGTTTAGCTGATCATAGTCGACCGTATTTAATGACACAAGTCGATAAAACAACTGATTATATCAATGCTGTTTTTGTTAATGTAAGAATTTTTTTGTTAATTAATCATTGTTCATATACATCATTGAGAGAAAATCTCGTTCACATTAAATTTCAATGTAAAGGGATTTATTACAGGGATGTTCGAATGACAAAAGAGAACAATGATCGATTACATTTAATCTATTCTGATTTTCAATCTTTCTAATCATTGAATAATCATCATGAATCTAATCGAACTGTCATTTTCTGCTTTTCTAGTCGTATCGACAAACTCCAAGTTATATTATCACGCAATTTCCGCTTCCACATACGTGCATCGATTTCTGGCGATTGGTTTACGATCATAATGTGTCGATTATTATGTTATTAGAGCCTATAACACGTGATGTGGTGAGGAATATTAAGGTTTTCTTTTGTATTGAATTCTTCATTTCTTGTCGTGTGTAGAAAACTTCTTACTATTGGTCAACGAATGTAGGGCAAGGAACGTTATTCGGACCATTTGAAATTGTTTTAACATCACAAAAAGAAGACGAACAACTTGTTGAACGAGTGTTTGAATTGAAATTTGTCAACAAGAATGTCTTTGTATGTTTCTAAACTTCACAAATCTGTCGCATTTCTCTTTTCTTCGTCTTCAAGAACAATGATCGATTGCGAACTGTACGACAATTTCAAATAAAGGATCAATCACATTTACTGGTTGTTGTTAAACGTTTCCTGAAAGAAATGCGGACGTATAATGAACAAAATGTTATTTTACAATGTTTGTAAGTCGAATCTTACGAATTCTAATTCTTGAAAAGACAATTTTTTGTAACAGAAACGGTGCGACCTATTCGGGATACTTTGCTGCTTTATGCAATTCGATTGATAAAATGCAAACTGAACACTTAATTGATCCGTTCAAAGTCGTTCGACTTATCCGTGCTGTTCGGCCACAGTTCGTCGATCAAGTAAAGTTTTTCTTCGTTTCAATACACATTTTTTCATCGTTCGTCTTCAATAGGAACAATATGAAACTCTTTTATTAGCAATGCGAGATTATATTCAACAATATCTCAGTACACCGTCGACACGTACAATAGATAATAATTCCTTCTACACAAATACATCTGATCAGGATCAAACATCTATAAAAAGTCGAGTTATACAACGATTATAACACTTTCGTTTTCCCCCTTTTTTTTTCTTTGAGTTTCATAGTCTTTTCTCATTATGCGAAATCTACTCGGTGATATTGTTTTGTGTTTTCAAATCAGAATAAACTTCTAAAATCAGCTGATGAACAATCGGCATAAAATAAGATTCGATTTTACAAAAGATGGAGATTAAAATTTTCATCGAAAAGGGTTGATATACAAATGGAGAAAAATCGTATATTTCGAAAGAAAAAAATAGTTAATGAAAGAAAATTTTCCTTTTTTTTTATTAAAAAACACCATTACGACGATAAAACGATTCTTCGACAATTTTTCCTCGAGCATGAGTTGGTGCTTTGAATTCTTGACCACTTTCACCTAATTTCCATCCATACTCCATTGTATTTGATACTGGATATTGATATTTATTTTCAGGTGGAATGACTTTGCGAAGATTTAAATATTTATAACGGCCTTTTTCTTCTTTGGAAAATCCATCAAATAAAACATCTTTGTGATGTTTATCAGCTGGATACATTTCTTTCAATGCATTTGGATTGTGTTCTAAATCAAGTTTTTTCGCTAATTCGTCTAATGTGTCATTTGGATCATAACGCGGTTTAGGTCGTGGTGGAAAGACAATGGAAGGTAAAGAACGATTAACAGGCTTTTCTGTTGCTTGAGTGTAAAATCCACGTTTGAACCATTCATCATCGTTGGGATTGGGTTTGAATGTTCGATGCCATGAAACGCGTGTCATCGCTTCTTTTTCAATCAATTCTTTCCACGCATTTTGCGTGCGAGTATCAAAGGCCATACGCGTCATGATGATAAATTCGTTCAGAAACTAATTTTGTCTAAAAAGAAAAAAAAATCACACACAATCGCAAGAATGAGACAATAAAAGCAAACGAGAAAAATGATCTGTGCATTTTCATTTCATTTCATTTTTACAAGAAGGTGAATGAGAGAAAGTAAAGTGTGGCACAACAGAACAGTTTACCATAGTAACGAAGGATGCTATGGCATGGTTTAATCGAAGAAAAGGCGCAACAATAACCTATTTCATAAGAAAAAAAATTGAAGGAAAAGAAGAAAAAATTACTCGATGTTGTCTACCGATGAATACCAAAAACAACATCGACAAGAAAATTCTTCGTCACGAACGAAAGAGCTTTAAAAAAAAAGAATAGTGAACACTTTCTTCTTCCTCTTATGTTCTGCATAGTTAAACATGTAATAAATATGCTTCACAATAATAGAATTAAAGATTAACTTTTGAGTAAAAAACTTCTCATGATTGTTTATCTTTTGCATGCGAGTTTGATCTTGAGATAAATCATTTGATTTTCAATATTCTTACATCACGATATTATCCATTTTCCATGTGAACAAGTTATTCACACCTAGATCAAAGTTGGCAACTTCATTTCGTTTCGTTTTCTTCTTCTTGCCTTGAATATTATTTAACATTCGTCATCATTCCTTCTCTCAGCTTCATCATCTTTACATTGACTCAACAAAACGAAGAAAAAAGCTGTCGCACATATTATACATCGATGTTCAATGTTATTGTTGATAAGTGTTATATGTCGAAGACATTATTGCAGCTGCTCGCTTGCTGATTGCATCATCATAACAACGAAATGATGTTGCTCTTTTTAATTGTTATCTTTTCATAAACATAGCTGCATTCTTCATATTTATTCATTGAAAAAAAAGAACTCTTTTTCGGGGTCAAGAGTGACACATTTCAATTTGACTGTATCACTTGGGACTTCCGTCAAACTATTCGAGACACTTGACTGGCACCGGTGAAAATACAATATTTGAAATTTATGTATGTAATAACACCCGGACACGTGGTACTTCGGATATGATGCACATAGTTCGTTTGATTGCATAATTAATTTACGGAAGAAAGAGAAAAGTGAATAGACATGAGAAAATCAAGAGAGGGAGAGTGAGAGAAGGAGAAAGAAAATATTATGCAGAGAAGAGAGAGAGAGAAGTGTCAATCTCAATTAGATAGTTGAGTCGCACATTCACTGATTCACAACACATCATCATACGCTCAATTTCATCGACACGCCTTCTCCGCTGAAAAGATAGTCACAGAAGTGTAAGATGACTTTTGTCCTAAGTCAATTTGGTATTTGAAACGATCAACTTATTTCTTTTTTTCTAGATCGTATTCGAATGGCTCAATCACAAGGTTATAAACGATTTCGTTCTTCAATCAATACTATTTATCATGGTACAAGTACACCACAAACTTCGAATAGCAATAAAATCTTTCCTCGTGCTTCAACACCAAACTCACATCGTAAAGATGAACATGTCGAACAAACAATTCCTGTTGTTCGTACTCCACATTCGAAAGTAACGGTTCATGATAAAGTCCAGAAAAAGCCACGTCAATCTCGTCATTCTCATCGTCGCTATCAAATCTATGTTGATCATATCGTTTTCATTCAACAGCAACAAAAATCCTGTTCACATTGTCATTGTAAGAAAAGAAAATCTCAACACATATTAGGCGTTCTCTAATTTCATACTGCAAATCCACTACTTGCTATCTAATGTTTGTTTATTTTATAATTTTCAACAAATAAATTCGAAAATTTCTTCTTGAATTTATACATATTTTCTTATTGGTACTGAAAAAACCAGTGAGTAACATAAAAAGAAACCGTTAACAACCAGATAAGGCACCGGTGACATGAAGCAAGAAATTTTATCGAAATAGAAGAAATTCGACTGTGTATACGTGTAGATAAATGGTTACAATTAAACAGAAAACGAGAAAAATCATACAAGAGGGTTTCATGACGAATTCAAATTATCCTGAAAGAGCCAGTAGAGACTAACGAGACTCTCACGTGTATGTTCTCCCGTAGTTGTCGGTGGTGACGGTGATGATGCCAATGTTTCCGATAGATTTGTTCCTGAAGAAGCACGTGTTGGAGGGGTTACCACTGGAAAGAAACGAGGAGGATGAGGAGCTGGTGGTTGTGGTTCTGAAGTCACTTGTGTCAATATTTGTGTTCGAGGTGGAGGAGCTCGTCGTCGACGACGATGATAATAAACGTGATAGCGATTACCAGTTCGAATACGATCGACCACAATCGGTGTTATTGAAGATGAATTGGATATCGGTTGTGAATTTGGTCGCTCTAATATGTTAGTAGCAAGCTGACAGAGTTTTTCAATCTTCACATCCAAATTATCAACCTGAAAATTCATTCTATCAATCGTGTCATCATTTCTTCGATAAAGACTTACTTGAGTTTCAATTTTACATATTCTCGATGCTAAACTAGGACCTGATTCGTAACTATCCAGGGATTTCGACGTACCCAAAACTTTATCCAATCTAAATTATATCAATTCCATTGAAATTTGTCGATAATATCTCGAGTTTACCTTGCTTGAAGATATTTCATTCTCGCTAACATATCAACATTGCCTGTTGAATATTGTTCGATCACATCAGTCACATCGTATGGACGTAGAGCTTCACGAAATTTTCGTCTCGCAACATAATATTTGATTTTTCGAACAAATCTAATTGCATTTCGATGAGTTTCGGTTAACGATTTGACATCATTCGCATAGTATAAATGATCTTCTTCATTATCTATTTAATTTCGAATAAAATTGCATCATCAAACGTAAACAACTCATTTTACCTGAAGACGATCCTTCATGTAATGCTGACAGATTTGCTGTTGGTGCCATATTTGCTGTTTCTGTCAGTGTATCGATACAAGAACGCATTGCAGCAACTGTAGAGTTCGGCAAAGGTTTTAAATTGAGATTACTGCTTGATTTTTCAGGGTTTAAATTTGTTGATGATGTTTCACGTGTCGTTCGTCGTCGAAAACTAACTCGATTTAAAAATGATGGATTATTACGTACGCGCGCCGAACTGAAAATTAAATGAAAGATCAAATCGTCTCTATAAAAATCATTTACTTACAGTTGATGAGGATTAGGATGTAATATTGACGAACTTTTCGGTTGATGTCTTGGAGGACGAACATGAACTTTCCATGTGGCTTTCGAAAGGGATTTTTCGTCTGCTGCATAGACACGCCAAAGATTTTGAATTAACAAAACGGCAGGAATTTTTCGTCGTTTGTAATGCTTTTGACGTTGTTGTTGTTGAACTTTCAACGCAAAACCCGAGCCAAGTATACCCTACAGACATTTACATGCAAATATCTTTACCATTAAGAAGAGAATAATTACCGCAGGTAATGCAAAAAAGCTAATGCCAATAAATGAGCAAATAGCAGCAATTAATTTACCCATATAGGACGACGGAACTTTATCGCCATATCCTACCTAGAAATCAATTCAATATGCCGTTATTCGATGAATTTATTTTGAAAGTAAAATGCATCACTTACTGTGCATAGTGTAATCTAAAGAAACAATGGAAATGATTGAGAAGTTCGAAATCGATATGCAATACGTACGATTCCCCACCAGAGCGCATCAGCAAATGTTTCGAATTTATGCCGATCAGTGTCTATTAGATTAGTTATTGAACTTGTTGTCATGAGATTTGTGCCATTACTGATTAGTGTTCGATCTGGTTCGACAAAACTATCTTTCTCGACAAGAAACATGATAAACGAAGAAAAAATAAGCACTAAAAAGCCAATATAAATTGTCGTAATAAGTTCCTTAAAATAATCCCGAAAATCATTATTTTTCTCTTTTCACTAAAGACAAAACACAAACTTGTCGATGTGCATAGACAACCGATCCTAACAATTTCCATGTTCCACCTCGACGATCCATTCTCAGCATACGTAGAATTTGAAAAAAGCGCAAGCCACGCAAAGCCGATGCGGCAAAAACTCCATTTCCACCTCGACTATTCAACGAAAGTGTAACAACAGTCGCAACAATCACAGTAAAATCTAGAACATGACAATCTTTCACATCGTGGACATGTTTTTCAGTACATACCAAGAGCACAAAACGGTTTTTTCATGAAACGTAAGCGACCCATCAAGGTTTGATAACGTGATCGACAGCCTGAACTCCATACACGCAATCCTAATTCAATTGTTAGCCAAATAACAACTAAAATTTCCTGCAAAAAACAGAATTTAGATAGCGGTTTTTAGTGGGCGAATTCATTTACAGTTTGTAGTAAGAAAGTTGAGGCGATCGATTCGTATTCAGGCATTGTAACAACCACCGAAAGAAATAAACAAAGAAAAACAGTCAAAAACCTAGAAAAATCAAAAACAAAACTTGTCATTCGATGTCAGTCCTGATATCCGGTACATTTCCATAAATAATTCAAATGTTATATGAAAACTGCGAAAGTTAAATTGAAAATTGATGAATTTTTCTATAAAATGAGTGAATATTCTGCATACTAATATCGTTTTTTCGTTGATTTATTCAATTGGACAATGCGGAAAGACTAATTATGTTTTCTTTTTCAATCGAATCAAATCTTTTGGTGAGTTCTTCAAACATTTTCATTTCCTAATTATCCACATAAGCATTGCCTACTGAAAGCATCTTCTTGGATCGATGAAAACATGTTTTTATATTAGACTTTGCTAATCACTAATAGATTTCCTTTGTTTCTCTATCCTTTCCTTCTTGCAAGAAAGAAAGAAAACAAGAACGATTTTGATCCGTATTTGGATACACAATAGGCAGTTGGCTAAACTGAACTACAGTTTTGTTTCTATTTGACAGAAACGAAAGAATAAACTGATAATCATCTAGGCGTACATTTACATGAAAGTCACGCAAGTTGTGGAAATTAGAGGGAGAACACAACAAACATAGAAGCAGAAATTCTCGTTTATCGTTTGAAAAGACATTTGAGTGAGAAAATATGTTCAATCAGTGGTTTCTCGGTCATTAAATATACATTGAGATCGCGTGGGATCAATTGAATTTTCATTCTTTGTCGCAACATCTCATCAGACTTGAAATCATTCCGTTGGGAGAAAATCAAAAGAAGAAGAAAAAAACCATTTACGTTTTGACAATCTGATCGAATATGACTTATGATAATGCTTTCAACAATGTGTAGAAGAAATGAAATGATAACTTACACGAATGTATGATATATAACAGCTTTATAACCATGAGGTCGTTCGAGGAAATTGTAGATACGTAATTGTGTTCGTCGATAGTTTGGAGAACGTTTTTGAATCGGATGAAAAACTAAAGGCTTGCCAAGTAGAGAAACACGTTTTTCAAGTAATAATCGACTGTCATTTGCTGATAAACCCACTAATGGTCGATATTTCAATGGTGAAACATAGACCGGACGAAATTCATTATTCAATGCTGTTGTTGAACTCGTTGTTGTTGTTGTAATCGGCATTGTTGACGAGAAATCTTCTTTCATATTGATATAAGTGACCGATGAATGTTGTTGAATACCAAGTCCACCGATTTGAGATACCGATGAACTTTTACAATTAAGAATTGGGGAATCGTTGACTAATGTTACGCACGATGTATGGCTGAGACAAGCTCGATTGTTTTCATAGAATGTTTTCGATGGTGATGTTGATGCGCGTTCTATTTCTATCGTTCCGGTCTCTGTGCTCGCTGTTGTTTCTAATGGAAAGTCGAGAGACAAACTTGGTGATGTTCGAAAAAATTGATCCTTTTGCTGATGATGAGAATAATTGTTACAATGTTCATGGTGTCGCTGCTTGTGTTCATTGTTTTTACTTTCCTCTTCTAGAGTTTTAGACCTTCCATTACTCTCGTCGTCGTTCTCGTCTCCTGTGTAATCGGAATCTCTCTCGTCATCATTATTGACGTTCTGCTTTCCCTTGATTGAAGCTTGCTGAACATGACTATAACTATCCATCGACATATTTTTCTCGCTTCGTTTACGTAATATTGAACGAAGAATTGATATTGATGTTTCTTGTTGTTGTTGTTGTTGTTGTTGTTTGCCTTCTTCTCCTTCGACATGCTGGTCTACTGTTTCTAATGAAACAAGTTTGCAACTTTCATCGTCATCATCATTGGTATCATTGTTTCTTTCGTGATACTTTTTGCGATAATTCATATTTGCTAATCTTGATGTAGCTTAATTAAAGGTTTTTGTTTGAGCTTGTCATTCTAATTCGAATATACACGATCGATTCGATATGAAATCATTGTTTTTCAGATTTGTAACCTAAAGGAAAAAGAAGAGAGAGAGAGAGAGAGAGAGAGAGAAAGATAGGGGGGCATATGGCCGGATACATCGAAATCGACGTGTACATTAACCTCCTTAACAATCGATACAATCCTAATGTTATTAGACACGTATGCGACATCCGGTTTTTTCTATGTTAGTTAACAAAATTGATTTGATTACAGAAAAAACACAAGCGCTATTTCGATCTATTCATTACTTCGGACGTAGCTGTGTTTTTTTAACATGAAACCTTCTCTTCATCTCTACGAAGAACTGTTCCACCTCGGAAATCACGGTCAATCATCATACTCACTGACTTTTACACAAATTAACTCGTTTCTATTTGTTCTTTCAAGCTGTTGTTTGAATACTTCTGTTACACGTCATTTTCTTAAGTATCCTGGCGTCATAACGATATTGTCGCACTTATTCATACTGATATTTACTACTGAAGGGGAAAGGTCTGAAAAGAATCGAATGTGTGAATGATCTACACCGACACTAGTCATCGTCTGGTTTGTCTCAGATGAGAGCTGAGTTTTTCTCTTTCCCTCTGTTTCTTTTCAGTTGCACTCGAGGCTGTTTGTCTTATTTTTTTCGCTCTTCTCACCAAAATTATTTGTCCGACATGCTATACCACTCCTGTTCTTCATAACGAACGTATACATATAAGTATTCCAACAACTTTCTATCTTTGCCTCAAACGAATAATCTTTCAGATCGCTGTCGGGTATTGATCTATATGTTAGATGTATTAACAACAAAAGTACGTTAATGAATAGAGGAAAACTTGTTTGCAATCCAATGAATACTTGAGGGAGTTTCCGGACTTGTCTATTGATCGACCAAGAATCAACAATAGTCTTAGTTGTGCTGAATACTCATCTTTTGCTCGAAAGAATTAATTCTATCATTTAAATTTCTTCGATTTCTCGTAACGAAAACAAACGAATAAGATCGATATATAATGACGAGAAAATGTCATGTTAATCGAGAAAATACCGATGATTTATTGACATTAATCTCCGACAAACTCGTGCATAAATATGTACGATGTGAATAACAATATGTTAAATCGAATCAAGTGAAGTTTTCTCATCGATGATCATTGACTAAATGAAGTTAAAGCTAAATTAATTTTATCAAAAGTAGATAGCGTGTCTAAAGTTGACCTTACGAAGATTAAACTCGCTAGATCATGGATTATCTGATTAATAGGCGATTCTCAGTTTGATTGAGAGAAAATCTGAGTATTGCTGGTGTCAAGAACGATGTTCAATGAAATCTTAACATCCACAAAAGGCTAACGAGTGAACATGCGACAAACTCGATCGATTTTGAAAGAATTAGTCTATTGTGTCAAATATACTTAGATAGATCTTTATTATATTTCTCTATTCGACAGAAAATTGACTAAAAACTAATGAATATGCAGATTTACATCGTGTTTATTCGATCGATGAGATAACTAAGTGTACGCAAACATATATCTAGTGAAGAAAAACAAAATCTAAAGCGCTTAAGATCATGTAATGCTTCTGCGAGAAGCTGAGTGAAGTGTGAAATGTCCCATTCTCGTTTCCTGTATGACTCTGACTGCGATGTGCGTTTTCTTCGTCTTCTTCTGCTTCTCCATCTTTCTTTCCCGACGAACTTCTTTGCCTAGAAAATCAAAACTCGATGAAAAAAGAAAGATTAAATTACTTATTGGACTTCAAAACCAATATTAGTTTCGACTGATGACTCTTCTAGTGCGAACAGTTTCAAATTAAGCTTCGGAAATGAATTTATACTGTTGAATGATATTTCCATCGGAAATATTCTAAATTACAATTGGAACCAAAATCTCGACTGAAAATACCAATGTACTTTCTCTCTACACAAAGAGAGAGAGAGAACAATCTGCTCTCGAGACTCAAAATGAAGAAACAATTGCGAAGAAAAGAAAATAACTATAGGACACAGGATATCGAATGTCATCTTTGATTAAAACGAGAAAATATATCATTAATCGTTCTTCAACAATGAATTTTGACATCATCGATCTTTGATTTACCAATCGGAGCTGCTTCGTTCGATAACAGAAACTGAAAAACAAACGAAGTTTTCAAGTAAAGGATGTTTTATTTTATCGTAGACATCAATAAACAGACTTAAATTTGATATGACTAAACGAAGATCATCCAGTATAAAACATTCTTCAGTTAATTTCCTCAATTACACAACAAGCATTTGTAAGATATATAAACATTCTGTCAACATTCATTTGTCATGGACATATCACCTAGCGGGAAACAAGTTTATTACTTTTGATTGAAGTAAAACGTGAAGCGTGATGAAAAAAGAAAATCATGCGCATAGTCAACGCAGCTCTTGAGTTCAATCGAGATGTTACGAACAGTAGTTTCTCCTTAATGTGGGCTTTTCAGGCTGCGATCAGTGACAATCGATGGCGAAATCTCGGTCACGTATGAGTGGAAATGCAAATTCGTCGATATGAATCAAATTGCTAATCTCTCCTTCGTCTTATTTGGAATTTCAATGTCGACAACTGTGATCACGTGAGATGATAAACCGTAATGATTGATAGAGATATCATTTCGTAATTAGAGTCCGCCGTATGACTCAAACAGATCTGATCGCGAAATCTATGCTAGATTTGTCAATGACACGAATAAATTTGATAAAGATGACGAGTTGAAAATGTTCGCTACAAGTAATTTTTCATTCATTTCGTTAAGACGTATAAAACACGTCGTATAATTACGCTAATGCGTGTTATAAACCGTAACTTTTCTTTTATAACTAATTAGATATGGTTTCATCGAACAAATCAACGCACATCAAATCCGTACAGGACGAAGTCGGTCGTATTTTTACCAATAATTATGATTAAGTTAATTAAATACGAGAAAAAAAGCGTTTCATTTCAATGATCAAACGAAATGTTTATTAACAGTTTTCAATTGAGAAGAAATTATGTTAAACTTCATTAATCGAATGTTCAAACATGTCAGCGAGAGATGAACATTAGATCAAAGACACGCGTTTTCTAATTACTCGTTATGCTTTCATGAGCAATGACAATGAATTTGAGCACATCGAACATCCGAAAGAGAGAAAAAAAGAAACGAAAATCAGCTGAAAAACTTTTCTTTTTTGGGGAATCGAACTCCAATCCCTAAAATACACTCAAATCATTCACATTTCAACTTGACAATGTATTACATATTAATACGTAATGGATCAGTATCTTCATACATATTTTTTTCTTTCTCTTTCCCTCCCTCTTGTCTTCTCCTCGATTTCTCCTTCTTTTTTACCAAATACTACTATCTACCCTATATAAACGAGAGTGACACTGTTCATATAATAAGGTCATGCTTGAGTGCATCTGCTCGCTTTGTCTTCTTACGTGCACATCGCTCATATATCTACCCTCGACTACAAGCCCATATCGGTTCACTTACACATTTTCGTCTACGTAGATTCATTCTTCTTCTTCTTTTCTAACGGACAAAAAAAAAATGAGGTACAGTGAAACAATATGTATAAAAGAAGAAGACTTAACAAAAAATTCTTCTGTTTCTTCTTTCTAGCAGCACAAAAGCCAGGTAAGGTGACGAGCAAACTTTTGAATGACAAAAATACTTCATGTCATTCAGCAGCAGATTAACTAAAAAAACCTGTTTCTAGTACTCACGTTGAACATCGATCAACACGTACTACCAAAAGCGAATCGCATCGAGAAAAAGACTCCCATCGTGATAGTCGAGAAGAAAAATCGTCAACACACACACATTCAGCGATCTCTAATGGATCCTCAACTGATCGTGCTTTCAAAGATAAACATCATCCATTATTAATCGCCATTTGGAACACGGATCGAACACAAGCAAATGTCGATGAAAAACTAAAAGGTCTTCGAGATTTGATCAAAAAAGGAACAAGTATAATGAAACATTCTAAGCAAATTTCTTCCCTTTCACATACCGCTTTCTTTATCGAAGATCCAAGTATCAGCTGTGAAATTTTACATGAACAAACAGGCACACCTATCGCACAAGTCTCACCTTTGATCATTGCATGTTTCGAAGGTGATGTTGATATCATTCGTTTTTTCATCGAAGTAAGTCGAAAGGAAAATTCTCTACTGGAAATTTCTACGTTAAATTCTATTTGTCAAGAATGGTGCTGATCCAAATCAAACCGAAAGTGAACATCATTTAACTCCTATTCATGTTCTATGTGATGCAGAATATCACGGACAGAGTTTACGCGTAAGTTCGATGAACTAATCGGAATATCTTCAATACAAATTGTCTTTTCCTTAGCAAAAAGATCGAGCTGATTTAATCCGTTTATTAGTTAAATATGGAGCACAAGTTAATCATTTAGATCGAAGTTCAATGGCAGCGATTCACAAGTAAATCTCCAACTTGTCGAAAATCAAGGTTTTGTTTTTGTGAATATTTTCTAGAGCTGTTATTCATGATCGACCTGAATGTGTAGAAGTCTTGATGGATGCACATGCTGATCCGAATGTTGCGTTCATGGGTGATACACCATTAAGTATCGCCGCTCGACATAACCGAAGAAAAATTGTTCAGTAAGGAGAAGGAAGTCACTTTGGACAAAGAAATGATTTTCATTTGTATTATTTTTGTAAAGAATTTTATTAGATCATAAAGAAACAAATGTTAATCATCGTAATGACCAAGGTGGAACTGCACTTCATTTCGCTAGTGCTGGTAAAATTTCGTCGTTAGATTGATTTTCGTTAGACGAATCTTCTTTTAGGTATTGTGGATAGTCCTGAATGTGTGGAATTACTGTTACATCATAGTGCGAAAGTCAATGCTCAAGATTTGAAAAATAACACGGCTGCGATGGTTGCCTGTTTCTTTAATAAACCACGTATTTTATCAACACTGATTCGAGCTGGTGCGGATTTAACTGTTCGAAATAATGAAGGTAAAGAAATGAAAATCATATTCGAACAAACGAATATTTGTCTTTCTCCGTTTAGGTAAAGATGCATATGATGTAGCTGTGGAAAAAGAATTCGATGAATGCAAGGAACTTGTCGCCAAAGCGTTAGAAAAACGTGGTATCAAACCAGGTATTAAAACCACTTCGTCAACAACAGCCACGGACAAATTAAGCGACGATGTCGAAAAACTTAAACTTAAACGTTAAATAAACTACTTTCTATTCAATAATCCAGAAAAAAAGGACGAACTATTCAGCACTTATTAGTCAGGGATCGTTTTTTGTCTTGTTTTGCTTTTCATTGTTGGATTTCTTTCTTATTCTTTTGTTTAATTGCATCAAATGTATTTCCCCTGTTTCTCTATTTGATTTCATTGACGCATCTGTTTTACACACTATTGTAACGTCAAACATTTTTTAACCCCTATTGATCGACTCTCACATCAAACTTTAGAGTACTTGAGTGTTATATGTATGCATTTTTTTGTCTTCCATCCGTATTCATTCATACTGACAACATTCTTCCTCTTATAATTTTTTTGTTCTATTCTTTTCAAAAAAAAATCGCTTTACATTGCCGGAGGTCTAATGTGTTTTTGAATTGATTTCCCGCGCGCTCACTTTCTCTCTCTCCCTCTCCCTCTCTCTCTCGTTCTCTCTGTCTCCACTTGACTCATTCCTGCAAGTGTGAACTTTTTTTGTGTATGCGATTGTCATCTCTCGATTTTTTAATAAATGATCTTTTTCGCTCTGCTTGCATAACTTAGAACTTTCTTTTCCAAAGACACAAAAACTTCTCCTTCTATAATAAATCAAACTCGAGCGAATCGACATTCTTCATCACGTCTTTTTTCTTCTTTCTGTATATTAATTAAATCATATACGAACGTATCGATTACCTTGCACTGCAAATGAAAGACACACAAGCGGGATAATAGATTTGATTATTTCCTGAGATATTGCCACTGATCGAGATGTTTAATAAGATTGCCGATGATTTTTTTTTGTCCTCTTTTTCGGATTGAGAATTCTTTTCTTCTTTGACAAGGAGATATTCAAATAAAAATGATTGTCAAAAAAAAATATGAAATATGTAATAAACATCAAGAGGAAACCTTCAATTAAAAGCAAACGGAAAGGAACATATTTAAATATAAAGAAATCTCATTTGATCTCTTCGGAAGTGTTAAGAAATACACAAATGTCAAAAAAAAAGATGCAAACTTATTATTAGGCCGAGTTTTGTACTTGGACTTTCTTTTTTTTTTATAATTAACTAATGAATAGTTTCAAAGAACAAGACCAGGATGGTTCTATTCAACGAGAAAATCTTTTTCGTTTACTTTTGAATAAATCATGATATCGTTTTTCTTAATTGCCATTAATCCGTCTGTTATAAAACATTGTTTTTTTTCTCTTTCAGTGCCATCAATCTAGTGAGAACATCATCAAGAATTCATTTCTTTTTTACTGTTCTCTCTCTTTTTTCCTTTCTCTCGGTCATTTTCAATCGTTTTGCATGAACTCATCGCGTATTTCCTGTCTGGATGTTTGAGCAATCGAGTCAGCGGTATATTAACATTTCTCATAGGAAGAATCTTCATTCGAATTTGATCTTCGATGAGTAAATGGAATGAGAAAGAAAAGAATTCTCTTCTCTTTTTTTTTTTTTGTATATCGAATCGAGTGACAACAAATAAGTGTAGCAAGCAGGAATAAGTTCTAACCAAAAAAAAAAACTTGAAGGAATGATCGAGTTTATCATTCGGTTCTCTTTTTTCCCTCATTCGACAATGACTCCTTTTTTTTCTTCTTTTTGTATGTTTAGCACCAAGCAATTGCAATGGTCCTACGCCAAGTTACTGTTGTTAGAGTGTCATCCGGAATTTGAAACTCTGTTTTCCATTGAAGATGATATGAGAAGAAGAAGAAAAAGAGAGAAAAAAAAAGATAGAACGAAGAGAAGAGAAAAATTCTCTCTAACTCGACTAGAACTTACAACTGCGAATTTATTTGATAGGATAGTGCTCTATTTTTCTCGATAGATAGTTTAGTCTCGAAATAAGATCGGAACGCACATATAATAAAAAAAAAGAAGAGAAAAAAACGCGAAGACGAACAAGAATAGGGGAGAGAGAGAGAGAGAGGAAAAATTCATCACATCTTTCTCTCTCCCCTGTTTCTCTATTTGATTTCATTGACGCATCTGTTTTACACACTATTATAACGTCAAACATTTTTTAACCCCTATTGATCGACNTAAATAAAAATTGAAAAAAAAAACGAACATTTCACTATGACAGCACAATAGAAATGGAGCCATAACAAAATTGAAATCTTTCAAATGAAGAAATGATGGAATCGAGCAATACAACGAATGATCAACAAACACCACCTGTATTACCGATGAATAATAGTAGCAGTCGTCGGAAACAAAGCAAACCAAATCGGTAAGTGTCGAGTCATTTTTCATTTTTTTTTTCAAAAAAAAAGAACGCACGTATAACGATGACAGATGGTCATTGCTATAAAATTTTACAGCTTCATTTATAATCGAAACCAAAATCAATAATGCAAGTAGAAGACTGAAATTCCATTTATCTCGTTCTCCTTTTACCCCGTTGATTCTATACAAAAACATTACATCGAGATGTGTGTCCGAAATTACAATAAGTTCTAATAAAAAATGAATGTTTAGAGAGCAAAAAGAGAAACGCACACATAGAAATTTACACAAATGATAGAGAACGTTAGGACTATCTCACTAATGTTAATAGTTCTACTCTGAGAAAAGAAAAAGAACTGAGACTGTGTGTGTGTGTGCGAGGATTATTGATGAGAAATGCACTGACAACGCACATATAAACGGAAACGAAACTCATCAAGTATTTGCCTCCAACAAACGGACGGACGAACGTTGATAAGAGACACAGAATGAAGAATTTTGATGTTGAAGAAGAAATAGATCAATACAAAAAAAACCTCATGAATAAAGAAAAAAAGAGAATTGCAAACGAACTCATTCAAATGCAAATACACGCATCAATAACTGAGATTGCAGCTCGAAGGAGAAATCAGATGAAAATCTTTGAAAAACTTCACTTCGGTGCAATTATATCGATGGGAATGTTTCTTTATTTACCGTTGTAATCATTCTAATAACCGTTAAAAATCTTTTTTCACGCCTTTCAAGACGTATGAAGATTTAATTAACATCATATCTAATGATAAATAAAGAATTCGACTCGAGAAAGTTTTATTTTAAGCTTTCCTCTCAACTTAAGCTCATCTCTACCGATGACATGAGAAGATTTATGCGAAACCATTTCCAAATTCCCTTTGGGATGAACAGAAAAACAGATTCTTAATTCTTTTCAACCGATAAAAAGCCTCACCGGTCTGATTTAATATTAATAGAATGTCAAAAGTGAACTATTGGATTTATTTTTAGACTTGAACATGTTGTACTGGAATCGACACCTGCTTGTGAGCTTCTGAATAATTCCTCCGCAATTCTTCCACCTTTAACGCAATACCATGTCGCGGCTGAACAGCAGGAAAGTGGACTTGTCGACGATGATTCCGATCGTGTTAGTTTGAATTGTGAAGATGGATCATTGTCATCACATTCGTTAGGTGAACACTATGCCATGGAAGATATTCTCAATCGTTCGCGGCGCCCATCGCATCAACCAGTCAATCGAACAAATGAAAAGCCAGAACGCATGTCGATCGAAGAGAACGAACAAGAAGAACATCGTGGAGCGATCAATGCGTTGGATTTTAGTTTAAAACTAGATGGAACGAACAAACTGCCGATAAATCGTTCACGGACGATGAGTTCCACGGGCAAAGTACGTGCGTTGAAACGAAAGTATCATAATGGAGTAACTGATAATGGAACAGCAGCGATACCAACAAGGATATTTCATGCGGATGCATTTTGTACAATTTGTCGAAAGGTAAAACAAAAAATCTCCGTTTAAATTCGTTCAAAGTTAGTTTTTTTTAGGAATTTTGTAACAAATATTTCTTAAAAACTCAGTAAGTCTTGCAGAAATTTATTTTTCCCAAATGAATTGACCTATTGTCTGCATTTAGTTTGGCTAATAAACATGGAATATTTGATCAACAATCTGTTGTTCCATCGATATCAACTCAAGGAACAAATGATTCAGCCACTGATTCAAATCTTCAACATCCATTTACCGTTATCTCCACATTATTAACTAATAGTCACGAAGATTTTTCGTCGTCACCATCATCTGATCTGCTAGCGAATCATTCAACTAATGATGATGAAAATGAAACTGAACTTAGTTCATTACAACATGAAATGAATGGTGTTATAGCCGGTGATGATGATAATGATAATCATCATCAAACTGATGACGACGATGATGATGAACAAGATGGACTCAATTCGAATCTTCCACAAAAACTTTTATCAAATGATAATTTAATTTCAAATCCTGATAACACAACTGATGATGATGAACACGACACAGTTAACCATTCGCCAGCGAATAGTTTAGACTACCAACAACAAGCATCATCATCAACAACAGCTTCACAATTGGCGAACTTACCGCTAACTCCATCGTCGACAATAACGAATTTATCACGACAATCTTCAGCGAAATTACCCGAAGATTTTTGTGATATCTGTCAAAAACATTTCTGTAACAAATATTACCTACGTGTAAGTTCCTTCCTTGCCCATAGATCCCGAAATATCCAATGTTCTCTTCTATAGAAACATCGATTAGACGTACATGGAGTTCAAACGGATTCGAACATCAAACCCTACAAACGTATCGATAGCAATTCATTATCAACAAAACAATCACCACCATCAACAACACAGTTGTCATCCTCGTTTCCGAATGTGGCATTCAGTCGTATGTTTTCTTTGTCTTTTTTCGAACTCGATTTGACATGATTTCGTTTTCAGCATCATCTGTCCAACAGAGTCTGGGAATGTTACTCAATCCGATCTTTTCGCCTCTCGTTCAATCTCAAACGAGCAATTCAGAACAAAGTTTATTATCATCGACCAAACGTCGTCATACAGACAGCTCAACTGATTCATCGAAAGCACAATTTCCACCATCGTTATTAACTGTTGCGTCAGATGTGGCCAATGCGTTTGCCAGTCAATTAACAAGTTCTTCGACATCAACGAAATCTCATATCAGTACATGTCATCTTTGTGGAAAGAAGTTTCAAAATAGTGACTATTTACAATTACATCTTTTGAATAAACATCAAATCACATCTGATATACAAAACCTCGATATTCAACAACGAACGAAACTATCGAATCTGATCAATTCCACCAACGGTTCGATGAATAGTAGTACGGTTAAGAAGATTAAATTAGAAACTAGTGAAGCACCTGCGACTGGAATTCAAACATCATCATCATCGTCGATTGATTCGATTTCATCACCAAATCCATCAACATCAATGCCAGGAATTGTCGATACGTATTTCGCAGCAAAAATGGCCGATCGAGTGTCATGTGATATCTGTCATAAGGTAACATTTTCCTCCTAACAAATCTCCAATCATCCTCGTTGCTTCGTTTTTTCAGCAAGTGTGTAATAAATATTTTCTTAAAACACACAAGCTTAAGGTTCATGGCGTGGCATCCGATTCACTTCATACCTCGTCATCTTCCTTACCGGTCAACAACTCCGAAGCGCTCGAAGACAATTCCGACCAGCAGCATTCACGTTCCTCGATTGACGGCAGCCCACCTCAACTTGTTGTTGACGAAATGAATACGAATACTGCCGAGCCGGGCGTTATACCAAGTCCAGATGCTTTAACCGCGTCTGTTAATACATATATTTGTGCAACTACAAATCATGATATGATTGACCCATCATCAACAAGTGTTTGTGACATTTGTTCAAAATCATTTCCGACGAAGTTTTTTCATGTTCATATGAACAACGCACACGGAATTCAACAGCAACCGATCTTATCTACAAATGGTTCAGCATTAAATAGCAAAAATCAGTTGATTGTGAATGCAGCTAAACGACCGCTGACGAACGGAAACAATACCGTTCGGTTGAAACAAACACCGCAAGTTCAACTACGCGTCACATGTCAAGTCTGCAAAAAGGTTTGTCGAAGTCAGATTTCTCTAAAACTCGTCTTGACTAAATCTCTTTTAGGAATTGTGTAATAAATACTTTCTTCGTGCACATATGCGTAATGTTCATAATATCTCAGTCGATGATTTACGTTTAACTCAACAACAATCGAACACGTCGAATTCTACACCTCAATTATCTCCATTATCAGATCTTCAATCATCGAAGTCAACATATTCACTATCTTCAAATATTTTATCTACATCTACAACAGCAATTCCAACAGATCTAAATAATTCAGTAACCAAACTCATACGTTCATCATCGAATGACAATGATCTCAATGGTCATTTAACCGATAGTGATGAATCTGAAAATCTACATTTAACAACAACAACAAGCAAGATGCTCACCAACGACAACAATAATAATAATAATCTTCTATCTATGCAACCATTCTTAGTAGAAAGTGATGATGATCTCTACAAAGATCTATTTGTACCATGTATGGTTTATTTACCCTGTCGACATCGAGTAACCAAACCATTAGAAGTTTCACTGCGTCTGAAACCTGTGGATAATACAACATCATCATCGTCAACAACAACAACAACGACACCAACGGCAACAGCTACAATAGCTGATTAAAATATTTATTTCTATTCGCGCATGTATCTTTCGAAGCTCACGTTCAGATATCTTTTAATCTTCTTCTCTCGCTGTCTCTCTCGTCTATATATATATGTTTGTGTGTGTGTGTTGAGCTAGTCTACACATCTACTCTATCTCTCTCGAACAGTTTTTGTTGCAATCCTTATTTTTATATCGCAATGGTCGCTCGGTTTTCCTCATTTTACATCTTATATATGCGAAACGAACGAACAAAACATCCCATGACACACCTCATCTTATTTCTGTACAAAAATCTTCATCTATAATCTATATGTGTGCAGTGCAGTGCAGTGCAGTGTAGTGTAATTCATCGATGTTTGTACGTATCTCTAAATGTGTGTGCAGTTTTCATTTTTCCTTCTTCTTCTTCTTCTCATGACAAAGAACAATGCTTGTAGCTGTTTTCTGTACATCTGGTTTTGTCAATGCTGCAGATTATTTCGTTTCTTTCAAGTTTATCCGGCTTCTATTCTTCGTTTTTTCTTTCTCGTCAATGAACAAAAACATCTATTCATTATTGCTTCCCTTCTACCCGTTCTTCCCCTCTGTGTGTGTGTGTCGTGCAATTGAAAAATTTCGTTTTTTTTAATTGTCATTTGAAAAAAAACCAAATCGAACAATAAGAACAACAAATAATACACATCTATGCCATACAAGTATTTCTATTTGTTGCTGTTCTCATTCACTATATTTCCTTTTTTCTCGTTCTTGTTGTTATGCAGATCTTTCTCTTTTTCTTCTCGACTTTCGATTCTCTTCTGTTTGTGTATTGTTTCTTGCTGTGTGTGTGAATAAAAAAGCACGATTGTGTACTTTCTCGACACCATCACAGGGAAGATAAGTGATGCGTGTGCGAACAAAGTAAACGAATATGAGTTGAATCGATCTGGAGAAGCTGAATGAATTGAAGAAATGCAAATTTTTATTTTAAAAAAATCATTTGAGAAGTTCGAGTGAATATATAAAAGATTGCTTCTTTTGACTGGGAATTGTCATATTGCATTTGATTGTGGAACTTTCTTGGATAAAGTGATGTTTGTTTGTTTGGAGCATTTTAACACGTTGATAAGCAGAAAATCCGTTTTGTTCGTATTCGACTTTGACTGGTCGGTTTTTGAAATTTTCGATTTCAAGGTGAATTTCATACACAAATCCTGTTCGTAATGTGATCTCGACTGATGTTCGAAGCGAATCTTGTTGAACATTTGGATTGATAACAATCGAATTCGTTTCGTTGAACTGTTTCGATGAGATCAATTTCACATTTTCTTTGTAGACGATATCCACATCTTCTCCGATAGCGAATTCAAACTTGTCCTTAGCTGCTAAATTTGGAATCGTCGTTTGACCAACAATTCGATCATGTTCACGAATCATACAGCTAAGAGATAAACAAAGACATGTTTGCTTGTGAAGAGAAAATCTTAGATGGAATTTACCTTCCTTCAGAAAGGAATCGATCGGATCGGAGACGGTAGGCACGTTGTGCTTTGCCTTGTGTCAGTTGTGTGGAAAATGATTTCGAGATGAATCCATATCGGTCGACGGTCGTTTTCGGATGAAACATTGATAAGATGTAAGTGCTTTTGACATCCACGCTGAATGGTTTATTGATGGGAAAAACATATAAACCAGCTAGTTCTTGACTGGGACCAACACTGGGTGGAGCATCGTCAGCTGCAGCAAAATCTGCCTGGGCGCTGAAGGCGAAAAATTTAACTTCGCTCAATCGAGTTTTGCGTAGCGATGGATTAAATCGAAGATTTGAAATTTCTAAATTAATATCTCCACTAATCAATTCACCTTGATCGACTGAGATTGGTGATTCGCCATTGTTTGAAATACTTGCCATAGCAGATAAATCGGAAAAATCATCATACAAAGCTAAGCGATATTGTGTTCTCCAAACGATATTCGACTGTAAATAACTAAGAAAGAGTTGTGTCTTTTCGGGATTTGTATATGTAAAGTTGACAGTAAATTTTGGTTCTAATGGTTCATCGATACGATAAATATCTTCTTTGCGCACAGTGAAATACAATGGTTCACTTGCAGCGATTGATGGATCTTCAACTTTCACCAGATCTCGCTTTTCATCAACAAGAACGGCTTTGATCAATTGAATGCCGTTCTTTTCCGATGATAATGGAGAACGAATGTAAATCTTTGCACCGTCCATTAATTTGCGCTTTTCACTTATCGTTTGTGATGTCACGGTGACATTTTCACCAAAAATCCAGAGAGAATCGCTTCGAATATCTCTCCATTCTTCATTGGTGAATTCCAAAGGTAATTTATCGACAGTACGAACCACTTCAGCGAGATTTGAATAAATTCGAATCGCCGAAAAGTTGTTGGCATTTGTAAACAATGCCCAACAAAGAACGAAACATACAGAAATAATCTTCATAGTGAATAACAACAAGAAATGATACATCTGCTATGATCGATTTAGTTTATATATCCCCTCAGAACAATGTTCGCTTTCGTTCTCTACACAAAAAGGTATAGAATGTTCTCGACGCGTCGGTCTTTTCTCATTTCGTGAAATAAAGAAACGGACGAAAGATACTTTCTTTACTACAGAATCGAATTGACGGAGAAAATAGAAGTAAAGAATAGTCCGTAAAGCATGCGATTAAATCAGAGAGAACATTTTGCTCCAATTACACGAGCTAACCTATATCGAGAACAAATATGCGCGTGGCGATGAAAATGAACCGTAAGTTCCACTTGATCCTGGAGCATTTTTTCGGAATTTATAAGATAAATTGATCTGATATTTGTTCTCAATTAATATTTATTCCATAACTTTCTCTTACACTATATACAGAAACACACGCACAAGTGATATGAAAATAGTGTTCTTTTAGCTTCTTTTTTTTGTGAAGGAAAAAATTGGACTTGAACATTGTGTGGCACATCGTCGTGAAGAATAACAACAACAAAGAAAGACATGTATTTTGTATGAGCAAATATTTCAATTTACTATTATTTCCCATTTTCTGGAATAGGTATCACTAAAGAAACGAAAAAATTGCCTTGTCTAACTCGATATCTCATTTGTAAACGCTCACCAAGATCCTGACTGTATTGATAATTCGCGACGCGATCAAATTCACTACGTTTGTATTTCTCTCGAACATTTGCATGATAAACTGATCGTGGAACATGTTGCATTAACTTGAGAATTTGTTCGACACGTTTATTTAAATCATCAGGTTGATATGGTTGATGTTTATAGAAACGCTTGAGAACTTGAGGTTTATCGATCTGACAAGTTAATTTCAATGCTAATAATAATGACGCAGCAGCTAACAACGATCCCGGCATTTGCTCCGAAAGCGTGTCATCACAAAGAACACATTCAATCATGTATTTGGATAACGAATAGATTATGAAATGAAAAGGTAAAAATCGAAGATAATAACAAAGGAAATGAATTGCTAATGGATATTCTAGAAGAGAATGAAAGTCTTCTATTAATTTCGTTGAATGTTTTTGGAAATTTTACCAAGTTCAAAATCCAGTTGTGTTAATAAATGTTTCTCTCCGTGATTTAAAAGAATCGAAGTGACATGATGTCGAGCATCGAATAATGAAAGTAGAGAATTCGTGTCAGGTACACGACGTGATTCGAGTTTACAAGCAATTGTAAAACAGCTAAATGTTCAAAGATAGGTTTTAGAATAGTTTTCGAGTCGTTCTTACTTCACTGCGTGAAGTTGTAAATCGAGTTTAGTCATTTGATCATTTAGTAAGAGAATTCGATCGATTAAGTGAATTGTTCGACAGAGAATAGCTGTAATTTTGGTAAATAATCGAATGTTTTTTTTTTCGAAAGAAATGACTTTACCTGCGTTTAATCGATGATAATCGTGAACAGAAATGATCCAATCGATAAGTTTACATCGAACTTTCGGTGTGATTACTACTGTTGAATTTGTACCAGGTATGGGTATGCCTTTCACTGGTTTTAAACTATTCGTTGACTCGCGGAAGCGTTTTGATGAACGCAATTTTTCATTTTCCTCCATAAAACGTGCTTCGAGACTGAGTAAGTACTTCATCACTTCTCTTTCATACGAAGTCGTCGATAGAACATCGAAAAATGGATGTGACGAAGATTCTGCTCCATTCACCATTGCTAAAAACATTCAAATCGAATCAAATCGTCTATCGAAACAAATCCATTTACGATAAAGATCGTCTTCATCATCACTTGAATTCTCTTCGTGGATTAATCGACTATCCTGTTCGTCACCTTTCTTTCTTCCGCTATCATCAATCGAAATCTTTGGAGTGAAATATTCCGTCGTCGACACTTGTTCTGCCGGTAATAACATCGTTTCATTAGTTGCTGTTGGAGCAACAATTAGCATTTCATTGAGACGTTCTTGAATGTTTTCAATATCATCCTGAACGACGGTTCGTTTGATCGCCTCAACCTGTAGTTCTGACTTTTTCTCGTTGATTACTACGTTGACGGGTAAATTATGCGTAGGGAGAAGAGTAGTACCGGTTGCCACTCGTTTGACATTCTGCTGATTGTTATTTTCGATGTTTAGTGGACGAGAAAGCATTGGACGTGTTGGTCGAAGGTTTTGCATAGATTCGTGATGACGAAAGGCTGCGTTGTTTGTCGATTTAACATTGATCTGAATCGATTCGGCGTCCGTCGAGGTAAATGATGATGAACGAGGCAACATTCGTATATATACGATTGATAAGTAAATGAGGAGAAGAAACAAACAAATGTAGAGTTAGAGTTAGTAGAACTAAATTTCGCAGACAAAGACACACCAATCAATTTCTTCTTCGAAGCTTTTCTCAATGAATATCGGGCAAAAAACAACAACTCCCACATATTCGATCATTTTTAGTGACAAATTTCATTCCATCCGATTCTTTGAAGATCCGAGACGAACAATGACGACATCTAGTGACCCATGATATCTCGCACATGTTGAATTCATTGAAACAAAAAAACCCAAATAATATTTGTTTTTACTTTTCTGTCGCTCCTTAAGAACAGCAACATCTGAAGTAACGCTATGCTACACGCGAATATATTTTTCTTTTTGTGGTAGAAAAAATCCCTTCTTACACGAGAAATGCGAGTGTTGTTCATAGTGTAAAATTTTCTTTTCTCTTCGAACAAAAAAAAAAAGAAACTCTTGTGGTGAAGTCACAAATATGACCAGCACGGTGAATTCGTATATTAGTCAGATGAATGAGTTGAACATCGAACAGATTCATCGCGATGCTGAAAATAAACTCGCGTATTGGCGGAACGACTCTCACCGAAGAATTAATGAATTTTATCAAGAAAAACTCGAAGAATTACAAAATTATATCACGGAAGTGAAAGCGCTGTATGAAACGAAGATGAGAACTATTGGAAATTACTTAAATCAACTGGCAAATCAACAAGATATGAGTGAAGAAGACTCACGTTTGTTTATTCATTCCACAAATCAAGCGATCCAACAAACTTTAGAGGAATTAAAACAAATCTGTGTCCAAATCAATCCTCATCCAATAATCATCGACGAAAGTGAAATTTGTATTGGGAAAAACTTCAGTCTAAAAAAACTTGCCCGTTGTTCTTCCCAAATTCCCTACACCGAGTCCAGTTCCGCAGCGATTGCGACTAACAATGAATTCATACTATTACACCAGCATCCAAATCTTTGTTTATTCAATCGATCGGCTCAACTAATCAGACAATGCCTCTGGACAGACGAATGGATTCGCGATATGTGTTGGTCAACAACATTGCAACTGTTTTTCATCATCACTTCATCAAAAGTTTTCTTCGCCGATGAACAGATCATGTCGATCGGAACAGTTGACAATTTCTGTAGACAAACATGGTTTTCATGCACTTGTTCGGATAGATCGCTTTATTTATCGACGTACGAATGGGGCTCATCGATCTTTGAATTTAATCTTCAACAACTACCGGCGCTTGATCATCAATGGAAACCGCCCATGACGTGCAAACCATCAGAAGGCATTAACGATATTCAATACAGTAATGAAACTTTGGCGTTGATGGTCAAAGACGGTCAAGCACATGAACGATATTTAGTTGTTAAATCGATTCGAACATTCGACACGATTTGGTCATTTTCATTGGGAAGCTCAACGAATATTCGTTTGATGACGTGTTGTCCTTTGAAAAATAATGAATGGCTTGTCGTGGATGGTGCTCAACTACAAATTTATCATATAACCGGACGTGGAAAAAATGTCGAGAAAATTCATTTTGAGTCAGCACCTTATCGTGCGAGTTTTCTAGGTTCGTCGATGTTAGTCGTGGCATCTGAATTAAGCCTAAATTCCTATTCTATTTGGTTTTAAATGGAAGTTTTTGAATAATTATGGAAATGATATTTTTAATAAAATATATTCGATCATAAACATACAAAATACACTCGATTTTTCTTATCTGATGAATGTATAATTACACTTGATCGAAATAGAACATAAAACACAAAAAATCAATCAATCGGAAAAAGTGTGTTGATGTCAAATGAAATCTTTCATCAGCTGAAAGGAGATACGAATCAAGTTCTTGATTAAAAGGTTATTTTTCACTCCGCGAAAATATGTCTGGTATTCGTGTCTAAGTTGTTCCTTATCGAATATAATGATCGAGAGAAAAGTTTCTTCATTGTTTCTCTCGATGCCAACAGGAAAGCAAATGTCCGAGACACGAACTAATTAACACGCAAATATTTGTCTCCTTCGTGACCTCTCAATCGATTTTGTTACTTCTCCAACTTGCTCAGACAGGTGCGACGATGTAAAATACAATAATTACCATCAAGTGATACTTTTAATTTAGATTAGAAGAAAAAGACGAAATAATCAACCTGATTAGATTTGATCCACTTACGCAAAGTTGAATGCACAAGTCCTTCTAACGACCGGTGAAACAGAATCAGGTAGAGTTTTCCTTTTCGATGTAAAAAGAGTGTTGACGTATAATTAAATGTTTAATGATGGTAACAAACATCATTTGGAGAGAAAAAGTAGAAGTATCATTTCCTTTCCACGCGCGCGCACTTTTTTCTTTGTGCAATAAAGCCATGTCTCTTATGAACATTTTTTCCTGTCGCTGTTTTATTCTTATCTATTTGCATAGTTAATTTATTACCTTCGACAGCGATCTCAATGACGTCAACTGCGAAATTCTGTCGAAAGAATTGTGGTTGTTTTGGAAATTCGGCATTGGATGGACTTTGTTCGCGTTGTTACACTCAACAAAAGAAGAATGACGAAAATCTTGAAGAAGCAACACAACAAGATACGTCTGTTGTCATCAAATCAACAATGCCCGTCGACAGTCTTTCATTGACGGCTTCAACAATAGGAAACAAGACTCGAAAGAAGACGCGATGTCCCAATTGTCACAAACTTTTAGGTATTTTACAATATTCCTGCGCATGCGGTGGTCAATTCTGTTCAAAATGCCGTTATTCCATTGAACATCAGTGCCCGATCGATTACAAAGCTCTTGGTCGACAATTTCTCGTCGACGCCAATCCCCAAGTGATTGCCGATCGTGTTCCCAATCGTCAATAACATGTCTGAATGTTGTTTATCTTATTGAATATCTACTGATTCGATCAAGGTATAGAAAACCTAAGTGTGAACGACCATCGTACAGTAAACAGAAGAAAAACGCTTCACTGTTCGTTGTGACTTTGTTGATAGTTAAACATACGAAAACTTTTGAAGAGTTTTTTTTTACAACGCACATAAGTGTCGCATCGAATAACAAAAAACTCGTCAAGAATAAACCAATACTTTCTCTTCGGTGAGAAAATGTCCGACTGACTAAACGTCGAATGTCTTCTATCTATGTCGCATAAACAAAAATAGACGCAGAAAAGTTTCTAGTTGTATTCGAAAAAAAAAACGCTTTTTTTGTGTTCGCACTTGACACCTACACGTCATTGCAGACGTAGTCCGATGTATGATAGTATTAAAAATAGAAGAAAGGATGATGGTCTGTTCGTGTCATGCCATGGNTAAGTGTCGCATCGAATAACAAAAAACTCGTCAAGAATAAACCAATACTTTCTCTTCGGTGAGAAAATGTCCGACTGACTAAACGTCGAATGTCTTCTATCTATGTCGCATAAACAAAAATAGACGCAGAAAAGTTTCTAGTTGTATTCGAAAAAAAAAAACGCTTTTTTTGTGTTCGCACTTGACACCTACACGTCATTGCAGACGTAGTCCGATGTATGATAGTATTAAAAATAGAAGAAAGGATGATGGTCTGTTCGTGTCATGCCATGGAGGAATAGAGCAGCAAGAAAGAATCGATTCATTCTTAGTCTATCTTTCCTTTTCTTGCGTTTCTTTATTGTTATTGTCAGTGTAATTCGCTTAATGTGGCGAGCTTTTTTTTCTTCTTCACCTTCTTTTTTGGATATTTATTGAACGGTCTTTTGATTGGCAAGACGTGCCCAGACGATCAACACATCTAGACAATGCAAACGAAAGACAAACAGATGTTAATTTATCGATGATTACAAATCAAAGTGTTCAGTCATTCATCATTTCAATGCACTTTTATCTTTCTCTTCAGATCAATTAGCTTTTAAGAATGAAAACAATATGAATAGCCGAATCCTTCCTTCTACGAATCGAACGTTACAAATTCGACTCGACTCATCCACCGATGAGCTGAATAATCTTGTAGACAGTCGAAATAAACCGTTAATTATCATTCTCGCTATTACACTTCCAACATTAGTTCTAATCGGGATCGTTATTTTAATAATTATATGTTATCGACGACGACACGCAACGATCTGGTTGAAAAAGATTGGTAAATTTCGAATTCAACTTGCATTAATCATCTTCTCTGTTTGATTAGAACATTCGAATCGACTACAAGCTATTGTTGTCAATATTTCATCGACTCCTATTCAGCCCGAGTATGATTGACACAATTTTATCTTCTCTCGTTAAAGATTCTCTTCTGAATAGTTATTCGGAGAAGAAACCATCGATTGTTTATCGACACATTCCACAACCACATACTGAAACAATTGTTTATAATCGTTTGGTAAAGAAAAACACGCAGTTTTTGGGAGCGATGATCGAGATTTCTGTCTTGTAGAGTACACCGTCAACTCCCGTCTTTATCAAACCAGATAATCCTATCAAAACACCTATTCGAGGTACAGAATTGAATGAGATTCATCGAATATTATTCTTCGGGAATGTCTAGGTGAAACGAATGCAGCGTTCGATGGATGTTTATTAAAGAATGAACAACAACTTATTCTAAGATCAACACTTCAACAATCGTCAAACAATGGACAACGGATCACATCCGTAAGCACCAAAAGATATTTTACCATTTACACTTCCTTCGTTTTAGCTTCATACAGATTTTCCAACTTCATTGCAAGCACCTGTTCGGACAATAACATCAGCACTAGTTGATGCTATTGCTGCGCATCGCCTTTCATTGCATCTCAATGAAAATCACACCTCATCGACATCATCGTTAGAGACGACAACGAATCGACATTCGGCTGCATCTTCTCTATTGTCGAATACTTCTCAAACCGTGCTTCTTTTCTCTCAGAGGACTCAATTGTGATGAATTCAATTGAATCTTTCACGTCTTTCAACATATCTAAATTATTGTTCTTCACAATTCAATTTCTTTTTCAAAACGTTGAATATACGAAATTTATTTTTAAAAAACATAACAAATAAAATTTTTCATCTGTACAATAATAAAACAATCTCCTTTCGATCAAATTCGATTTCAGTTGAACATCGCGTGCAAATGTCAAACAAATCACTCGGATTCATTAAACACATCAAATCAATGATTTTCATCAATCGAATACGGTCAGTTTCGAAACTCGTTTTTATTCTTTTACTGTTCAATCCACTGATAAACAACTGAATAGGGCACGGGTATTGCAAACAAAAAAAGTGGAATCGAGAATGAAAATATACATGAAGACGAAGAAAACAAAGGACACATTATACATTAAAGAGAAGAAGAAGAAAAAAATAGACATGTTAATTCTCACACTGTATTGTTGGTTTTTTCATCAAAGAAATCTCACTGTTCTTTATTTTCGAAATATATGTCGCTGATCGTCACCGGTCGGAGAAGAAAAAACATCATATTTGACACTGGATGAATAAGAAGGAATTCGCCAAGGAAGACTCGGTTTGGTTTGGGACTATGAACTTGTACTGGTGTCGATTTCATCTTCATCATCTTCTTCGATAAGAACATCGACATGACGACGATGTTTACGAAGCTAAATGTAATGAAAATAATTTCGAAAACGAAGTATATTGAAACTTACTTTTTGAAATTGACAATCAGAAAACAGATCATGAAGAAAACGTTGCGCAGGAATACGTACAGTACTCATGGTTAAAATATAGCAGATCTCGGAATACAAACAAATATTATCGAATATTTGCGGACGACTTTCTTTCCAACTGAATAGAAAAATCAGAGATTAATAAGCAAGTATTGCCGGTGGATTGTTACCTTAGAAGCTTCTTTTCGACTTCTTCTGAATGAATTGCAGCGATAAGACGACTGGCTAAGGATTTGACATCGACAAAATCTGTTTGCATAGTTATATGAGGATTTTCATGTGGTGTAGAATTTGTTGGATTATTGGCACACATCATACAGATATTCAATGATACTGTTGTTTGATTTGCTGGTATGGGTACGGGTGTTGGGACTGTTTGATCTTGTTGAACAATGGCGGGTGACGACGGAGTGAATTCTGTTTAATGTAATTTGAAAATGAAAAAAGTTTAGAAAGAAAACTTTACCTCCAGAACTAGAAGAAGCACCAGTCGCACTTCGTGTACGTGCTTGATCGGCATTTGTATTTCCACGTGAACGTGAACGGACAAGATCCGACCAGGTTTCGTAGTTTAAATTGTAACCATCGGAAATCTATCCGAATAAACATATTAATCAAGATCAAGAAGCGATTGGAGAATCTTTCTTACTTCTACAACTTGCCGAATATCAACAGGAACAGCTAAACCACGATAGACTGTATTATCATCCTCATCTGCATCGTCCAAATCACGTTGTTCCGAAGCATATTTACTGAAACGTATAAGTAGAAAAAAATGAGCGATTGACTTCGATTTCTAATCTTACCCATCCTTGGTCATGAATTTATCGATCTGAAGATCACGTGAATCATGTGATTCATAAATCTTCTTGTACAATATCGATGTGCAGCAATGAAACGGAAGAACAAGATCATCATTTTTTCCTTTGATGGATATTTCCTCTATATGAGATTCATTTGTAGTACTATTTACTAAATGTGAATAGATCGCATGACTGGTTTTCTGTACACGTCGTGCGTATTCGTAACCAGCTGCATCGGGTTTAAGAAGGAAATTACAACGTAATAAACGTGATCGATACAATTCATCTGTTTGTGATGGTTCCGATGCTGCACCATGACCGGCGGTCGGCGCACGTAGCGCTTGAATAACTTCGGGAACTTTTTGTAATTGTTTTGATTGTCGCAATGCACTGGACTGATGGGCGGATTTCGATCGAGGACGAAATCGTTCCAATGGTAAACTATCTGTTGCTGATTGAACAGCTGCTGATTGAGATTGAGAATGAGGTGCGTAATTTCCATAAGTTGGTGAACGAGAATATTCAACGTCAGAAAATGAACCTGTCGCACCACTTGCGATACCGGAATCACGATACACAGCGGTGTTCGTTAGTTCTTTTGATATGCTTGAACAACGACGTATGGGAACACTGACCAATAACGGTGCACCGCCAGGTTCGAGACAGTCAGGAAATGTTACTGTTGCTGTTTTATTCGTTGGAGTTGGTGGACCACTATCTTCAGTGATGATGACTATCGAGTAAAAGAAGAGAGTCGAAATTTTGATAGAGAAAATTGAATTACCGTGATTACTATGTCGAACTTCGAGTTTATCATTTGTATTTGTCGAAATCGTTGAAGGCAAAGTTAATGATCGCTTGGATTTCACATCAGTTGAAGTTGAATCTTTGTGAACATGACATCGAAACAATGGTATCGTCTCTCCATACGTCAATTCATTCGTAAGCGGTTTTACTGGATGATCCGCTGAGTCAGAAATAGCTGGTGATGACGTTGGTGGAGTGATTTGCACTGAAACATTTTTATATACAGAGGAACCTGTGATTACACCTCGAGAAATTCGTCGTTCTGAATTCTGATAGGTATCAGTGTTTGCTAAAGTTGGCGGAATCGAGTGCGATCGTACACGATATGTTTCCCAACCGAAATCTTTCAATGACATAGCACCATCTGGTGTTTGTGCTATTAAGCTAAGTGCGTAGAATGCCGTACTAAAAATAATGACAACAAATAGTATTCGTCGTGATAAATCTTTAAAAGTTTCGTTCTTTTACCCTCGAACCGACAAGTTTTGACATTCTTCAGCAAATCTTAAAATGTCCGGTAACAGATCCTTTTCCATCAGCCATGAACACCCAAGATCTGTGCTCGCTGTATGAGCCAATGCCCATAGCGCTTCTTTAATGATTTTCGTTTCCTGTACATTGATACAATTTGTTCGATGTTGTTTTAACTCGGACGCATATTGTTCTAAACGTGACTCTGTACGTAATAAGTTGAACCCATCGTAGTGAAGGCACAATTGACGATAAATATGTGTTAAAACGTGTGCACTTAATTTTTTCTTTTTTGTTCTATTTGCCGATAATGATTTGCGTCGTTCGAAGTAATCATCACTTAACAACTGACCATCCGAATACGCGGCGAATAGTCTCGTTTCCATGTGATAAACATATTGGGCATTGAAAGTCGAATCCCAATAGGCAAGCTCTTCCCGGATCATTGAAATATGTTTTTCATCGTGTTGAACTTGATGAAATGGAATTGAACTCAAACGCGCAACTGTTAGATGATAAACTGTCGAAAGAAAAGAATTCGTATTCTTCAGAAGAGAGAAGGTGTGCCATTGTTTGTAAAAGATATTGACTAGTCTCTGAAAAATATCTCAGTCAATATCGAGTCGAATAAAAAAGCAGGTCGTTTGCTTACTCGATCTTCAAGTGCTTCGTCAAGAATCGAAGCTGATTCGATTATTACCAGTTGATTTGTGTCATGCAGCTGAGAAACAACAAGAGTTAAACCCCAGCTGCTAAATGCCACCGGATTGGAACGAAGAATTACACGAAGGAGACTGGTACTGTACAAACGAAGGGCCTAAAAATTCAATAAGATCTGAAAAGTGATAACTAAGCTCGTTTCGGATGTTTACCGTGCAGGATGATTTTAAAGCTTGAGATAGATATGTTCGACATGGAGTGTCGTAGTAATAGTTAAATGACGACAAAGCAACAATAGCGGATGTAGCAAATTCATCGTCCATTTTTAACATTTCCGAAAGACTAAAGATGGAAGAAATTTCGTAAAGAGATCCGAGAGAAATTGTGAGGATTTACCGAATAAAGATATCACTTTCAATCATAGCTTGCGTCCCGACTGATGATTTACTCAAACGGCCAAGAAATAAATAGTAATACACACTATTTTTCGATAGCAAATCATGCTCAGTTATTGTAGCTCGAACCGTGCCTTCTTTCATTGCGTTGATTGACTAGAAAAGAAATAAGTTGAGTCGGCAGACAAGCTTTTCATTGAAATACCTGTTGTAATGCTTCGCTAACACTAGTTAAAAGTGTTCGAGCGACGTTGCTTGCAGTAGCCTATAAAGAAAAACACCGAACAATGTCGCTTTTCAGTTGGTTAAGAGCATTTTACTCGAATATGATTAGACGCTGCTTGTGGTGGATAGACAAGAAGGTCGGAGAACGCTAATAAAGCTCGACATGTAACATCCGAAAGCGAATCTATCAAAGCGATATCATTAAAGCCATTGTTCTGCTCTGGTTTGAAAAAATCACATAATTTATCCAAAAATCTAAATGAACACAACCAATTCCTAATCATATCAAACATTCTCCTCTTGTTTCGTTTACAATTCGTACAGATCACCTTGCACCTGATTTGCTTGCTTCGAAAAATCCTATTGAAACAATAGTAAATTTCGTGTGCTGCGTTTATGTCACATTCACGTACTTTTAATAAAGCTAATATCAAATCCCAATTCCATTTTCTGTAGTTATCGATTTGTAATGTATTCGTTTCTCGAATACTGCCATCGATTTTCTCGGCGATCAACTAAAAATTAACGAGAAATCACTCAGCGCTGGAATGAATTCTATCAACATTTAACATGCACAAACACCACAGCGGTTCCCATAGAAACATTCAGTCATGCACAGAGAAACATTCAAGGTTAATGAATAGATTAGTTTTTCTTTTCAAGAAATCTAATGTGCAGCATGTCCAGTTATGAATAAATAGAAAAGGAAAGATGGAAAGGAGAAATAAGAATGTGACACACAAACACAAACCACAAAACAAACCACACTTGTTCCTTCTAACGAATTTCTTTACATTTAACGTTCGAAATGGTGTTGAGAATGACCATTTCAAGAAAGATGGCTAGATAATACAGACACACAAACACAGATTATATTAATATTCCAAAAAGTAAAGAATGTGTAAAACAATCGAGATAAGGATGATAAAGTTGAGTATTCTTTTCTCAAGAAATTCTTCGATTTTTCAAAAAATGCTCACCGGATCGTCAATTGATGGAATCGATATTCGACGAGTGGGCTCTGGAGCAATTGTTTGGGGTAAGGTATAGTAATCATTGAGATGCTGCGCATGATAGATCAATTGGGCTAACTGAAATGAATGGACATGCCGAGTTCGTTGTTTAAATTCGAAAAATGCATTGATATTCAACATGGCTTCCTTAGCAAAACTAAAATTACAATCGATATTAGGCAGACACAAAATATTCCAGCGAAATATACCTTCGTTTGATACTGTCATCATCAGCAATGGCGATATCCATTAGCAAGGGCAAGAGAAGAAAACTTTGCTCCTCCGGCAAATGCTCATTACACTAAAATTGTAAAGTTAACTTCATTTCCATCGAACAAGAAAGCAAATGCGCACCAGCCAGATGAAATTTGCTAGAAGAAGTGTCGCCCGAGTTGCTAGCAATGTGTTATCACTTGAAGCTAGTTCGCTAATCGCCTATTCAAACGAGAACATAATGAGCTGAACTTTGATTTGTAGGATGATTACCTCGATAAAGCCAGCATCAATAAAAGTGAGAAGCATTAATGCCATATGGCTATCAAGCAAGTTTGGTCTATAGAGACAATAAATGAAGGTTTTAAGAAGGAAGCGATTGTTAGAAGAAGTCGATTGGATTAAATTTTCTCAAATATACCTTGTCGAAGATAAACGAGGCAACTTGGCCGCTCCTTCACTGGCGACATAAGTGTAACCTTCTTCCACGGTTGTCAAATTCCAAATTTGATCTATGAATTAGCAAAAAGCAAATAAGCAAAAATTTCATAGTTTAAAAAAATCTATTTACACATTGATCTTAACGCTGTTTCATAGTTATCACACATAGTTGGTACATCGAGATTGAGTAGATCATAGAACAGATCCAAAATTATGATCTAGATATGTTGAGAGGTGAATTCGTTTCGAAAATTCCTTTCAAACATACTTTCATTGCTTCAGATTGAACAAGTAGACAATTGACCAGTAAACGAATTGAAGAATTTCTTGTTTGACAAAACGCCGTAAAACCTTCAATGAACACAAAATCAATCTCGACTGTTTCTCTTAGGAAATCTTTACCAATCCAACTATGTAAAATTGTACTTAAAGCTGATGCACATGATTTTAATGTTTTGATTTTATCTGGTTCTTTGATAAGTAAACTATCAATCCTAAAAGAAAATTCGCCATAGGAAATGTGTCAATTACTGTTTCATTCCTTCTTACGCAGCGGGTGTCATCGCGCGACGTTCACTTGCTTTCAAAGCTCCTTTTTCGCATAGCGAAAAGATAGCAACTAGTTGCTAATGAACAAAATCAAATGACAATCAACGAACGATAGACATCATTTGACTTACACTAAACATATTTCCAATAAGTTCATGTCGTTCGCGCATTCCTTCGTCAACTAAGACCCAAGCCGGACCGTTTGGGTCAACCGCATCGAGAATTGTTGGTTCGCTATTGTCATTAATAGTAAACCGATCTACTGCATGCAACAAAGCATACAGAACGCTCTCGCGCAGTTCATCTTGGTCAAGATCGATAATATATTTCAACATTGTATTTATCGCGTGACACGCATGTAAAACATGTGGATTTTGTAAGGCTAAAGATAGTTTGCCGAATGAAACTGAAATGCGATGACAAGTTTCGTGTCTTACCTATCTCACACAACAATTCTAAACAACATTTGACCATTTGATCTGATCTTACTATTGGCGTTGTGTTTGCTGTTCGAGATGCCGGTGTTGTACTACTTGATGAAACAATTGCATTCAGGACGTAGACTAATGAATGAGGTATACGTTGAGAATAGAGAACAAATAACCGGCGAATGAATTTATAGGCTTCGAGACGTTCACGGGCATTTCTCAGATCGATTGTAAGAGATCTGAAGGTGATAAAGAGTTGAGAAAATCGATTTGGGAGGGACGAACTCACCGGCAAACGAGATAATCAAGACGACATTCAAGAAATTTATCAAAAATAGTGGCACGATGAATTGAATACCGAAGGGCACGTAATGATGCTGCTCGGACACGTTCAACATCACTCAAAAGAAGTATTTGAAGGCTAAACAAAGTCCATTCACAACAAATGATTCCTAAACATTGAATAAATGTCCTACCCATGAATGATACATTCATCTTCATTGTCTATTCGAAGTGTCGAAGCGACATAATATGTCATTTCATTGAGCAAAGTACTGAGCGGCTTCTTTGATGGATCATACGGTGAATATGGCGATGATGCAATCAAAATTTGGTCGCATAAATGTAAAAACCCTGTCATCGTCATCCTTAGATGAATTTTTTCTTCAATTCTATATCGGTTTCATCATACGATTCCACGAGTATTTGAAATCATCTAAAATGATTTGAACAAAGATAATAAAACTTCGGATGATTTTTTTAAGAAAATATCACTGTGATCAGATATCTGGTTTTTTTTTCGTTGTATAGCTGAATTAGTAATAAAGTTTTTTTTTACAAACAAAAAAATAGCTATGATAAGTACAAAATAGGCAAACATAGATTTGTTTGCAAGTTTTTGAGCCAATATTGTTTTTTACATCATGTGCAACAATTGCTCATTGTTTTAAAGTCGTGATAAGAAATTTTCGACATCACGATAATACTCTTGTGGCTGTTCAATGGAAGCAAAATGGCCGCCTGATGCATGATATAGCCATAATTTAATATTTGGATATCGAGCACGTGCAATTGTGCGTGGGACGTAGAGTAATTCATTACGGTAATTGGCAATAGCTACAGGTACGGAAGCAGCTAATGGGCCATAGTAAAGTTTGTCATCATAACCAGAAGCTAATGAAGTAATATGTTCATAATAAAGACGCATGGATGATGTTATTGTTCCTGTTGTCCAATATAGCATAACATTGGAAAGAAGTTGGTCAAGTGTGAAACGACCGAGACCGGAATTGATCGATTGATCAACGTCATGTTGAGTATTACTCCAACGTGACCATTTTTCTAATATATAGGCAGCTAAAAGTGAAGAAAGACATGTTTTTATTAGACAAATAGTATGATTAACGAGATGATTAACCTAAGCCAAGTGGCGAATCATTGAGAGCATAGCCGATTGTGTCAGGTCGAGTAGCCTGTAGATGAAAATAACCACCTTCTTTCCTAAGAACAAAGCAAATATCATGCCGTTTATTCCTGGTCAATTCCTACTCACCAAAGGAATTCGAGATATTTTTTCGCATTGAAACGTTCATCTAAGAAATCTTGTTCGTCAAAATCAAGTAAAATCGTTGGCGTGAGAAAATGAGCAAGTCCTAGTTGAACATAGTGTTTCGCTGTTAAAGCTGGTGTGACTAATGTGATCAAAAGTCCTCGAACATGACCAGGATACAATTGGGCCATATGTGTGCCAATAAACGATCCCCAATCTCCTCCACAAACAACATACGAGCTGTGTCCGAGACGTTGCATTAAGTTTTGCATAATACGAGCCATTTGTGGTGGATTCATGCCGCCTCGGAGTGGCGCGTCTGAGTAACCGTAACCGGGTAATGATGGAATGATTATATCATAATTTCCAGTAGTTGACGAATTGAATTGTCGAGCAACATCGAGATATTCGAGAAATGAACCTGGCCAACCATGTAAGAACAAGATCGCGTCCCTTTTCTTATTCGTCTGCGCATTTTTTCTTACGCGAACAAAATGAATATCCAAACCCTATTGATTAAAAAGTGAAAATTCGTGTAATGAGAAGTAAACTTACGGCAATGTTGGTTTTGAAGTGGCTAAATGTGTTCAATTCTTGAACGGTCTTTTTCCAATCAAAAGTGTTGATTAAATATTCACGAACACTTTCAGCTGTCTGTCGATTAAACCCATAACTTGATTTATTAACATGTCGATTGTCAACAGCGATCTGTGGTTCGTAGAACCTTGTGTTACGCACACGACTTATCATATCATCAACTTGTGATCGATCAAAAGGGACTTGAAACGGTTTGATCGACAAATCTTCTGCATCAGTTGATGGTGAAACCCCTGAACCAAAATATTTTACATCAATTGAATAACACGGTGGACGTCGAGCTTCGAATAAAGTCTTCCATCCATAAATAATAGCAGCGATAAGAATACAGACGGCAATAACACGATTTAATCGTGATAGACCCATCTGGAAGAGAGAGAAAAACAGAAGATGATTTATCTATTTTTGGGTTCAACGCATGTTTTGTATTAAATAGCAAGAAAAAAAAAAGAAAAAGTGAAACGGACAAATAACTAAATGATCTTGATAAACTACACACTGTTCATATAGATCGGATGTTTTCTGTTTCTAAAACTCATTGAAAAACACCAGAAGATGCTTTGACAGCAGCTTCAGCACATTCAACTTCAATTTGGGCTTCCGCTTTTTGTTTTTCATCTTTAGCTGAACCTAATTTTCGTTGCGCTTCAGACAATGCATCTTGGGCTGCCTAAATCAAAATCATCAAATGATGAGAACCAAAACAACGAACAGCTCAGCATACTTTTGTGTCAAGATTTTCTACGAGTGTTGCTTCTTCAGCTAACAATTGAACACTTGAATCTGGGTGAACAGCAACTGAACCACTGCTTACTACAAACACAAAGCTCATGAGCTCATATTATCGAAATAGATTCACTTACCGAAATATCGTTTGGTGTTTCCTTCATTTTCATATACTGAAACGACACCAGGTTTCAAAACACCGAGAATTGGTACATGATGAGCTAAATAATAAAACGGACATCAATCTTCCGGCAACTTTCTCAAATCCAATTCGACGTACCAAGGATACCCATATTACCACTCATAGTAGGAACATCAATTTGCCGCACATTCTTAGCTTGATTGTAGAAGACTTCCGATGGTGAAGCGAAAGTGAAAACCATATCAGCTGCTGATCCTGAAGCTGGTGCTGGTGCACTTGATGTAGCTTGTGTACGTACTGCTACTAGTCGAAACATAGGAGTACGGTTCACATTGCGAAGGAGGAAACGAGCAGCAGCCATAGCCATCTGTAATAAACTAAACAAAGTAGTCTATAACTTCAAATCACGCTTAGGTCGAGACAAAAATCGAAAGATTGAGTGAACATGTTCTTTGTTGATGTTTTTTGTTTCTTATACAAAAAAAGAAATGTTGGATAATCGGAGTAAGGAGCAGACTGTTGGAGAGAAAAACCTAAGACTAAAATTTCGCTGAATGTCTCTAATATAATGATTATTTCAAATATTTGAAAATGTGTGGTGACCACTAAAATAGAGAAAACCAATCAATGAAGGCAATTTCGCGGTTTAACAACATACGCATTCATCGACACAGTGAAGAAAATCTAACAATTCTTCATTGCATGTTTCCTTAGTCCATGGTTTACTATTCACTCTATCAGTACATTGTTGTAAGCGTTGTTTGTAGTGGTCGCATGCTGGTTCATTACCGCAAACTTCTTTCAATTTTGTCAGTGGGTCCTGAGAAAAAACAAACGGAAACCAGTTTATTTGTTTTTCTTGCCGAATTCTTCATTTACCGTGTCACCGATGCCTTTCATTTCTTTTTCAATGTGAGCTTCATTGAAATGATACTTATGTCCACCAATGCCCATGATTTATGCTAGAGAACTTTTCCCGTAATCTTAAGACAAAAAATACAAGTTGTAGCAAAAACAAAAACCTCTTTGTTAAACAACCATCAGAAGATTTTGTTGACGTCAGAAACCTCTAAGACACGCATCCAATCGATCAATACGTATAGATGTCACTTTAAAATAAATACCAACGAATAATTCTTCCACCTACTTCATTCGAATTTTCAGGTGTATTTATTTCATTTTCACACAACAACGATAGTAATCAGCAGTATTACTCATTCCTGCAAAGGTAAGTAGTGACACATACTCATTTAACTAATTGATGAGCAGAAACAGATATCGGTAATTTTGTAATGAAATAACGCAGACTGAGCCTACATCAATGTTAAATTGCGGAGAACTATTCCAATGCGGCTTATACACCTGAACAGATCCTAGGCGCTATCCATGTGGAGCAGAGACGTTCAAAAATTTATATACTAGTTCGGTTCAAATATGATTAAAACGCAATGGATGATGTATTTTTAAAAAGTCAAAAGGCAAATTAGTTAATCTCGAGGGTTCATTGTTGATACTAATTATGCGTAGTTAAATGATAAAGCAATTTTTTGTTCTGGATTAATCGCGACCAGACATGAGCAAAAATTATCATAGACTATGTTTTTCTCTTTCTGTTCCTATATTTTTCTGTTACTTCCTCGTCAAAGTTAATTTTTTCAGTCAAAGAACGTGGGAAACAGAGAGAAATAGGTAAAAATGACTGGGGTATATGACATTTGTGTAGAACACCTGTATAGTTAAAAAGTAAATCGTCAGTTGAAGAAAAAGAAACGCAGATAGAAAAGAAACTTTCATAATATTAAAAGTATAGTTATGTATTGGTTGGCTGAACAAGTGAAATAACATTGATGGAACAATGGTGACGCAGAAAACTACTAGAAAGTCATTTTATCTGCGTCATACGCTTCCTACTTTGAAAAACTATATATTTATATATATTACTTGTAGATTCTCTTCGTAACAGCTCACATTTTAAAAAGAAATTGTTTTGTCATTTGTTCTAGTTTTACTCTGTAAGTAACCAACTTATCAAAACTGGACTTTTCTCATCTTTTCTTTCAGTTAAATCATGAATCAATACTCGAACCCATATAATTCATCTTCATCAACAGTACCACCACAAGGTCCCTATGGATCATATCCCGCTCAACAACCTGCCACTTTCAATCCATATCCATCACAACCAAACGAATCTTTAAGACAATATCCAGCCCCATCGAATGAATATTCTTCATACGCACCACCACCATTTGGTATTTATCACAGTTTTCGTTGACTTCATAGTCTAGAACATTGTTTTTTCTTCTTGTAACGACGTCATTACTTATGCTAATATTCACATATCTACTCATTGTTGATCGAAGAATATGCATGCACTGTTTTTTCTTTAATATATTTTTAGCTGCCAAACAAACGCCTCCTTATGTTGATCCAAATATTGCTGCTGGATATGAACAGAACCAAGTGTCCTTACAACCTCCTCCACCTGTTGAATCACAGGATGAATTTCCTAAAAGTTAGTTTTCTTTGTTCTCTTATTGGTCTTTCGAGTCATCTGCGAAGAAACTTTGTGTTTTGTTTAATTGATCGCTTCTCTTCTTTTCTGACGAACATCTCGAGAGTTGAAGTTTTCCAGGAAATGAACAAACAAATATTTTCATGGAAAAAAACATGATATATATATTTATTTGTTTGTTCATCTGGGTGCAAAATAATTACGTGAAATGAATAAGTTAGGAAATTCTACGCGTATCTCGTTCAATTAAAAAAACAAACTGTGCAATTCGAGTTCAGATGGCAAGTTCATCGAAAGCAAATATATTTCATTTCGATTGAATAGATGACGAACAAATCGCAGCATGGGGAAACTTCAATGGATTTGGAAATAAAGAAATTCGTCGTGCGTTCGTTCGAAAGGTTTGAATGAACGATCAAAGTGAAATTTTCAGTCAATCAAATATGTTTATAGGTTTATGCTATCCTTATGCTTCAATTACTGGTGACATTCGGTATCGTTGCTATCTTTCAATTTACGTACGTGTATAAAATATTTAAATGTTTAACTATTAGTCACAAGCTGCTAGTTGAGCCTGATATATTTCTGAGATGTTTATATAAATAGAACTAACCGGTACTCAGCTTTGACAAAATCATCACTAGAGGCAGCATTTGGAGGTTAAGCTGAGATAAAAGATTCCCGAATGACATTCAATAAACTCTGATAAGTTGTGGAATGATCTATACGTGTTGCTAATGTAATAAAATATAAAATATTTCACTCCATTTTTGTTACTTTGCTTGGTAAAGTAAAGATATAGTGTCATCCTTAGGCGTTACTCGAAAGTTTTCAGGCCAGCTTGTTCTTTTTAATTAATCAGAAGAATAATTGCACCTTTTATCTTCATCAACGGACTTGTGCGACGTTGATTCGGTTATATCAAGCTCGAGATTTTAATAGTTGTTTGTATCTTTGATAGACCGGCAGTTCGTAAATATGTTCAATCTCCTGGTGGTCAATGGGCTTATTGGTCGTCGTATGGCGTTTTTCTCGTTACTTATTTAGCCTTAGCATGCTGTAAAAATGTTGGACGTCGATTTCCAGTCAATCTTATCCTACTCGGTCTTCTAGTAATGAGTTTTTTAAATGATTTTTGCTCCACTAACTATATACTCTTTTCGTTTTTTCATAGACTTTATCAATGGCCTACATGGTAAAGAGGATTTTTCGATAATTTTCTATGAATGATTGACTGTTTTCGATTTAGATGGGTATGATATCGGCATATTATGATATTCAATCGGTATTTATTGCGGTGGGAATAACGAGTTTTGTTTGTCTGGGTGTAACATTGTTTTCATTACAAACGAAATTTGACTTTACTTCTTGTTTCGGCGTTCTGTTTGCTATTTCATTAGCATTGATGGGTTTTGGGATTGCCTGTATCTTTACTTATTCGAAGGTTGGTGATCAATGTTTGAAAATAAGGATATCTTATCAAGTATTTGTAGATTTTGTACACAGTTTACGCTGGACTTGGCGCAGTGGCATTTTCAATCGTAAGTGCATCTGAACTCTTTATATTTCAATGGAATTCTCTATTTTCATTAGTTCTTGGCTGTTGATACACAATTAATCGTCGGTAAGTGAAGAACTTTCTCGAAAATATTTGTTAATCAAATGAATTTCAGGTGGAAAACGTCATGAAATCAGTGCTGAAGACTACGTATTTGCATCAATTATGCTCTATCTTGACGTCGTTTATATTTTCATGTATATTCTCATGTTAGTGGGTAAACGCGAATAAGATTCAAGTACTTAACACGCCAAAAGTGAAATCCGTTGTTATTGTTTGTGAACAGTCCACCTATTTCGTTGTTGTCAAAGTTTTGTCATGATAAATCTCGTTATTTTTCTCAATTTATCTCTTTTATTCGCTATTTTTAACTTATGAAAAGAAATCTCATTTAACTTTCACGCGATATCGATTCTTTTTTTTTCTGTATATACGTCTCACCAAACCCTACCGAGCCTCGTTTTCGTCTTTTCAAGTTTGTGAAGTGCAACAAACAATCGATCAATATTTATTTTTCTTCTTTTTCTTTTTTGTTGTCAGGAGAACAAATTGAACTAACAAATAAATCGTAAGAATGCATTTCTTCCGCTAGGTATCACAAATTCACGCAAGGGAAAAACGATGATGTTCTTATCAGTCACGACCTTACCTAGGAGCGAGATGTACCATCCTTAGTCATGGAAATCGTATAAATTAGTCAAAAACAGAAGACTCGGAATGGCAATGTGTATTGCTTAAAAATCTGAGTAATGAAACCATACATCATTACTGTGCATTCACTCTATTTCTTATTACGTAGTTTGTCTATGGATGTTTTTCAATTAAAGATAATCATGAAACTCAGTTAGATGAAAAAGAAACGGTTTTTCTCTCGGTGCGAGTTCTCATTAGTAGATTTTTCTTTGCCAGTGAAGCGCATAATCAATTCCCCGTCACGTTGTTTCGCTCGAACAGAAAAAGATCCATGCATATCCTCGACACTATTCTTCTTCGTGTGCTGAATACTGTCTGTCTGTTATTTTTATTATTTAAAAAAAAACGATTTCCAAAAGAAAAACAAATTCCATCAAGTAAAGAATGCATTAGAACTGGCATAAGTTAATGTTTACAACAAATGAAGAAATGAACAAGATTAGACAGAGAAAAAAAGAAGAAGAAATAAACAGAAATCTTTATTCTCGAGGCATATTCGACGGAATAACAAAGCCCGGATTGGAATATTCACGATATTTTGCATGTCCAGTGATGCCCGTTGTTGGATAAGGCGCATGATCGAACATATAAACAGGTTCTTCTTTTCTAAATAGAATTTAACGAAATTTTTCAGATGAAATTTGTGAACAACAATCATTGAAATAGCCCAGAGCAACCCGATTATGTGTTTTAGTTTTTTACTTCATCAAAAGTTTCATCATCCGATGTAAACAAAAAACAGAGATAGGTTAGTTGATAAATAATACCTCTAGAGACTGGTTTTTAAAATCCTAATTTCGGATTTTTCATCTCTATGAAAAGAGATTGAGAACGAATGAAATCAAATGAAGAAAGCCTTGATAAACAAAAATCCAATCAATCTTACCGATGATGTGAAGAATCTCGGCAACAAATAAATCCGATCAACATAGTGATAACCACGAGAAGAAGCAAACCAATTGGAATAATCCAAGCAAGCTAAACAAGAAAATAACACTTTTCAAAACAGAAATGCAAATCAGAGTCATACATTAATTAGTGAAAATGCTTGACTTTGCAAAGGTGCGATATCACCTAAATGAAATCAACCGAAATTTTCGAAAATAATGTCATCGAATCTTCTTTACTTCGAGCTTCACACCGATTACCAGCGAATCCTTTCAAGCAATTGCATAAGAATCCACCAACACCATTCGGTGTGCAACTTCCAGCATTTAAACATGGATTCTCTTTACACACATCAACTGCTCGAGTGACTTGTTCTATTGTAGTTGTGATTATCATCTGTATCGTGCTGGTCGTGGTGGTGGTTGGTTCAGAAATGATATCCTCACAACGTGCTCCAGTAAAATACCGTGCGCAAACACAAAGAAAACCGCCGGTGGATGTCTCCGAACATGTGCCGCCGTTAAAACAAGGTAGAATTGAACACGGACTTGGAAGAGTAGTGACTTGCAATGCTAAAAAAAATTAATGAACGGATTATTTTATGATTTGATCGTTGTTTTGATTCGAAAACCTCGTTCACAACTCGATCCCAAATAATTAGACGTGCATGAACATTCAAAATAACCAAACTGAGCATTTCTTTCGCATGTCCCATTATGAAGACAACGTTGTGGCGGACATGGCAAAGCGATTTCACAACGTGGACCTGTATACGCTTCTGTACAAACACATTTATACGATTGAGAAGAAGAAGATGAAGAAGACATAGCAGGAGATGACGTGCATGTTCCATGATGAAAACAAGTTGCTTTACTGCTTAAACAAGGGTCAAGCCAATATTCTAGACATACATAGGTATGCGATAAACATGCGAAACAAAACTGGTTGGTCATTCTCTACTCTTACCTTCATGGCAAGTTGGTCCTGTTCGATCTGGTGGACATGCACAATAACTTCCGGATTCCATAGGAATGCATGTTGCTGATGAATGGCATTTTTGTTCAGTTGAACATGTATCAATTAATGTACAACGTGTACCGGTATATGGTTCCAGACAACGGCAATATGAATTATCATCTAATGTATTGTAACATATTCCTCGACCGTTACAAATTGAGCCCGGGCAATATTTTGAAACGTTGCAATAAGGTTCCAATAGTTGATTGTCGTTGCACAAACAAACAAAACCATCTTGAACGCTTAAACAAACCGATTCAGGATGTGGACATGGATTAGAATAACATGGACCTATGGTTATATCACAATTTCGACCCATATAACCAGGTGGACAGCGACATTCCATTTGTCCATTATGGTTAACATAACAAGATCCACCATTTAAACAGTATCCTGAATAACATTGATTGGAACGATCACGCGATTGAACTTGACAGTGTTTGCCAGCAAAACCTGCTCGACATTGACAAATATAATCATTGGTCCCATTACGTTGCTCACATCGACCTTGGTTGAGGCATGGTGATTGCAAACAGGAATTAATGACTTCACATCGTCCTGTTGGAGGTAATTTTTCTTTATCAATTGTCCATGTATAACCATCCATGCAAGCGCAACGTCGTTCAGGAAAACAAACTAGACCAAGTGAAGTGTCACAATCCGTTGCACGAACACAAGCACTATGAAACGAGCCGTAACGATTTATTGTTGGAACGATATCTACAAAGAAAAACCTGACTTCTCGGAATTCTATTTGAGAATTTTAACGAACCTTGACAGTTTTTTCCTGTATGAACTTGATCACATACACATTTATATGCATAATCATTGATACGATAACAAGTACTATTTCTACAAACGAAGAACAATTTTTCATGCTCATCTTCATTGGGCAAAGTTTTTCATACCCGATGCATGGTTGTATTTGGCACGGATCATAATGGTCGCATTGACTACCGATTCGATTCGGTGGACATTTACATACAAATCTCGTTCCATTTCGTATACAAGTTCCGCCCATGTAGCACGGTTGAGACGCACATGGTGATATATGTTCACAGAAATCACCATAGAACCGTGATTCGTCACAATGGCATAATGCTGTGGAATTATCTGCTTGAATCATACAGCGACCGCCGTGCTGACATGGACACATTAGTTCGCATTGTTCGCCATATTGATTCGGAGGACATTTACATGTCAATGTAGTCAGTTTTGATGCATCACATACAGCTTTCGGTGTTAAACATGTGTCCGAACGACATTGACAAGCAAACGAACCGTTCTCAGGAAATGAAATACAACTACCACGTGGACAAACATCCGGTAGAAGACATGGATCGACTAAATTTCAATTAAGATAAATAGGATTGAACAGGTCTTCTCTCCGACTCACTATGTTCACAATTGATCCCAATTCGACCTGATGGACATAAACATTGATAAGAAGCATTCATCGATGATAATGAATTTTCACGACAAGTTCCACCGAATTCGCATGGATTACTTCGACAAGCGAATGTTGCCTTTGATAAACTCGCGTTACTCACATTACCTAGAAAATACGAAAGCTCTTTTTCTGATATTCAATCTGTTCGCCATGTTCATCATACTCGAAATCTTTCGTTCTGTGCTATTTAGAGCATAAACTGAATTGCAAAGATATCCGCCACATGTTTCATTAAGTTGTCCAGCACATGTCCATGAACAACAATTGGCAATATCGTCATCTTCATGTTCTCTTTTCATTTTCTTCGGTAAACTATTTCCACAATAGCATTCTGATCTAAATTCACCAATCGTTTGTTCGCCTTTGACTTTATCAAGATTAATATTTCGTACCTAAACTGAAGTCCGGCAAAACTGAACTCGTGTTCTGTACAATAATTCGTACACAGAGCAACCGTCATCGATGATGATGTCAATGGTTTACTAAGACCATTCAGCATTCGTTGATGACGACTATCTTTAAAACAACCTATATAACGTGCCATTGATTCTTTGGAACGAACAGTTAATATTCCTGAAAAAAATTCAAATTGATTTTCATCATTTTCTACATACACACATTTTCGAGTTCAATCTACACAGAAATTACATCATCTACTTTTGTCTCTTATTCTATAATTCATAGGTAAAGTTCATTGAAGTTACACTACTCCTCTTTTATGCAAGTGTCGGATTCTCTTTTCGAGCTTTTTTTCTCTTCATTCATATACATATATATGCGGATCATGACAACGATGAAACATGCACAATTGTATGTATGTGATTCAGTAAACGTCATCCTCTTTCTTCTTGGTCCCTGCTCATGCAAAGGTTACCCGCACTGACTAAGATACTGTGCGTGTTAAGCAAGTACAAACAAAACATGTACAACAAAAAAAAGAGACAAGAAAACGAAATTTTAATACGTCGGGACCACGCCTATACATGTATGTGATTTTGTTCGACAATTAATTATCAATTGATATTGGTATTTAATATTCATTATCGTTTAGTTGATATGAATCAAGTAGAAAAGGCGGAGAAAATAAATAAAAATATTTATCAATAGATTGTCACACTTCCGTTGTATTCACCATCAAAAGGTTCGAGATAAGTTAAGAAGAGATTAGGAACAAACAGATTTCGCTTCTTGTTTTTTCCTCAATTTATGTTCTAATGAGCGAACTCAACATCAAACGATGTTTACTCAGCAGTATCAGAAAATGAATATTTATGGGCTGAACATTCGAAAGTTTCGCTAAAACAAAAATCTTACCTTCAAACAGAAGAAATAATGGAAGAACAACTTTGATCATCTTGTTGAATTGGGAAGACTTTTTTGTTCAATATTCGAAAAAGATCAATGATAAGAATCGATTCTTGTTCTATGTCAGATTGATATATGTATGTATGATTCTCATAGAAAAGAAGAAGGACGCATTATGACAGTAGTCATCTTCTTTTATGCTTTTACTTTTATCATCTCTTCTCTTTTCTCTCTCTCTTTCTCTAGGATGATCGAAAAGATAGATTATTAGTGTTCCTCCCCCCTTCGTCCACTAAGCTATTTTCTCTCTCTCTCTCTCTTCATCTCTCTATCAATGACGATAATAAAAGGTGAACGAAATATGTACGTGCTTCGTCAATAAATAATCCCTTACTCTGATTAACAAAAAATCATTAGCTAGATTTCTTCTAAAGACAAAGCTCAAACAATCGTTTATCGATAAAATCGAACTGAATCGTATCAAAAATGAAACTTTTTATTTGAAATTATAAAATACGACGTGAAACAAGCAATGAATTAATCATATCGAACGCTTCATCTAGTCGAAAGCTGCCGAAGATTTCTTCCGGATTTTGCTCCTGAAAATAGACTTGATTGATAATTGCTAATTGAAGTTGATCTTCTGAAATAGCGAAATTATCCGAGATTTCAACTACAGAATAGATGAATCATACGTTTCGCCCAATTAGGAATGGTCTTTTTTCGACGACGAATTGTAGCCAATTGGGTATTGTTCAATTCATCTTCATGTAAAATTGTCATGTCATAATTATGAGTTTTCTTATGTAGTGAATGGGATTTTTTAGAGGGATTAATCTCTCCGATAAAGTCTGATCTGATTCATAAATAATTCGGTTCAAAAATAAGTTCAAATATACATGACAATTTACTTTTTTCGTGATCGACGTATTGGCTTTCGGCAAGATTCAACAATCGAAGAAGATTTCTTCGAAAAATATCGAGAAAGAAAAGATTTTATAGAAGATTTTTGGTTATCAACTGGAGTTGGAAGTATGTGCTGAAAAGCAAAAGTTTGAAAACTATGCCGAAATTATCAGATGACATACCGAATTTGACATGATGAACAATCGCATATCGAACCATTGATACGAACTCTATTTATTCAGAATGGATCAATTAACATCAAACTCTTGTTGGATATGTTTAATCAAGAAAATTCTGTCTGAAATGAAATTAGCGCAGAAATCAATTGAGATTGATACGTTCAGATCAAAGAAATACTTCATACTGTGAAATTTTTTGAACTTTTAACTATCCAACGTACACATTATTGAAAACAAATCAGACATAGCCGTTTAGTGAATGTTATTTTCTCGGAAAATCTCAACAAGAGATACCGTAATTGATCGAATGACGCATTCGAGAAGATGAGTCATTCCTTGAAACAAGTTTTGTTATTGAATATGTTGATAGCATCTCATTAAATGATGAACCGGTACGTGATGAATCATTTGATACACTTGTTGACCGGTTAATTTGGAGCATAAGTTTGACGATTTTAAGTGCACGATCCCTTTTCTAAATAGAACAATTTATAAATATTTTAATAAAAAGTAGAGTAGTTCGTACGTCATCAAGCATACCCATACGGAAAACTAAACGAAAGAATTGGCTAATGAGAGAAACTTTAATTGTATAGTTCCCTATATCAGCGTTCATTTGCATATAACATTCTTCTATCTGAAAAGAGAAGAAAGCAAAAGGTGGCACGCAGTTTTGCTAACGACTAATGAAGTCAATATTTGTGTCTTGTCCATATGAATAAGCTGCGAACAAATATGAGACGTTATTTTATCAAATCAAAATCTGTGATCATAACAATGCATTTCAAATCAAGTTTTGAATAGTTTTCCAAATATATACAGTGAGCATACGAGGTTATGTCGGTAGTTTCCTGCTTTTTGTGTCCGCCGTTGAGATATCTACAATAGTTGCCGATATAGGGAAATACGTTATTGGCTTTTTACCAAAAACGGACGTGTGACTGAAAGAACTACGTAGCTTGAAATCACGCAATTGAATGAATTCGTCTTGTTTCTTTTCTTTCTCATATTGAGGTTCGATTAAGATGAAAATTTCACACAAAATAATCGATGTGAACACATGAACCAAATGTATCACATGAAGTGCCAGAAAATCAGTAATGTATCAGAGAAGTCAAACGATCGGAATTAATTGGTTATAACTGAGAAGTATATATATTTAACTGTTTACGAAACAAAACTTTGGTTGAAGCTATTCGCTTGTTCGAATGCTCTGTGTTTTGCGAAGGAATATATCAGTGTATGACATCTGTTTGTCACCTTTCTATCGATGTTGTAAAGAACGAGAAAAATCATCGGTGATGTGTTTACACGAATCAAATTGAAACGCAAAATCAAAACTTTTTTTTTCTACTTTCGAATATTTGACAACATGGAAAACTTAGTGAACACTGATCATGGCTTAGTCGGAATTGCTTATCTTCCTCATGGTACCATGACTTTAGATCCTAATCGAGAAGATCTTCCACATGGCGCCGATGATCTTCATAGAGCTTGCACTCGAATCAGTGAAAAGATAGCACAATTAAATCCAGATCTAATCATTCTTTTAACCCCGCATGGAATTAATCTTCACCAAAGTTTGAATATTTACCAACCAGGTACTTCATCCTGTACGGCTAGTGGCAATGCTGAATGGAATGATCAGTGGAATGACTTCAGTGTTAATGTTCATCTTGATGGTGAAGCATCTCAACATCTATTTTCTTATTTAAAACAACACATGGTAAAAGTTGAAGGAATGCTATCATTTGGTGGACTGAGTACACCATTAAGATGGGGTGAAGTTGTGCCGCTTTATTTTGCTCTACATCAGATAGTTTCGAATGCCAATGGAACGACAACATCGTTGAAACAAATATCTGTTCCATCATCACCGAAAGTTGTTATCATTGCACAACCTGCAAAAGGTTCAACAAGTAATTTGAAATATCATTTAGGAAAGTGTTCATTGTGATTATAGAAATTTTGATTTAGTGGAAGAACGAGAATATTTTATGGTTGAACAACGTTCCAAACTAGTAGAATTCGGTCGTTTACTCCGATCATGGTGTGATCAATCATCACATCGAATACTCTTACTTATCAGTGGTGACCAAGCTCATACTCATGCATGGTCTCCTCAATTGGCAACTATCTATCAACCTGATCCTTCATGCTTTTCGAAATTTCCACAAGCTGGCACTGAAGAAGCGAGATCATTTGATAAAATTGTCGAGGACTGGATGACTGGAAGACGTTCGAATTCAAATAATGACTTATATTCTTTGGATAAGAAACTAATCGTTGATGAAGCAGGGCCGATTGAAAGATTTGCACTAAGTTGTGGTTATGTTGGTTCATTGACACTGCAGGGCGTCTTAGAAAATCAAACAATTCAAAACCGAGTTGCAGATTCTTCTGGAAAAGCAAATTCATCAGCAGATTGGTTGTTAACAGATTTCATCTCTGCTTGTCCTACTTATTATGGAATGATGGCTGCACTGTTTGTTCGTACTAATATTGAGTAAAAATCGTTTCTTTTGTCAATAGGAACAGTGGGCGAAAAATATTTCTATTGATGACTCATATGACGCGATCAGGAAACGCCTCTTATTTTCAATCTTATGTAAATGGTCAAGGTTAAAATAAATATCAGTAGGAAACAATACTTATGACTTTTAAATATCGGAAGTCAATTTTACACTAATGATCGAAGTATTTACAGATAAAACCAAATGAATTGTTTATGAGTATTTATCTGGAATCTTCAAGCAAACTATATTATGTATGAAAATAATTGAGATAATTTCATCAAATAATGTTCTGCCTACTTGTATTCATGGTTTCACTTGTCAAGATATCGAAATAATTGACAGATAATCGCGTCGTATGTGTAATGACACGTAATAGCCCATTCAGATCAGCTTGTTGACCTTCACTGATCCAATATGGTTTTCTTATTTTTGACAATAATTTCCACTCGTGATTTTGTTATGAATGTTTTGATAAAAGAACGAACTATATGAAAAACAATCGTTGAAAAGATCATTTGATTGGTATCCTTGAAGCATTACCCAGTTTCACAATAGTCAGCCTTGTCCTGTCAAATACTCTCTGTATAAAACAAAAGCGATTCATTTGAAATTGATGAAATATTATTGTGTTGTTGCTTACCTTCATGTATTTGTTTATCATTCGTAGTGCATTTATAAATATTCATAACTCGCAACAATATTTTCATATCACATCTTCGTGAAAACAATGAACTTGTTCCAAAGTTTAATTTTTCTTGTTTTTCTCTTTGCGGTTCATGGCGAAATCCATAATAATGCAAAGAAGAATGAAGACAATGGAATAAGCAGTCATCACATATTAGAAAATGGTCGTATTATCTTGAAACCTGTAAGTTTCTCTCAATCAGTTTGATTTCTGAATATTGCATTCTTTGTAGGTGCCAAGTGCAACGCCGGCTGATCAAGCAAAAGAATCCGAATTACAAGAAGACGATGCTATTAAAAAAGATCTACCGTATGTTCAGTACGGCGATATTCTTGTTCCAAAAGACGAAATTGAACCTTCGAGTTCTAAACGGTAGATTTTGTTTCCGACGAAAACATGATTTCTATGTTAATTGTTTGTCGTTGACTTTATTTTTGTGATTAATAAATAGAGTTAAACGGAAAGTTATTGCCGAAACTAACCGTTTTGGTTACAGCAATCGATGGCCACGTGGCGTTGTGCCCTATACGTTTCTTTCCAACATTGGTGAGAGATTCTCATTCCGAATCAATTCAACGAATTCATTTGTATGAAAAAATAGATTATCGAGTGCAACAGAATGTTCTCAGAGCTATTCAGCATTGGCATCAACGGACATGTATTCGTTTTGAACCATATGATTCCCAACGTCATTGGGATATCAGTGCGCAAATCACTTTTGACGATCGCGGATCCGGGTAACTAAAAACAACACTTCTAATCGATAGGCCTTGAAACAAGTTCTATTTTGAAGTTGTGCAACTTATGTTGGTTATCGAGCAACAACATCAAATACACCGACATCATATGCCGTTTATTTACCATTGAATTGCCCACTTGGTTCTGCTATTCACGAGTTAGGACATGTGATTGGTTTCTATCATGAAATGGCCCGAACAGATCGTGATCAAGCAATTGTATTGGATTTCAATCAAATGTCAACGACAGACGCTATCCAATATAATATTATGCCTAATCCAATGCCGGGCTATTACGGTCAACCGTACGATCTCGGTTCGATAATGCATTACTCGCCAACAGTAAGGAAGCAGTTGTTTAGAATATAAAAGGAAATGATCTGCTCTTAGGATGTGATGTATGCTCGAGACAGTCGACGAACGTTTCTGATGGGTCAACGTGTTTCGCTCTCATTTTTGGATATAAAACTGGCTAATTTAGCTTACCATTGCAGTGATAGTTGTAATTCGCCACCTGTGTGCTATAACGAAGGTTATGTAGATAATTCTTGTCAATGTGTATGCCCTGATGGAATTTTTGGTCAACAATGTGACCGACTCACGGGATATTCGTGTATGTTATTACCTTTCCTATGATTATGTGTAAAGTAGCGATCGATTCTATTTGTTTTACAGCAGACAGATCTCTTCCTCCACCGGATGTTGAAACTTCCACTGCAACAGTAGTGGAAAAAACTGAATCCACTTCATCTTCGACATCAACAACGACGAAAGCACCAAGTAAATACTTCGTTGATCCATTTAATCACGCTTAAAATTGATTTTCAAGAAATTATCGGTCTTCATTGGCTCGCTTGGAGCGAATGGTCGAACTGCAGTCAATCATGTGGCAGTGGTGTTCGTGTTCGAACTCGTCTATGCTCAAATACAACAATTCATGGCAGTACCAATCCATGTATATCATTAGGCGGCGATTCATTTCAAATTGAATCGTGTCAAAATGCCGACTGTCATCGTACGTAGGAAAGAGTTGTCATAAAAACGCAATTTCTATTTCTGATCCGATGATTAGAAGCCGATGTTCTTCTCAGTTGTACTTTTGACTTGAAAGATGAAAAATGTTCAGCGAAACTTGCAGATTCTGGTCAAATTCAAAAAGGTAAACTAGCCGATCAAACTCGACCTATCAACGATCATACTCGTGGAGGTACGGAAAGTCGTTTGTAACTTACGAAATTCGATTTCAACGATTTGAATAGATGGAAAATATTTTCTTTTAATCACTAATACAAATCAATCCAAATCCGGCCAACCGCTCGAACTGGGTCCGTTCTCTCGCTCTGACAAGAATAACTGTTTGCAATTTTGGTATTCCATCTACGGACCAGTCGTTGGTAAATTGATCATCGTCAAAAATAATACACGAAACGTTACCGTAACATTCGATGGAAAAGATCACAGTAGATTGATTTAACTCACTCATTTCTCTTTTTGAATGTCGTATATCATCTAGATAAAAACTGGGTATCAATCGAACAAACGATTTCAACTGATGAAGATTATAAACTCGTATTTGAATACGAATCATATTCATCAGAATCGAGCCATATCGCAATTGATGATATCAGCATCATTGAAGGAGTTTGTCGTACGTATTCTAAAAGTACGAAAGTAATGATAAAAAATTCTTCTTTCATAGCTTCCAATCAGACCAGCAATTCACAACGTCGAAAACGTCGACAATCGAATGCAAGTACGAAAACTTTTCAAAATTCATTGAAAAAAAATTATCTGATATATCATTTGTCACAATTTGTCTATTACAGGATCAGGTTGTAGTCGTGTAATCAATCTAAATGATCAAAATAGCGAAATCTCTTTAACATCTCCCAATTATCCGAATCTATATCCACCAAATTCGAAGTGTTATTATTACATTGTCGCTCCATCATCCAAACACGTAACACTTCAATTGACGGATTTCAATCTGCCTACACAGAGTTACAACGACTGTGATGATTCAATCGAAGTTCGTTATTATCATCTCGGTATGTCTGACAAGTGATTTTCTGATTAATTCGTCGAATATTTCTTTTGGTTTATAGGTCAACCAGGTCCCGTTTACTGTGGAACAGGTGCTAACACGAACAATCTTCGTTTTGTGAGCGAAAATAACTATATAATGCTCGTTTTTCAATCTGATGGTTATTATGGTGGACGAGGCTTCCGTGCACAAGCAACACTTTCGTAATTAGTTCTTTTTTGCTATTATTAATCTTGTAAATAAGCAGTGTTTCTTGAATATTTTTGTATTTTAATAAAAACAAGCTGATTCGAAATTTCATTTGTATTGTACTTTACATTTTTCCACAAGCAAAAAGTATTCTGGTTTCTTTCTCCAAGAAGATCATAAATCTCAAAAGAAAATAACCCTATCAACAATTCAAGTGTCATTGATCGGTAAAATAAATACTGATTATATGATTTTACAGGCTAAAGTAAATTCTTCTGTTGAAAATGAAAATTCAGATCAAATTCATCCAGCCGAAGACTTTTCAACGACAAACAACAACATCCTCGGTCAAATATTGAACAAGACTAAAATATCTCCTTGTTGTTCTTTAATTTTAACTCAAAAACACACCGGGTACATCAGAGCAATAAATTTAGACAGTCGAACTTCGATCTGGTTTGTCATATAATAATACGATAATCATAAATGATTTTTTTTTCTCTTCGCTTTTTTCTTCCTATTTTCTTTGGAGTAGCAACGACGGCATCACTACTAGCTCAACAATGACATTAAAATAACATTGACGACAGCAGTCAAGAAAAGCTACAATAACAAAGAAAGAAATCTTTATAATGCTTGTTCAACATTTTTCTCCTTCGCAACAATTGCTAATTCTTTTTCTTTTTCGGCTCTTGTAAAATCAAAAGACAACCACTCTACAAAATCTTACAATCAAACGGCTTTTACCTGCGTAACAACCATCCAATACGTTCATATTAACTCGCCAGTGAACGTTGACAACTTTTACTTCAGCGATAGAAAATGGATATTCATCGAAAACATCTTTCGCAACTGAATCCAAGATTCCAACAACAACAGCAGAAACGAACAGTCATAACCCTTTCTCAACCCATTCAACAGCCTTTTGTACGACCGACTATTCTTCCCTCGGCACCGCGTCCTCAACCTCGACAACAAACACGCTCAAAACCAAATCAAGAACGAGCGAACACAGCTTATATCAAACATCCAGACATCTCATCTGCGCAATCCAATCCTCCGTATATAACTCTAGCGAATCTTACCAAAATCTTACATGTGCTTCAAACAAATACGAAAATAAGTGATAGCGAAGCATCCATTGATACAAATACATCGGCTACAACTACTTCAAAACAACGCGTTCAACAACATTTACAAGAAACAGCAGCACGATGGTGGAAATCAATTCGATCATCTGATGGGCAATCCACGATTGTCACATCATCTGCAATACCTCGATCTGATATACGCCACCAAGACTCGCGTAATCCAGCACCACCACCATCATCATCATCTGTAAGTATTTCTAAGGATTTTCTATTAAATCAAATAAAAGTATTTGTTTTTGTTACAGATAGCGACTGGCAATTCGAAACGACCATTGGTTATACTTTCTACTACTGTCAATAGAAATCCTAGTAGATCGGATGATTCGGAATCATCTACTGAAATTCAATCAATGACTGAAGTCACAAAAATGATTCAACCATCGCATGTATCGAGTGTAACAAAGTGCACACGATTAGAACCATTGATCATGCCATCTCTTGGTATGCGACTTTACACGAGTAATTATCCACGTTACTTTAATAATCCACTTCATTTGAATTATCTTCAACATAATCGTTTAATTCGTCAAACATAATTTCCAAATAAATCAATGTCGATTTCTCTTTTTATTAATTGCCGTTACAATCAACAGAATTCTGTACTTTCTATGTTTATAAAATTTTATTTTGCACAGTTGCTTTCACGGATAATTTAGATTTGTCGACAGATGTCGCTCCGAATCACTCGCTATTAATTGACAAAAAATTTGATTTAATAAATAAAATTTTTCATACATTTGATGTCATGATGCGAATTTCTTCTCGAAATATCTTTTATCACAGCTCTCGTTCATTTGATTTGTGAATGGTTGATATATTTATGACTAATCATGACGATATTTCTTTTCTTTCTGTCTTTGTATTGCATTGTCGCATTTACGAAAGAAAAACCTTTGCATAAGTTGCTGTAAATACATTCGCCACCTGAAATTACATTGTATACTTGTTTACCTAACTAGTTAATATGTCGGTATCGAACGATCTTGGGCTATGGTACAAAAGTATTCCGCCAATAACTCGTATTTGGTTCACAGCAGCTACAGCCGTGCCTTTGTCAGTGCGAATGGGACTTTTGAACGAAATGAACATGCTGCTTTTTATTAATCCTACTATTTATCATTTTCAAGTAAATGTTTAAAATTAGGATTTTAGAGGAAACTTTGTTCTCATTGTGGTTTTAGATTTGGCGATTACTCACATGTGTACTTTACTATCGTGTGGGTTTCAATTATTTGGTTAATCTCTTTTTTATTTATCAATATAGCGCACGACTTGAATCAAGTATGGAAATCAAACAAAAAATATCACGAATTATTTCGAATTCATTTTGATTTTAGGCACTTTCAGTGGTAAACCTGCGGATTACATCTTCTGTCTGTTTTTTCTCTGGATATGCAATGTTCTCGTTGGTAGTTTACTGTCTATTTTTGTAAGTAATGGTGTCTTTGACATATGACGTAAATGAATTAAGTTTATTACGTAGATTCTGACCGATGCATTGATTCTGAGTGTTATTTACATCTGGTGCCAATTGAACAAAGAAACAGTGATGTCATTTTGGTTTGGAATGCAGTTTAAAGCGATGTATATGCCATGGGTAATCTTATTATTCAATTGGATTGTTCGCGGATCGTAGGTCATTTGAATTCATTCGAAATAATAATGAGAAAATGATTTGCATTTAGATTTTTAGTCGAATTATGCGGAATTGTCGTTGGTCATTTATACTTTTTTCTGGCTTTTAAATATCCGCAAGATTTCGGTGGTGCACGACTTCTTCAAACACCTAGTTTTCTGTAAGAAAATCTCGATTTGATTTGATAATCTTTCTTCTTTTCTTAAGATATCGTTACTTTCCTAACGAACGATCTGGTGTCAGTGGTTTTGGCACGGCTCCTATTCCACGTCGTCAAGCAGACGCGGACAACAATGATGCGAACCGAGGCCGACAAATCTTTGGAGGACGTGGTCACGTTCTCGGCGGCAACTAAAACATTGTTTTTCTCATCTATTTTTATTCTCATGTTGAAGTGCATTTGTAAAAGTCAACTTAATCTCAATTTGTTAAGCAAAAAACTTGTTTCTCTTTTTTACAATATTCAATCCCGTTTTCAATACTCAGCTTTTTGCTTTTTGGTTTTGAAAAATTTTTTCTTTCGGAAAATAAGCATTTGGATAGTTATGTTTTATTTTAGCGATCGATTATCAATCGTCAGAATAGATTATGGAATCAAGAATGGATTTTATTTTCTTTTCTTTTTTTGTTCAATAACTTCTTAATTGAAGATTATTATTATTATCATTATATCGAAAAGGAAAACACTTTTCTAATATGACGCGTCATAAACGACGTCGTTCGTCTGATCGATATAGTGATGATGACCGATCACGTTCATCTTACCATCAAAAATCTCGTCGACATTCATCGATAAATAATGAAACAAATAGCTCGAGTGATAAACGAAAATATACTCGATCACGATCGAGCTCTTCGTCGATTTCTTCGGCATCGTCTTCGTCGTCAACATCGTCGTCATCTCGATCGGCTAATTCTACTCGACGAAAAAGTTCAACTCACTCACGTCATGCACATTCAAAACGAAAACATAACCAAGAACGACATCGAAAACGACGAGTCCATCATCGACAACATCGCCGACGATCAAGATCTCGATCGAAACGACGGTATGTACAAATCTTTCTTTTCCCCATGAAATCATCAGAGATAATTTGCGATTCAATGTCACACATTAGAATAGATCTTCAAGATTCCCTACTGGAAGTTTACGCTCTATTGAGCGAAAACAATCTTTACATATCCTATTAATTAAACATAAGTAAGCAATGAAATGGAATAGCTGTCAGTCTGCTAATACCATCGTATTGTATCGATATCTACTCGGGCAAGATTTCACTAGATGAAAATCTTTTCCGCTGTTGTTTCGATTCATCTAGGTAAGCGATCGGGTGGAAGATAACACAATCATCTCGATAGTTCATTGCTTAGATGAAGTAGTAGGGAATTATGTAACTAATTGTGTGTAGAACTAGACGATTGTTTGGGCATCGAAGAAGTTGATGACAAAAGTATATTTAGCAACAAAATTAGCAAATTAACAGAAATAGAAAAAGATCCTTCGACCAGATTTGAATATCTAATTATAGCCGTTGTCTATCGTTTTGATAGATCGAATCGATAGCAAGTCCCCTTAGAACATGAACTGGTATAAACATATATTTAACTTTCTTTCACATTCGAAATCAAGAGTAACTAATTTATCGTAAATCATTGCTATTGAGCCTTGAATTGCAGAACAACAAATCTTATCTTAGTCATGTTTCTTGAAAATATTGTCTATTTATTAAAATTATCTCTAATGATTTCATCGTCGATATTTTCTCGTCAAATACCTTAGCATTCATAGTCACATCAGTAATCATTTTTTTTTCTTTCTTACCTGCATGATTGTTATTTTGTTTTGATTTTCTTTTCTTTTTTTTTCTCTTCTTCTTATTTCACCTATCTCATTAGTTAACGTGAACTTAATAAGTGTATAAATAACACAAAAATATACCATAGCGAAAACCACATTATATACAATGTGTTTGCGTGCATTATTCGACTGATCGATGAGTGTCAGTTACCTATACTAAAACAGTCGGAGTTTTTTTTTCTGTCTGGATATGAAATACTAATGATTCTTAGTCGACAAGCTTCATATGGAAATTCTCTTGGTAAAATATCTTCGTTTCATTTTGGCGAAGATATTAACCATATCGCTCAAAGATATGACCAACAATGTTCATGTCGTCACCATCATCGGAGGAAACATCGGCAATATCCCAGTGAATTCATCGAACGTATGAAATCCAATAATAGATATTTCACAAAGTATGTTGGATTCGAACACGAAATAAGAGAGAATGATCATCAGATCGTTAGCGATTTCTTCGAGAGAAAAATTTTCATTGTGTTATCTTAGTTAATTCTTCTTCTATCTCATCAATAGAACTGTAATCATAATATCATTGACTTTCTTTTTTTTCCATAAACTATAGAATGTTCTTCTTTTTCTTTTTGTAAAGTAATACTTAGAAGTAAATACTGTACAATGTAGGCGGGTAAAAAGAGCACGGAGGCTAACAATTTTCTGCGTCATCATTATATGTATACACGTTTGGCGCAATCGCGCGCTCGCACATATGCTCGCTCGTTTGCAATCCCTGTATCATCCATAATTACTTTGAAAATATCTTCATCCTTTCTGCGCTTTTTTTTCTTTCTTTTCTCTTCGTGTGTATATTAACTCTGTTCGATAGGAAAAGAACATACCATATGAGAAAATCTTCCACCCACAGAATATCAATGCTTAGTAAATATCGCAAGAGAGAAAGAAAGGAGAACGAAGGAAAACAACGGCATCAGCAGTAACGACGCAAGTTTTCTGAAGATCAACATTTCCTTCGTCTTCTTTTTCTCGCTGTCTATCTCACTAGGGCAAGGAGAAAAGAAGGCGTTGTCTGTTGCTTCTTCTTCCGTACATTCATCTATACATATCTCTTGCGTAGTTATTCTCTCGGTTCGTTATTCATTCTTATCTAATCATGAGGAAAAACGAGTAGAGACGATCGTCGGCTTTTTTTCTCCGTCTACTAACATATATACACACATATCTTGATGCTATAAGACAATCAGCAAATGACAAGCAATATCAGTTCGGGCACAACTGGTCACGCATATCGTCTAAGACCGATGCCTCTCAATTCAGTTACAAATAGTTCAAATCTAACTGGTCAATCAGCAAATAGCACCCTGAATAGTAATAGTAATCCTTTGTACTATGGTTCATCATCAACAGCCGCGCCTACAGTCACTCCACCAACGTGGAGCTACTCTACGCCCAGTCAACTTGCTCGAAAGTACGCGAATATTGCACCGATCTGGTGTCATATCACTAAGCCAAGGCAATTAAAGAAGAAATTCGCATCGACGTTTCATCAAGCACAATCACTAGTCAGTTTCTACAATGAAGATCGAGCCCCGAGCGAACGTCGTGGTTCGCTCACTCAATCGCAAAACTCATCAAATCAATCTCAGCAGCTACAGCAACCCCAACCGACTGTACATAGTACGAACTCCAATTCACATCATCCACTTCACCATCTCCATCATGAATCGAACAGTTATCGTCAACAATACACTCCCCATTATACATCTCACGACCTTGGAAAAGAACCACCCGTTTCATCAAGTACTTCTTCATCATCGCGCGCTAAGAAGAAATATACAGGTGGTGCTCTAACTATGCACATATCATCATCACGTTTGCAATCACCACCTCCACCTCCGCCTCCGCCTCCACCCTTATCGATCGATGAAAAATTCACGAATCCTAGCGAACGTAAAGCGCGAATTGATCAGCTGAAAGATCTAGTTTTCAACACGCGTATTAAAGACACCATGTTTGGACGAACCGATTCAAAGGCTCGTTCGACAACAAATTTACACAAAGCAAATTCGTTCAAACGTATTGATCAAATAACTCATCCAATGGATGATTATCAACCAACGGCGATTCCACCAACGACACCAACACGTAAAGATTCTCATTATTATCATTATCATTTACCGTCGAATACCATGTCATCAACGATAAACGATACTCTTAATAAATCTGTTTTACCTTCACAATCGTCAACTTCAGCAGCCGCAGCAACAGCAACATCTTCCGCCTCCTCCTCCTCAGCAGTAGCATCAACAACATCACATCCATCATATAATTATGACTATTTACGTGCAAAATCAAAAGAACACATACGACCGACATACCACGATTCAAATTATATAACATCTTCACTCCATACATCGGAAATACCATCATCATCACAAATTGGATCAAGTAATTCACCATATATTGGTTCAACAATAGCAACGAATCCATTGAATTCTTATCGTACATTTGATGAACCGTGTTATATTGGTAAACCAAGTGCAGTGACGGATAAGAATTCGTCTTATACAGCTGTCACTTCATTTCCAAGTTATCAAACCCCAAGTTCATCGAAACGACGAATAAAAAAGTATCTCCTTGCTAAAAGTGGTATCGGCACATCTCTTCCACATCAAACAGAACCTATTTCGAATAATTTCGAAAAACTATCTTTGAATGATGACTATAAAACAACAAGTGGAGAAGGTTCGAGTGTGATTATTGCTAATGCACATGCAATCACTCCGCCATCTCCACGATCTTCGATATCTCCAAAATCCACCACCATCACAACAGTAGCAGCAGCAAATATTCCTGTTATTCCATCACTTCGGACTACTACACCAACACCTTCATCACCACCGATTCCCTCAATTCCAACATTGAGTCCAGTTGCTTCACCACCGCCTCCATCACTACCTGCTGCAACAACTAGTCATATTGCAGAAAACGTTGTTTTCTCCACACCTAATGCTCAATTATCATCTAGTCCACCAAATAATACTACTAATACTAACACTAAGATCCCCCCAGTGATCGGTGTATCATTATCGTCTTCTCTTACATCTTTAAACAAACAACATCAACCATCGCTAAAATCAACAACAAATTCTCTCCTTGAACTTGTTCCTTCACATAGTATAAAAGAACAATCTCCATCCCGATCGATCATCTCTACAACTACCGAGGATGGGTGGGGGATTTTGTCTTTGCGTGCGTGTGTGTGTGTCTGTCTGTGTGCGCATACTAAGGATAAAAATGATTGCTGTGTTACTGCAGATGCCTGTGTTAGATTAAGCTTCATCCATATTCTTAAGTTTTTTCTTTTCATTTTTGCATGTTTCAATATTTTGCATGTGTTTGCAGTTCTTCAACACCGGCTCGCAATAACTTACAAACTAGCTCATCGATTGAACGTCATCGTAGGCGTCGGCACAATCGGCATGATTCGTCGGAAAATCGACATGGTGTCAACAACGCCACCGGTACGGCGCGTGCCGAAAGCATCTCAAGTAATAACTCGACATCCAAACGTTCAAAGAAAACGAACAATTTGACGAATAATCATACCAATAATAATTATCAACATCATCACCATAAAAAACGATCAACTTCAACACCAAATCAAAGAGTAAGTCCTTGGATTTTCATTTATTGATCATTAGATTTCGATTATTTCTGAATATACAAGAACATTATCTTGATACATATGTACGCCAGCGAACAACCGAGGTTAATGACACCTTGATATGTCGTGTCAAGCGCGTGTATATGTATATATACAAAAAAAAAACGGAAATTGACCTCATAGCGTTTTTTTGTCTTCTTCTTATGCAACATAAGACTATCATGAGTACGGCATATACTCGAATACATTCATAGAGCAATGTGAAATAGTCAATGGTCAATTTAATCCTACTTCTTCCTCGTTTACTTGGATATTCTCACATTTAAAATTGTTTGCTAAGTAAAAGTAGAATAGTATTAGTCGCAGCTACAGCAGCCATCATAGACGCAGCACTAGTATAGTTTCAATATTCTGAAAAGAGGGAGAAAAAAAGAGGAAGGAAGAAAAGAAAAAGAAGCTATGGGTGCTGTTGCTGTTATTACTGCTGCCCTTTCTCTGTCGTCCAGATGATCAGTCGAAAAGAGAAAGATGACGGACACTGTGCGCATGAACTCTAATAGACAAATGATAAAGAAAAAGAAGAAGAAGAAGAGGAGGAAAAAATAAAGAAAAAGAGAGCGAGAGAACGAACACATATTGAAATAGAAGTGGTCACTTGGTCGAATTGATTAATAATTTTCGAGCAAGCAAACTGACGACGACCTTCGACTAAAGTTTTGGTGGCGGAAGAAAAGAAGAGGAAAGACAAAGATTGTTATTCGCTCACATACATATACACATACATCCCCATATATTCTCTTCATATCCATATCGGCGAAGAAACGTACAACATATACTCATACATTCAACTATTATACTCATTCTTTTCAAATCGATATTATACATATAAATATATATATACGTGTATGTATATATATATATCAATGTATCATTCTCTGGGTTCCTGAAGGTAATATTTCAAAGAAGAAAAGAAACGCTGAGAAATGGATATTTCCTTGAAGAAAATATGATTTAATATCATCTGAACGAAGTTTCTTCAAACAACATGCGACTTATTCAATTCAACAGCGGTCTTCGAGTTGTATTGAAAGATGTTCAACCACAACAACAAACTGAACCATCCCCGAGATATTATCTTGCCCCTCCCCTACCACCATCACCACATCATTCTTCTAACACATCGATAGCAACAACTAGTTCATCAAGTAAATCGAATATCTCAATAAATACCACTCATGAATATTATATTCACCGACAATATCTCTCTTCAATACATCCGAAAACTTGTCAGACATCCAATCAAGGAAAAACACCACCCGTACTTAATCCAATTCCATCATCAACCCTTACCGTCGAGGTAAGGACAAGCTAAGCTCTACACGATGAACAGCGCAACTAACACGTACACGTATTTAAGTTGTTGTATGTGTCATTTATTGATTCAAAAGCTCGACACGTGTGGAGATGTTTGACCTTCTTTACATTTAACTTATATTAAAAACCAACGAAGCAGATCCTTATTATAAAAAGGCGTACTATATACTTATGTAATTCATACCGATTTGTTTCTCTTCTTGTTCTTGTTCTTCTTCTTCACTCCTATTAGTAAAGTAAGATGATGTAATACTGATCCGATTCTTTTCCCTGAAGGAGAGGCATTAAGTGAAAGTAAGTATGATGTGCGTGTGAATGTTCATTTGTAAGAGTATTAAATAATCTGTCTGAGAAAATGACAATTATGTCTTTATATGTAGAGTCTACGAGACAAAAGCGACTCGGGCCATGTCAATATTCGTGATGACGATGAAGGACATTTAATCTATGTTCCAGGTATATTATTTCATTGAAAAAAAAGATTAAAAAACTTTGGCTTGTTTTTCTTTCTAGGTGATGTTCTCCATCATCAATGTAAGTTGAACGAATTCTTCACTGAAATGTTTACATCTAAACAAGATATATTGATTGATAGCCTCTAGCAAATATACGCTAATTGAGTTGAGTTGAAATATGAAAATTGTAATTGATGAACGAGAGTCGTTCTACGAGATAATAGTACAGACATTTGTTTTGATCTGATAGCTCTATCTATGCATAGGCAAACAGAACGTATTCATTGATTTATAACTTAATATAGTTGATGTTTGAATTCGTTTGGAGACATTCGATTGAGATCGACGAGTTGGATGAGAATTGGACAAAAGGATAATTACATGTTTGTTTTTAATTAGATGAAATTCGACGAACACTCGGCGAAGGAACATTTGGAAAAGTCGTGGAAATTCGTGATCTTCGTAGGTAAGAAAAGATTCGCGTATGAAATGAGATATATGTGCTGACTTTTTGTTTTGTTTTAGTGATGCTAATACACGTTTAGCATTGAAAATTATCAAAAATGTGGACAAATATCGTGAAGCGGCCCGGTTAGAAATCAATGTACTTAAAACAATCAATGAAAAAGATCCCGATGGTGTTAAGTAAGTCGAATTCATTTGAACAATAATCAAAAGGATTTCATATTGTGCATTTGTTTAGTTTATGTGTTGCATTACTTGATTCATTTGATTATTATGGTCACATGTGTATTGCTTTTGATATGTTAGGCTTAAGTGTATTTGATTTTTTAAAAGAAAATAATTATATCCCATATCCAATTGATCAAGTTCGTCATATCTCGTATCAATTGTGTCTTGCTGTGAAATTTCTTCACGAAATTGCCTTGACACATACTGATTTAAAAGTAAGAATAGTTAAGTTTTGTTGATCGAAGTTGTACATGCGTGAAAATCTTTTAGCCTGAAAACATTCTTTTTGTGAATTCGGATTATAATGTGGTGTATAATCATCGGAAACGAAGAGATGAACGTGTAGTACGTCGTACAGATATCAAAGTGATCGATTTTGGTTCGGCGACATTCGATTGGGAACATCATTCAACGATTGTTTCAACTCGACATTATCGGGCACCAGAAGTTATTCTCGAATTAGGATGGTCGCAGCCATGTGATGTTTGGAGTATTGGTTGTATTATTTTCGAACTTTATCTTGGTTTTACACTTTTTCAAGTGAGTGCATTGTGGAGAAATGCAAAAGATTCTAATAAAGTTCATTTTAGACACATGATAATAAAGAACATTTAGCTATGATGGAACGAATTCTGGGTTCTATTCCTTATCGAATGGCAAAACAATCAAAGTAAGAGGAACATACTGACAAAAAGTTTCGAGAAACGGTTTTTTGTAGGAAAACAAAATATTTCTATCATGGTCGACTGGATTGGGATGAACGTAGTTCAGCTGGTCGTTATGTACGCGATAATTGTAAACCACTAAGAGTAAGATTCACATTGGAAATTCATCTTTACTATTCATTGCCTCATCTTTTAGCGTTATATGATGGGTGATGAACAAGATCATCAACAACTATTTGACATAATTGAAAAAATGCTCGAATATGATCCAAAACGACGAATAACTCTAGTTGATGCACTTCGTCATCCATTCTTCGAACGTTTTTTAGCAGAACAGCGTATTCGCGATCTCTCTCCATGCGCCAATACATCTTCCAAATCTTGATAGTGTCAATCATGTGTGATATATATTTAACATATATCCTTTCTAATATAAATGTGTATTTGAAGAAATAAAAACCAGAGAAGAGAAATTCAATCGAATTCTACTGTCGTTTTTCTTTCTCTTTTGTGCATGTTTCTCTTTTTCTTTGTTGTATTACTTCTTCTTGTATTTGTATTGCTATGATGATGGATTTATTATTAAAAACAAACAAGACAAAGACATATAAGACAGACGAAACAATTGTTTCCTTTTTTTTCTTTTTTGCTTGTTATCTTTTTTCATGTAATTCTCTATTTCTCTTCGTTTTTTCTGTGTCCGTCCGGCTAAATATCAAATTAGCTAGAGAGGATGAGTAAAACAAAAGCACAAATAACTCTTCGAGATTCATATTCTGTACATATATATAAAAAGATGACTTTTTACAGATAAATTATCTCGGAATGGTTCGAATTGCTGTTTTGGGTTGTGGAACGATGGGTTTGAAAATCGCAGGTTTCTATCTCCGCTTTCAATGTCTGTGCCTTTCTCATTTTCATTGTTCTTTCTTCTGCATAGGCAATTTCGCCTATTATGGTCACGTTGTAAAGATTTTCGATAGTGATTTAAAACAACTGGACAGTGCTTGTGAGCGTATTCATCATGATGAAGATCAATTGTATCGCGATGGATTGATTGAATCGCCGAAATTTTTAGTGAGTGTCAACGAATGGTTCTAAAAAAGTTCGAAGACGAGTTAGTGCCCCCGCTATCGTTTCCAGCGTTATCCACATTCCTGTTTGCGAACGAAATATCATTGTTGTTCGATTTGACTTCTTCAGGGGCAAATCTTGTGTTTGAATCGACTGGAAGATGCGGTGAAAGACGTGGAGTTCGTTTTTGAATGTGTTATTGAAAATATGGAAATCAAACAATCGCTAATCGAAAGTAAGCAGATTGCTTTGGATGTTTGAGTAGAAAAAAAGAGCATTGTCATTTCACTTACCTGCAGAATGACACACTTTTCAGGCCATTTTAGTGTAGTTCGAACGAAAGGAAAAAAACGATGGGTATTTTTATCATCAGAGCTGGTTTTTGCGAACAAAATGAAAAGAGTATCTTTCGAGTGTCGTTCTTTAGAATTCTAAAGAAACGAAAAACTAGGTCAGATGCAAGAGAATGTTCTACTTTTTCTTTCAAGAAGCCGCCCAATTTGCTCCAGCAAACGTCATCATATGTTCAAATACAATGAGATTAGATTTAGACAAGATTTCGGAAAATCTTTCTCATAAAGAGGTTAGTTCATCTCGAAGTCAGTTTAAAATAAAGATCCAATGTTCTATGTAGAGTTTTGTCGGAGCACGATTTCTTTTTCCTGTTTATTATGTGCCTGAAGTTGAACTCAATCCAAGTAAATCAACAAGTACGCAAACAATCAGTGCCGGTATGAAATGTTATTCATAAATTCGCAGAAAATTTTATTTTGTTTTCCAGTGAGAAAACTATTGGAACAAATGGATAAAGTTTTGTACTTTCGTTCATCAATGGATCCGTTAATTCTTGACGAAGAGCAACGTGAAGCAAGACGAAAAGGTTTTCATTGACTCATTCAACTAATCTTCGGAAATGATTCATTTAGCTCGAATTGAACAATTGAAAAAAAGTAGTGGCATTATGGTTGTTCGCGGTCGAACATTACCCGAATTAACTTCCTCTACTCATCGCACGAGTCACAATGGAAATCGCAGTGAATTAAGTAAAACCTCGCAGAAAAGAAAAACAAACAAAAAAGTTTCGTATTGGTTTGTTTTAGTTGATAGCACAAATAATGGAAATAACAACTCAATTGCCAATGAAAATGTGGATTGCTCAATTTGTATGGATCGTCCGCGAAATTCCGTTATACGATCTTGTAATCATTTCGTCACATGTTATGAATGTGCACGATTATTGTACAATCGCAAAGATCCATGTCCAGTCTGCCGTAAACGCATCGATGATGTCATTCGTGTTTATACATGACAGAAAATATTCTCAAATACCTTTTTATCCTTGTTGTTGTCTTGTAAATCGAGTGAATTCTTTCATATGAATGACATATTCGAATTCATACGGAAATCTATTTATATATAAATTTTCTTTTAGAGAAATTTTTCACCATGATTGAACGGAAGATATTGTCATGCGGGTGAGTTAAGTTGTATTTAATTTCAAAAGAAAATGAGCAGAGAATCGAATAGTAGAGAATGAGAAAAGATGCTGTGTAAGAAATGACTTACTTAAAACTTAAAACTTTCGAGAATTGGTGTCAAAAATCTGACCTATTTACGCGTTTTTAACTAGGACATATTTACGTAGAATGTTCTTATCTAGACAGTTGGTCTTTCAACCCTCTTGTAAAGTCAACAGTCACAGAAAGTATATAAGATCTCGTTCGAAACATTTGCAATTCATTATAAAAAACGAAGACAGATACAGAAATGACTATTGGAACTTCAAATATTCACTTTCGTATGTGTTTTAAAGTTGTAGTATGAAAATTGTCATGTCTTTCTTTTAGGCTTTCAAGGATTATTATCCGTAATTCAATGGTTTATCAACCTTTTGATAACTGTCAGCCGTGTTACCACATCTATTATGTTTCATTTGGTTATTTGGTACGATTTATATATGTACACACCGTTACAAGCGTATTTGTCGCCTTATGTGTCTCGTATTCCACGTGTTATTCGAATTGGAAACAAAAGTTTCACCGTATTCAATGCAAATGTTGTTACTTATTCACGAACACTTCTTATTATCCCAATTGCTTGGTGTTTGAAGTAAGTTCGAAGTTTCATTGAAATTCTATGATGAAATTCGTTTTTTATTTAGATGTAATTATCCAACTTTGGCTTGTTCATTGATACTATTTCATGATTTTCTTGATCATATCGACGGCATTGTTGCTAAAGTTCATAAACGTATCTACGGTGATAACATTGATGATCCGTTGTTAGGTGGTTTTATGGACGCATTCTGTGACAAAATTGTCAATGTCTTTTGTCTATGGACAATTATTCAAGAAACCCATTTCGATCAAACATCAACTCTAATGGCAATTGCATTTGTACTTCTTTGCTATACAGTCATTGGATTGGAAACAGCAATTGGAGTTGTACGTGTTCAAGATTACTTTCATGCTGCTCTTCTTGGAAATAAGTATGTGATTTCAGTTGAATTCATTGGACATTAGTTGTATTTTGGATTTTTCTAGAACAACAAATAAGAATTCGACAGCAGCTGTGATGGAAGGAAAGTTAAAGGAAAAATTTGAATCAATAGGATTAGCATTTTTATGTTTATCCATTGGTCACGCTACACCATTCGAACATTGGAGTAAGTGAAATTATTCAGTTAAGTTCTGTGTCTAATTGAAGATTTTGCTCTTATTTTTCAGCTGGAATCTTCGGCGTTGTTTGCTTGGCATTGACCATTCGATTAGCTTATATTTCTTTAACGAAGAAATTACAAGCACGAGAGTCGAGAAAAGAAAAGAAGAATGTGACCATCCAAGACCAACCCGAAGAAATTCAAATACCTGTTCAAAAATCCATTGCAGTTATTAATACATCGATTTCAAACAATGATGCAAATACACGTCAACGAGCAATGACTTTGGATTCATCACGACGAGAAGTATGTTAACAATCATAGCGATCGGGATAAGAAAAAAAGTACAAATCTTCGTTATTTTAGAATGAAAAAAGTAAACATACAAAGGATCAAACTCCACCAATATTTTCCGCAAACATGACAAATCCAATGATCGCCGAAACAATCGATTCTGAAGATGATTCCCATTCTACATCTTCATCTGACAATGCCGATGATCCATTACATTCGTTTCAACGTAGTGCATCTTTACCAAGTATTTGGATCGATGGTCGTGCAGATAAAGTTTATACTGTCGGTTGCTTTGATTTATTTCACGAAGGACATCGTCTTCTTCTTCAACGTATGAGACAATATGGTCGTCAAGTTATTGTTGGTGTTCATGACAGTCGAAGTATTCATAAATTAAAGAAACGTGTCCCTGTCGATGGAACGGAAACACGAATGTTGAATGTGAAACGATATGCAGATGAAGTCTATTGTGTCGCAGGTACTGATCCGTCGAATTTCGTCAAATGTGTTGTACATTTACGAGAAAATGAAACGGCAGTCTATATCCGAGGTGATGATATGGCAGATTTTCCATCTCGACATGTCGTGGAAGAATTAATGCCAATCAAATTCTTGCCTTATACAAACGGTGTTTCGAGTACACAATTGCGCAAAGAATTGTTTTCGCATATTCAAGCGGATGATATGGAACATTTAGAAAAAGTCAATTAAATCCAACTGAGTTCTTCTTTCGATGAATCTCAGTTGCAGAAAATGTTTTGTCTTGTCTATACATGTATATATTTAGTTTATATTTTCCATAATAAATATGAGATATTTATTGAAAGTATTCGATATTCTTTGAAAGAGAATGTTTGGGTGTCACACGAGGCAAAGAACAGTTGATTCACGTGCATTGATTCACCTAACTACACTCACAATGATTGTCTCGACTTATTTTTAGATGATTTACTTTTCAAATTTTAAGTGATGTAAGTAGGAAAAAAACTCATCCCGTGTGTTTGTTTTCTCTAGAATATATGCAAGAGAACGAAAAAAAAAATATATCATTCTGATGAATAACATATTCTCTTTCTTTTCTGTTGATATTTATCATACCGACAACATATCAAATTGCACTCACTTTAGAATATTTCTCGCAATGCCCGGCATACGTCTATTTGGTCGTCGTTTTAATTTCTCATCTGATGATTTAACAATTCCATGTGTCATTGACATTGCACTTCGTCTTCCACTACTCGCCACGTTCATTGTCTTTCGTCTCAAAGATGAATCACCTGATTCCACATGTCCATCGTCATTCTACATTGGATATTTTTATCCACTTTTAAGTGTTTATGCAGCAATAACCATTCTGGCTTCGGTTATGTTGCTGACGAGTCTTCGAGGAACACCGGTGAAAAATACTCGACCACGTCGTCATATACCATTGATGATTTACATTCGTTTACTTCTGGTATTAATTGATATTAGTATAAATATTTTGGGACTGGTCATTATCGTACGAGTATTTCAAATATGTGCGTTGATTTTACGTGCTACGATTCTTACGTCGATCGCATTGAGTTGGACAGTCGCGTTTGCTCTGTTTATCATCTTAGCATTCTTTATTGATCTAAGTGGTGTAGTCAGTCCGGAGAAAAAATGGGAGATGCGGATCAAATTAATTTTTTGTTGTGGAAGAGGTTACGGTAAGGAAATTCATCGACAAAATGATTTCGTTGAAATTCTTTTACTTTGTGAATAGGAGGACAATCGTCGGATATAAAGAATATTGTTAAGACATTGAGATATTTGATTGACGATGAAAGATTCGATCTGGTTCCGAGTGATGTTGCAGCTGGTTTGATACTTCTACAACAAGAAGATGTTCTGGAAGAACGATCAATTGATATTGAACGATCAGTACCTTTAGAACTACTTCAACAAGGTCTTTATTATAATTCTTATGCACAATCTGCTTTTGGATGGTAAATTTTCCTGTTTTCGAAGTTCGGTTTGTCTAAATTGATCTTTTTTTTACTTTCGAGGTTTTCTCTGGCCTATCAATATCGATTAACATTTCTCCCACGAATTCTCTTTGCCATGCGATTCAAGTATAAAAGGCCGGATATTTCAGAGAAATTCAGTAAAGGTTTTTTTTCCTATTTACATAGAACAATCGGATTTTGTTGTTCATGGTGTGGATGTTGTACACTTTGTTGTCAAAATCAAGATAGTCTAAATGACCCATGTGGAAGTCAGTTTAGTACATTGACATATCTTTTACGGAAACAAAAACCTGTTATTCTATATGCAAATTTCCTTGGTGCACTTCATCGAGGTAGGATGAGATCTCCTTTTTGAAAGATTTCAATGTCTTTTTGTTGCTTTAGCTCCGTTTTACATCGCAGCTGATAATGAGAAAAAGACAATCATTGTTTCTATTCGTGGAACACTGAGTGCGACAGATATTTTAACTGATATTAATGCAGTAGAAGATACTTTGAACACTGAATTATTCGGCAGTGGACATTGTCACAGCGGTAAACTTTGATTTCTGAGAAAATCTTTCAAATCTTTATTTTCCATTGTTGGTAGGTATGCATACAGCAGCTAATTACATTCGTGACGATATCTCAACACGTTTAATCGATATATTTCTCAAATATCCTGATTACAAATTAGTTATTTGTGGTTATTCCCTTGGTGCTGGTATCGCTGCTATACTTTCAATTTTATTCAAGTCAACTTATCCTCATTTAATTTGTTATGGTATCGCTATGCCCGGCTCAGTTTTATCGGAAAACTTAGCATCTGCAACTCGGGATTTTATCTATTCGTACGTTGTAGATGTCGATATGATTGGACGTGCGTCAATACGTTCGTTAGAACATTTACGTGATCGGATTATTGATGCGTTGGATAAATGTAATCGAAATAAAATGAGCGTGTTGACCATGACACTTGTTCAGACATTGAGCAAACGAAGACAAGCATTTCATTCCATGAGTGGTCGTACACAAACACTAAGTGATGATTCGTTATTATCTCCTACAACGACAACAGTGACGATAAATCCTGACCCCGCTGTTTCACAACTTGTTCTTTCTCGTCGTTCTGGTGACCGACAACATTTAGTTATGCCAGGAACGATTATTCATTTGTATTCAACGAATCGTGTCGGATTATTTTCACGTAAAATCTCCTATCGTGCGTGTCTAAGTTCATATGATCAATTTTCTCAATTGATTGTTCATCCGAGAATGTGGTTGGATCACTTTCCAGCATCGTATAGTACAGCACTGACTGATGTGATTGATAATTACGATCAAAATCTTCAAGAAATCAACTAGTCGCTTGTTTTATTCGTGTATATTTTTCGGTATATTTACTATTGTTTGTATAAATAAATGAGCAACAACTCGAAGCATTTCTTTATTATTGTCATAATATTCACATATAAAAACATTTCTAAGTCGCCCCAGTACAGAAATTACCTGAATGTTGAGAACTTTCGACAGTGTTATAGTGTACGATTTATTTTGAGAAAGTAGGTTAGCGATGTCACACGAATAGTACAAATACTTTTATTTTTAAAAAATCCTTTGAATATATTTCTCGTATGCACGTATACTCGCAATTAAGTAAAGAAGTTCTATTTTTATACGATCATGATTTCGTTGAATCGAGAGACGCTATTTAACGGGCGCGTGAATTTGTTTCTCGTGTCATTAAAGAAAATTCTCAAAACTTCTCTTAGTTTCTGAAATATAAAGCTTTAGTAAAGTATGTCTCTCTCAGCTGACCAGTAGAGAGAAGTTCGAGAGGAAAGGGGAATGTGTTTTCAACGCATGAAGCGATGTGCCAATCTTCGTCTTTATAATTTTATTCATTAAGTCAAACATCTGTCATAATTTCAATTGAAGAAAGCCAATAGTTGCTTGAAAACCGATTACACATATATAGAAATACGTCAAACGTCCGTTCTGTAACAAAATTTGATAACAAGTCGAAGGATATTCCCAAACGGAATCTCAATTGTCACTTTCCGAGATTGAATTGAAAGCATGAACAGTGAAGCCAAATGGTAATTCGCTAACTCGTTCACCTTTCAATTTAATACATAAAACACCTTGTTGCGTTGGGATTCGAACTGTACGGTTTGAACCAGCTGGGGCATTACTTACGTTTGCTGTCGAGGAAAATCCAGCGACAGCAAAGCCTTTTCGTTCAGTCGCGGGAATTTCTGATGTGAAGCAATATTTAAATTTGCCTTTTTTATCGAGAATTGATGCGAGATTTTGTTCACAGTCGAGAATAATTACATCGGTATTCGGTAGAACGGCAACACTGCATGTTGGTTTGAGAAGACGACGAACGCGACGCGATAACTTATTACTTTGTTCGTAGATATTTCCATTACCTTCAGTTGAAGATGTCGGAGGTGCAGATGATGACGTGGCGAGAGCGGTAGGTGAAAGTGAACCATTTTCTTCTGTTGGTAATGAAGATCGTGGAACAGCATTACTGTCAAAGTTAAATTCATTCGTCGTCGTTGAAACTTCTTCTACTGTCTACAAAATGAATCAATACAATGAAGTAGATCACGAATCAAAGTTAGATTTCGTTTATACCTGTACAGCTTGCGCTGTCGTTATGACATCATCTGTTTGAGTCGCTATGGAAACAAAGGTTTTGGCAGATTCTGGATTGAGATCTGTGGTATCGGCATCGGCATCTTTTGTCTTCTCTGGTTTTCCTTCAAACTCTTCTCTATCATCATTTTCTTCGACTTCTTCATCTTCTTCCTCTTCTTCTTCCTCCTCCTCTTCTTCTTCTTCTTCTTCTTCTTCAATCTCACCTTCGCGTTCATCATCATCCTCTGGTGTCACATCACAGATCTTCAACGTTCCTAAATGTAATTGTCCCGGTTGAAAATCCAATCTCATACAAATATTCTCTGGTAATGGGTCCAGTTCAACGGCATCCAGTTCACGAAACTTCTCCATCAATTGTTTCTTTACTAATAACAGTTCAATGTCTTTCCCGTGGACAACAAGTTCTGTTAATGAACAAGTATTTTTAATTTGTTCGAAGTATTCATCCAATTCTTCTCGACGCTTGATAAATTCGTTTGTTTCTTCGCCATATAACTCCGAGATTTGTTGAACAAGTTCTTGCTCTTTGATGCGTAGGGATTTTTCAAATGTGCTCGCCAACGCATGAATACTCGCTTCAATCTGCGCGATATTCGCATCACATCGACGAATAATATTTAAATAAGCCTCTAATTCGCCCATACGCGTCTTACATCCATCAAGACATTCGTTTATGTACGATTTGTGATGCGCAGCTGCTGCTCGGAAATCTGCCAGATCGTGATCACGATGGTCAACATAAGTACAAGCAATACAAATACACGTTTCACATTGTTCACAATAATATCGCACGAATTCTGATGGATGATGCTTTTCAAGATAAAACATTATTTGAAAGTTAATCAAAATTGGATTCTTACTTTGCATAGGATGTCTTTTTCGATTTCCAATTCGTAAATCGAATGATCACGTGTAACGGTGATTGTTTGATGTGCTTGAACACATTGTCGGCAGAGAAATTTCTGACATTCCAGACAGCGTGATGTGGCTTCGCGTTCACGATCGTGAACAGCTTTACAAATTTCACAATTTGTTAGTACTTTGATCGATCCAGTTCCATTGGGATTCTTCTGTGAGATCATTTCGGATAAACCAGCGATTAAGAAATTGTCGGGTAACTTGTGAACACCACCCGATGGAATCGCTGTCTTCTTTCGACATATTGGACACGCAAATTCACGATAATCAGTGTATTTGTATGATCTAAAGAGATTGCTCTAATTGACAAAAAGCACTAATACTTTTGTTTATACAAAACAACCGAGATTTTCTTATGAAGACACTCAAACTCTTCATGTTTCTCTTTGATTTATCCGATCAGCATGGATTACTGTAAACACTTTACGTATGTAAACAGTATATTCCTATCCAAAACAGAAATGTTGTTAACAACTCAAGTTTAATCTCTAAACAAATGATGAGCTTTTCGCTTAGACAAAATCAACTATCTCTGAGTGGTTTCATCACTTCTAATTGCTCGACAAAAGACTTTACCTTTGAGCAGAAACATGATTTTCAATACACTGTTCGCAAAATGTATGTAAACAAGTTAAACATTTCGGATCTTTGAATGGTTCCTAAAAAAACAAAGACTATCGAGATGCGATTTTCATATTCAGTTGACATACCAGACATATTTTACACGTCAAATATTGATCATTGATTTTTTCAGCTAGACGAAGTACTTGCTGTGACATGCTGTCTGCTAAAGCCGGAGTTGTTCTTGCCGATGAAGTACGTGGTAAGCTCGCTTCGGGTAACGATAAATGTTCACTATCTTCCGTTTTGGAATTCGTTAAATTTCTAAACAAATCATCGAAGAATGAATCGTTGGGGAATCTTCGTCTGCCTATTCTATTGCTCTTCTTATCATCAGCTTGTTGTTTCTTTCACTTAAGCAACGATGGTTTGCTCGTTGGGATGTATTAGAGAGAAGGAATTCTTATTTATTTGACATATGATGAGACGGGGTGTACATCGATGTATGTTGTTCTTAGAAATCGTTAGTAATTATTTGGTGAGTTGGCGACGAATCCAACTGCTCGATATAGAATAATACTCTCGTGAAATTTGTACAATAGAATAAAAAGCAACAGAGATCTTCTCTTACAGAAAATACAAACAAACATTTGCAAGGTTACTTGATCTGAAGGCTGAAGGTGAAAAGACAGAAATCGCTTCTCGCGATGATCATGCTGATAAAAAGGACGAGAGACAGAGAAAGAAAACGGTTTACTTCGATCAATTCAACTGAAATGATTCTCATTAGATAATTAAAGTTCACTTACTGATCATTAGATGAATTATTGTTAGAATTCGTTGTACTTAGGTCACTTGCAGATGCTCGATCATTTTTCGATTGTACAACATTCAACAACGTATTTTCCGCTGACGACCACCGATCTGCCTTTTGATGAGGATTGGCCATCTTCAAATGTTAGCTTTGCTTTTTTCTCGACTACTCCTATCTTCTGTGCTTGATGTCTGATAGGTTAGGGATATTCATACGATGTGTCTACGGCGCATATTTTTTTCTCTCTGTACGTACAAGAAATGCACACACACATACAATTTGAGATGACAGATTTTGTCATCATATTCCATCGTCTAACTTGTGGATAGAAAGAAAAATATGCACCCACACTCGTGGGAGTCGGTTAATGAGGAAAAGAATATGAACTGAATGTTCTATGTACAATTAAGATGAGGAAAGAAGTCGAGGAAATCTCCAAGGATTTGTTTTCGGCAGGCTATTTACGTGCAAGATCAAATATAGCTCTCATTCTGTGAAAACAAGTCAGACTTCGTACACAAGAATGTACAAGTTTCAGTATCAGAATCATTGCTTGGATTAACGAAGCCTATAGCATGCAAGATGAAAAAGGAATATTATCCATGTGCTGATAGATCTGATTATATCTGTCAAATCGTTAGATTCGCTTGAGTTAAGCGAAGAAAACATTCCTCTTAATGATAATTGACGATTTTTCTGCTGTGAATCAAATTCAGTGAAACTCTTCTTAATGAACACTTAGTGTTCTTCAGGATATTCTTTTGCATCGTTATTTATCGATGTAAGTCATGAACAGAAATATTTCAAAAAACCTAGAAATTGAAAAACACGGTATGATTCTTGAAATGGAATGAATATGATCAATTTTAATGATCATCCGATCGGTGAAACGAACGTCTTCCATTCACTCGAGACAAAGGAAAACATTTGGAGCCGGTAATTATTAATCATTTCAGACAATTATGCATTTTTTATTCGTCTATATCAAAGTAAATATAGATTTTCAGAAATTGCCATCTAGCTAATAGAATATTCCCATTTATATTCTCGAGAACGATGTGGAGGAATATTAAATCGAAATAAAAACGAAGGGGAAAAGAAAACGTTTATTTGAAACATAACCTTTCGTCTATTTTCTTTGATGATACAGAGCAGATGGGTCGAATGATCTCTTAATCTTTTCCATGCATTTGCTTAGTCTTTTCACTTACCTGTCACTCATTACAGTTGTTTGGTCAATAGTTGCACGTTCTAAAGTAGAATCGATCTTATTGATTGGAGTCGAAAGATCTTCAACGAGAGAAAGTGTCTGCGATGTTGATGAAGGAGTTTCTTCACAGTTTATAAACTCATCGTTATCACCAGTCGTGAGCGACAAACAACTCGCAAGTTTGCGCAGCACGTGCATTATACATATGCATCATTGCGAGATACTGCCGAAGAGATTGTGATACGCACACTGAGAGAGGGAGAGAAAATCGAGGAAAAAAGAACAAAAAAAAAAGAATCTTCGCAATCGGAATCTCTCATCGATCATATAACTCTCGATACCTAATCAATGTACACAGAAGTAGATGAAGGTTAGGAGAGGAGATGATGCTTCTGTATTCATTTATTTGTTCATTAGCTCGACTATGATCGACAAACACATGTATTCATCTTTTATCTTTCGCAATGTTGTTACATCATTTACAAGTAATTATTCAGCTCGATGAATAAATCGGAGAGAAATTCTCTCTGTCGGATGATGTTTGTCTGTGTATTTTTCAATAGAGTATGTTTATTTACCAACTGGAGGAAATTCGACTTACCAAGTGACATAAATAATCTTCGTAATAGCTTTTCTTTTCACTTTTTAGTTGATTAATCTAATCGATTGAAGAGAATCCCTTGAGTTGCCGTTCGATTCGACTCTTCTCCCAACCGATGGGTCAAAAAACAGTACATTGAGTTTTTTTTCCTTCCTGCCTCGATATCAGAGCTTTGTACAATTTACTCGGCAGAAAAAAACAAACAGCAATCGAGTAGAAAAGAAAGGAAGGAGAGAATATCCACATTTATTGTTCACAGCAACTCGTTTAGCCATATACAGATGGAAGAATGCAAAAGGACAAGAACGAAAGACAGATAAATGAATAATCATCTCTTCATTGGAATGTACAAGAAGTTTGCCTTCTTCTTTTTCTTTTGATTGTTTATTAGGAAGCATCCGAACAGAAGAGAACACATTATCTCCTTTCTGTCGACGTCAAGACTCGCATTCTGTGCTGTTTGCTTCGAATGACGTTGTATACATATTCGCAGTTTTGCCATAACTGACGACACCCGCATACTAATCAATTCTTGTCCGCCTCTTGATACCTAAGAAAATGCATAATCAAACACACAAAAGGTTTCCTTTGGCAAAGAAGAAATATAAAAGAACCTCGTTGCTGTGTGATTCACGAAGCGTTTGATATCCTTTGAACGAAGTTTCCGTCCGTGACTTTGCAATAAACGTTCTATTTGTATTCTAAAGATGATGGCTTTTCTTTTGTTCAGTAGAAAACTGCATTTTCATTCAATTGAATCCTCGCTCTTTGCTTCAAGTTAAGCAACGAAATGCGATACACGGTGGAACTCTTTTTTTGTTTACAAAACTCCATCTTCTTCAAGCACGTTTGGTTTCAGATGTATTCATATTAAAGTAGAGAAATTAGCAAAGCAATTTCCGTTGGAAGTTATTTAGTTTTCTTTGTTTTTCAAAAATTCAGATGTGACTTTGTCAAGGTTTCTTTTCTCTGATGATCAAACCAATATTTGCGACGCGATAAACACGCGATGTGAAATGTTGATAAAAGAATTTTATTTTTATATATCAAGTTCTTCGGTGTTGCAACTTTGTTTCGACTGTCATTGACAGAAGCTCATCGAGGAAATGAAGAGAGAGAGAGAGAGAAAAAACCGAGACAAACGTGATGTTTTCTACCATTTATGAAGTAGAACAAAAAAAGGAGAATATATATTTGTTAATTTGATTGTTTGCTTTTATTGTTTCTCTTTTCTTTTTCCCTCTTTTTTTTCATTGTCTAATCACAATTATTAGTGCAATTGCGATTGAAATATTTCTGTATATACCCTCGTCGGCATAAAAGGAAAGTCATTTCTTCAAAAACATAAAGCTAAATAACATATCTGAAAGAAGAGAAAAAGGGTATGTGCTATAATTAATTAAATGAAAAAGTAACTAACTCACGAGGCTTTCACAGAAGCCCGCCGAACGGTATGTACTTATAGATCCGATAGTCATTGTGTTGAATTTCAGGTTTTTACTCAAAAGCCAGGGGGTGTGCCATTATGTAATCAGATTTCAATCGGTTATAACGAATGATTAATTACGGTTTTGTAAATATTTCCATTAATAGTAAAGTACATTGCTTTTGTTATGTTCTAAAGTCTTTTTTTTGTGTTATTGTTGATTGATAATAGCTAGACGTGACTTTTCAGACATTCACTTTATTTCTTTTTGACATCCAGAAATTGTTTTTCTATCGCGTATTCTCATATATATCAATGTTCTACTTGATTGTTTGAAAATAATCATGAGAAGGTCCCACTGAAGACTATGCGACTAGTTTAAGGTACCAGTAGCGCAAACATAACTTCTTTTACTTAGTTGAATCTGCTCGAGTTGAAACTTTCCTTTTAAATAGTCTTAAAAGCAATTTCCTGTTTTCGAAGAAAATGACAAAGGATAACCCATGTTGTAATTACCGCATAACACTTATGTTTCGCTAAGTATTCATGCAAAATTGAAGTGTTTTTACTGCGTATTATTGTAAGTCTATTCTGTTTTTTATTTTCGAACATTTATCGATTAAAGTGTAAGAAGAAGGAGGAAGTGAGACACACAGAGAGAGAGAACCGTTTGTGAAAAAATTGATTAAGATGCTTGTTGATTAGAAGTCACGCATACGGGATCATAAAATATACATGACATATATTTGTAATTAAAGAAGATTGAGTAAGGGGGAGACAGAAGAGTCTTTTTTCTTTCTTCTATATAAGCTTTCGCACATTTTTGTTTCATCTTCGATGAAATTTTTGCATATAGTAGTACATTGCTATTCTTCTTCCATGATAGGAAACCGACGACGTCAACAATGATGGCAGTATGAGTGAAAAGACACAGACACTCACTCACTTGCGCGTTCACTCAGTCAGCTACTTTCTTTTGCATCCAAATACGTCATCTAGTCGTTCACCCACTCGTTCACTCAGTCTCGATTAGTATTCTTGCGGACAAATTTGCAAAAACAATATGTCTATGCCGGTCTTCATGCTTGTGCAAGCTGAATAATCTTCATTAACGCATAAAAACGAACAAAACGATTTTAATGAAAAGTCCAACATCGGTCTGTTGTTGTTTTCATTAACATATATTTATCCACTTTTGCTTTCTCTTGATTATTTGTTCATTGATTAGAAAACGAATCTCACGAGAGTGTAATCAACATTAGGTCTTTTGTTGCTGTAGCTATTGCTGTTGTTCTTGTTGTTGTTCATTTTCCCTTTCCTCTCTCTCTTCTCTTCTCTTCTCTTCTCATTTATCGTTAGAGAACGGTTTTTGTTTTTTCTTTTCTATTAAGCATTGTAATTACACAGCAGTCGTCTTTGTCTTGTAAGGAATTATAATTGTGTCTTACGCATAATTATAATAATAGATCGTTGAACGTCAACATTGCGTGAGAACCTCGATACACGAAATGAACATCGAACGTTTTCATACATACAATCGAAAACTACTAAGAACGTGATCAAGATTTGATAAGTGCTGACAGTTATCTTTGCCCTTTATGAACGTTTTTCAACCTGTGGTCTCTTGTTATTCACATTTGTTGCAAGCGCAGACGAAAGAGTAGAAAAAGGAAAACGCATTGCTGTTACTCCCACTTCGAGGTATACAATAGAATATATAAAAAGTAGCAGACAGAAACAAAGTGACTAGTTCTTTTTTCTGATGATGTTATTCTGAAGTGATGTCGAATTTCTTTCGATGTATTTATATTGAGTCTTCAAAGGTGAATTTATTTCAATTTCAGATGAAGAAATTCGTTTCGAAGAACAATCCGAGGATAATGCCGGGCAATATTTATCAATATGATATTAACCAAGATATTGCTGTGTAAAAATGATGGTAAATATGAAGATGGATTGATCGAAAATGAATTGGAATATACTCGTATTAATTAGTTTTCTTTTCTTTCTTCTCAACTATGCTCTTTGTCGACAGATGACATGAATATTTAGTTTGATGTAGAAGAATGATCATCTTTGTTGCCTGCGGCAAAGGTTGAAAGTCATGTTTTATATGAAAGTATTTCTATTTAGAGTGTACGTTCGCCGTTGAATCAAAGAAGTCTGGCGTTCATCGTGCTCATTTCGGGAATTGTCGGTGGTCTTCTCATCGTTTTTTCGATTCTACTATTATGCAAATATTGTTTAAATCGAAGAAATTTGAGGTGAAAATTTCAGTTTCATTCTATTGGTTCATTAACGAATGATTTGATTTGCAGGGAAGCCGAGCAAATGAAACTTTTGTACGAAGCGTTAAATCAAGCCTCGTTCACCGATCCAAATCGATTTTATGCAAAAGGAATTCGCGAATCGTCACCACTGGAACCACGCCGATCGAATCCACTCGATCGATATCTGTTACAAGAGTATATAAAATTCATATTGATTCACTCACTCATAGTCTCATATAGGGAACAATGGCAAATACCACGTTCAAAACCGATTCTGTCTGATTATCATCTGCCAGGTGGTCAAACTGCGCATAATCAATCTTATCACAGTAGTCGAGAACATCTGAGTACGTGGAAATAACGCACTTTAAGAAATTAATCACGTATACTTGCGTACGGATGTCAGCCTTTCTCGGCAATGGAATTTGAATAAGAATTACAATTTTCCGTTCACGACAGAGAGAGAAAGAGAAGGCCAATGCCTAATTTATCTTATTCATAAACTTTTCTTTGATTTTGTTTTTGAATTTTAGGTGTCAAGTCGCATGATTCGTAAGTATTGACAAATACGAAGAAAATACGCAAGTTTTCGTCTGGTTTAGTTCGTCTCGTCGAAATGTTGCTAATGATGAGGAACAAGCTTATTTACAAGTTGATCCACGCTGTTACGTTCGACAAAATTCGAGCACGACACTTGCTTTATTAGCACACAGAAAATCTGACACACCACGTCTTGAAAAAGGTCATTCGCTAAATGCGGATACTCGTCCATCACCATCTTCCTTATCACCATATCGACAAAGCAGTTTTGACGTTAATCTTGCTTATCGTTCTCAGCAACAACAACAACAACCCTCGTCACCAACATCTCTAGCATCCACACAACCAGATATATATTATACACCACGTGGATCAAGTTTGTCCGTTATGGGAAATCCGGTATCGAACACGCCAACAAGCTCTCAACATTTATCACCACCTACGCCAACAGCAAGTCGCAAGAATTCTATTGCACTTATTATCGAAAAGAAAGATCTCACTGCAACACTTGACACATTCGGTAAGCGAAAGGAAACAACAGGAAAAATGCCTTCGAACATTTTCCGTTATAGGAAATCAACCATTGACAGTTCGTTCAAGTGTTGTACAACGTGAACATGAGCATTCTCGATCATTGGAATATTCATCGCCACCAGTACAACATCATTCTACGACAAGTAGCCCAGCAAATGATAAACAATCTCGTAGCTTCGATGCTGTCCACCTTCTACGACCTGGTGTGAATCGTTCAGATGTAGTTAATCGTCGAACGAAATCTTATGAATGTGCTGATGAACGCCGTCCATCGACATCATCGATTGCACCAGCACCTATCGTTATTAAAATTCCGGACATGAGTGAACTCGTTCAAGCAGCTCAATTATCTCGAATTCAAAATCGACGTGAAAGTACCAAGATGGTAAAAAGCATTCGCGAAGATGTCTCATTCGAAAATCGACTGATTCTTTGCTTTTCAGGAGGAATATCAAAGTAAGACCGGTCGAAAAGAAACTCTTGTTCAACAGTTCAGCAATAATGATGATCAAGTAGCTCGAACAGCATCGCAAGATCTTTGGCGATTACGACAATCGTATGAACTCGAAGAACAACAACAACTCGATCGAACATCACCCGAAGATCTTTCACCTGATCTCTTAACGTCAACATCTATCGATTCAGCAGGAGCTATGCCGATTCATAATTCCAGTAATCATAACCCTCTGATCAATAACGATGAAAATCCATTAAAATATCATTATCGAAGAAAAAGTTCGTCCAATCTTCTACTACCACCTCCGGAAGTTCGTCGGCAAGCATTGCGACGTACGTTTGAAAAACGACGTAGTTGTATTAATCAGTCGAATGCTCGGCGTGAACAACAATTGCTTCACGATCCAATGGGTCTAGATGATGAGAACTTACGAAATCCTGTGACGAAATTATCAACTTTACTGAACAATTTCAATTCCAAGAGTGAAAATTCGAGTTTCGAACGAAGTTTAGAAACCGATTTCGATATGCAATCAGATACAAGTAGTCGAGGACACAATGATCAGTTCACTTCAATTGAATCATCAGGAAATGAAAACGCGTTACCCGATGCGACCAGCCGATACATAACAACTCGCCGACAGCAACAACAATCATCACCACAAATCTCGCCACAACAAAATGACAGCGGCTACAAATCATTAGAAAGTCAAAACAGTCAAAATCGAACCATCAGTTTAGATTGGATGTCAGCAGATGGAGGAGAAAGTGTTATCTATTTGGGTGATTCACGTATACAACAAAGAAGTGTTGATATCAAAGACTTAGATGAAGATTTAGTAGAACAAGAACAACAGGGAAATCAATTAAACACCAATCGGTAATAACGATTTCGTTTTATAAAAGTCACGTTTTTATTTTTATTTTTGTTTCAGACGTAGTCCGAAATTACTTCACGCTGGTCTTCAACATTCCTATCAAGAAACATCAACAAATCTCATTCAATCTGGTTCAGCTAATGCTCCTCTGATGCAAAATCGTAGTTTATCAACGAATATTCCATTTGTTGACCATTCGAAACCAAGTCCGATTAATCTCTCTGCTGCATTCAATTCCAATCCAATGAATCAACTGAATAATCATCATAATCACAATAATAATAATTCGAATAAACTTTCCACATCTTCGTCGTTTATTCGCACCGCCAGTAAGAAACGACGAGAATTTGGAAAAGATAAAAAACACGCATCATCGAATGCTAGTCTTCCACCTTTGATCAATGATGAACGTCAAATAACAGTTCATCAAGTAATGTTTTCTATTAACATTTAATATATCTTTATTGACTGTTTATCGATTAGATTAATGAAACAACTGAAAAATTTTCATCATTACAAGTACGACATCCAGATCTTCGCCGAACGAGATCTGATGGCGCGAGAACTGTTCCACCAAATACTGAAAGTAAATTCATATTCATCTTCTCAATTGTTCATCTACTTTCGTTCTAATAGATTCCTCAACTAATGAATTGACCGCAAATCCGAATACTCGTTTATCATCAAGTGCAGATGGTCTGCCAGTTGTTCATTCTCCTTCAGGCCCAATTCGTCATCTTCTTTCACCGAATTCAACTGACGTAGACAAAACTCGAGTTACTCTCCAACGTTCACCATCTTCAACAACATCACCTGTCACTCTGCAATGTCAAACCGATGCCTTTCGTTCACAACGCAATTCTGTTTCCTTCGATACCCAATCCTCATCGACAACGAAAAGCAAATCTCCTCCATCAACTAATTCTATCTTTCCGACATGTGTAACTAAATCACGTCTTAAATTCAGTATGGTACGCGAATCAGCCATGACTGGCTTAGGACATAGTGCGCCGGTTTATTCCATGCCGATAACACGAGATTACAGTATCGACGAGAAAACCAATCGCATTGTGAATGAATTTCTCATGCACGATCCGACATTAGATGATAAAAAAAACTTTTCCGAAGATAATCTACATCGAACCATACCTAAACGTTACCATCATCGAGTGCGCCCGAAAACGTTCGATGAAACAACCGCAACGAGTACATCTCCTACTAATTCACACAAACAACCTCGTTCGCCTGTAAATAAACAACGTCATCAGAATTCCTTACAAACCTATCCTCGTAAACATCCGCAATATCATTATCCATCCGTGCATCTTCCCGAAAATATCGAGCAAAAAGAAGCAGAAGAAAAGGAAGGAGATAGTAGTGATCAGTCAACACCTTCATTACTCTCACATCAACAATCAACAACGGCTGGTACTCGACGAGATAATAGTATCGCATCTGGATCTCCATCAATCATCATAACTGGTGATGATAGTGGAAGTTAAATGCAGCCTGAAACGATCGTTTAGACTTTATTGTTTTTTCTGTATATAAGATTGACATTCTGTTGCGTCTTTTTTTGTATTATATATCGATTGGAAAGGTTTTGTTTGATTTGTTTTTCTGTTGCTTGATACATTCGATTTTTTTGGTGTCGATATTCGATTATTAAAATACATGTTATATCATTTATCAGAAAAGAATGGTAATGAAAATGATTACGGTTGCTTTCGATCTACTTGAAGATAATTACTTTTTTTTCTCTTCCGTTATGTACTTCGTTCACCGGGGACTAGACGTGATTCTAAGGTCATTGTAGTCTATTGCACTCATCAAATCTTCGTGATAAAAATAGAATCGTAATTAGAATGATAGGACGCTGCTAGAGTTTAGCGCAAGTCTGAGAAAAGTGGAGCATTTTGATCCATAAGATACCGAGTTTGGACTCGTTTTATGGCGATTTGTAATTCTGATTCCTTGGACGATGAGCAGTGAAATTTTGACATCATCAAATCGAAGCGGTATGTTCGAATAGTACTTGTTGTTCGTCGATCAAGTTCCGCACGTTTTGTTCCTTCACCATGAGTAACTTAATGAGGCAAAAACGACGGGATTCGATTTTCATCACGAGAAATGATTACCTAGATTAAATGTCTTTGTGATTCTCGTTAATAAATCATGAACTGGATTAGTTGATTGATTAACTGATAAAAATACAAGAATGGAACGGATGTCGAGGGTATTTTGGGAACAGACTTCGAGTTGGGCGAATGACAATGGTTTTCGATGGGGAATTGACAAGAAAGAACCGAGAAAATGTTGATTGAAATTGATAGGTTTCGATCAAAGCTGGTTTCGTTTTCAAGATTCTTTCAATTTCTGATGTCTAAACAGCAATGTCAAATAGAAAACGTTCGAAAACTTCAATTTCAAACCTTTTTACATTCGACTATGAAATCCTTCAGGATCACAATTATCGCCGTGGTAACCGCCGGTAACAACTCGTCGTAGAAATTCGGTAAATCCTTAGTTATTAAATACTGATCCCATACAAACAATAAAGTGTCCATTGTTAAACAGTCTAAACATCTCATCAATTATTCTGTTTCATTCACACTTTTCTTACTGATAAACATGTAGTGGAACCAACTAGAACAAGATTTTCTCAGAAAGTACAGCACGTCGTTTTTCATGCATTGCGAACGTGAAACAAGATTGTTTTGAAGAACAGTTTGTATGTGATTCCAAATGAACGGATCGATACGGTTCAAATGATATTCGACTTTCTCAAACCATAAATCAAATGTCTCGATTGAATTCTAAAAGCACTGAACGTGATCATGGCAAATAGATTTGGATGTATTACGTTTAAATGAATGTATTTCAGTGGTTTGGGAAGTGTATCAATGAATGTTTGATACATTTCAATGGAATCCGAGAGAAATGTTTCCAAAGATCTAACAAGAGAGATGATGAGGAAAGTTTGAAATTGAATTTACTTGGACAAATCTGTTTGTTGGACATAAACAATTGGTATGAGGTAATAATATTCGGCTTGGGTTAAGTTTCGTTGGTCGATGAATTGCGAACGATAATAAGAAAGGATCGCTTTCATTGCTTGCACAGTTTCTACGAGATATTTTTGGATTTTATGAAGAAACTTTCAAAAAATGTTCTTTTTACGAAGAGATTTTTGAATTTCCGATGCACATGGTAGGAATGAAATGAAATAATCGCATTTATCATGAATCTCCATATCCATAGGTGACAAAACACTCTGCGGATGATTTGATAAATCATCACGAAACTTTTCTGGATCTAAAAATAAACACCAATTATTAATGAGATTCCAAAAAAGATATGAAAATAATCGGATTATCGATGATTCAATTACTGAAATTGACATTCATCTCTGATTAGAATCTCATCAGACAGAATACTCTTCTGACTTACAATTAGCATTGGATAAATACAAATGCCAACTAATCGAACGTATTGGTTGACTCAATGGGCGATTGAAAAATGCGTAGAATTTCGATTTTTCGTTAGACCAATTGCGTAACAGAGTAATCATGTCATTACTTATCTCAGTCAAATAATCGTGTTTTGGTGATACTTGTGATGAAGAACCAGCAGAAACCAACAACTCGGCAAAGTTTTCAATGAGAAAACTGTTACTTTCTTCAGTGAACATCGTTTTCCATTGTCGTCTGATTTCAGCAAGAACACACTGTTGTTCGGAAGCGGATAAATCGATAAATTTTCGGAGTTTTTCGTCATTAGCGGCATTGATTGCAGTGGATAGACGATCCCATCCCTGTGGAAATATCGAGTTCAATGACACATTTTCATCCGGATAGGAAATCACCTGAAATTGACGATTGTTCTCAAAGTTTCCTTTTGATTGTTGCGATACCTTCAACATCTTGTTTTTCTTTTTGATGCTTATCTTTCAAGAATTGTTTTCATTTACAAACGGGAGGCATCTATTGAAAGAAGAGAGAACGGGAAGAACAGAGGTAATGTCAGGTGAGAAGAAATGAAAAATGGTTGATGAGAAAGAATACAGAGCGTCAAATTCAAACGAACTGATTCGAATAAGAAATGACATCGACGTTACGTTCAGCTGCGTCTGTACGAACTGGAATTTCTGCTGGTGGCAGATCTGGTGGTCAAGCATCAGGCGTGACACGAAAAACTGCACCAACAAATCGATCTGCTCGCGGTTTACCGAAACTAATCGAAAATGATCAAGATGTGACGCCCAAACGTCTCGTTGATCCTGAACAATATTACAACAAAGTCAAAGATTCAGTTCTCTCAAATGATGCCTCATCAACTGTAACTATCTCAGTATTTCAAACATCAACACATTTGTACGTCTTTTAGCCAAGTGAAACAACGTATTCAACAGCACAACCACAAGTTTTCTCTGCAACCAAGTATATCATTAAAAAACATCATTTGCCGATATTAAATGTTTGCTTTTAGATCGTTGATGGGACATAGTCATGGTGGAGTTGCGAATTCGCATGGAACTGACGCAGAAAGTTTCCCATCTGATCATGATGCAGATCAGTTGGCCCAAAGTGTTGCAACACACGTAATTGAAGACGGTAAAATTGATATTCGCTTGATAAAGTTTGATGAAGAAAACTTTAGACGAATCACTCATGTCAATGGATGGAGAAACACCTCAATCATTATTAACGCTTAGCGAAACAGATACGATTTTTGTTCTTAGTATTGATAGTTGTATTGTTGCGAACGATGCCACAGATTTAGAAGGTATTAAAAAACAAAATGAACGATATGTTGAAGTAAAAGAATTTGCATTGGACAACTTTCTTTTATGGAAATGAATTATTTTAGTTATGTAAAAGTCGTCAAGGGAGCGATGTGTTCAGTGATCGTGGTATGAACACATTCAATAACACAGTTAAGAACAAAGAAGTTCAATGTGAACGAATTCAATCACAGGTATATCAGTCCGATGTAAATCATTGACGTGTCATTCACTTTTCCTAGAGTCGAGAAGTATATGCTTCTGTAGCCGATATGTACGATTCTGAACGAGGTGAAAGTAAAAGTATGTAACACAATCGTATCATTGGTTTTCTTTGTAATTTCACGAATGATTTTAGTTATTCTTGGTAAAAGTACTCATGATACACAAACAATTGATGAACCGTTGTCTCGAACTGGTCTGTTGTGTATAAAAAAGAAGGAAATATAGAAGTGAAGTTGATGTTTTTCAGATATGACACGATCGGTGGGTTCTGGGGTTGATAAATCACATGGTACGCGTCTCTCGGAACAATCGATTGATGAAACAATGAGAAAACCAACAATTGCAAAAAGTACGAACGAACAAGTTGAAGATCCACAATCATTTGATGTAAATTTCTATGCAAATCATCCTCAAGATGACTTGGAATTCTTCGTTTAGTCATCGAAAATCGCTACGAGTGTTTTCATCATGGAACGAATACTCAATTCGAACACAAATCAAGTAAAACAAGCGATCTATCGTGGATTAACTCCATTAACTGACCGAGAAGAAAGTAAATCTCCTTCAGATCTCTTTTATCGACAAATCAAACCACTTTTGTTTAGAAACTGTCGCTTATTCTGGTTTAACTCTCGATAAATTATTCGGTAAATGATCGAAATTTCTCGTAAATAAAGATCATATCTTCTTCTAGCTTATTCGGCTGAAATAACCAATAATAAAAATGTCAGCGCATTGTCGTGGAATCATCAAAATTCCGATTTACTCGCCGTCGGTTACGGTCCTTTTGAATACAATGATCAACGTAGTGGTTTGGTTTGCTGTTGGTGTCTAAAAAATCAAGATGTATACCTTTGTTAAAATCAACTGCTGAAACGCATTCTTTCTATTCTCTTTGTTTAGTTTCCTGAACGATTTTATCATACGCCATCCGCGGTAACAACAGTGGCGTTTTCCGTCAAGTTTCCATCGTTATTAGCTGTGAGACGATGAATTTGTTTTGATAAATGTTCACTGTTTCCTTTCGTTACAGGTTGGTCTTTTTGATGGAACAGTTAATGTTTATAATGTACAAAATAATATCGATAAAGCTTTACTTGATACCGAGTAAGATTCATAGTTGTGTTGTCTTGTGAGAGTTTACTTTGATTGTGGATAGGGAAGTTCCTGGTAAACATACTGCACCTGTTTGGCAACTTTATTGGTTAGCTGTGGAAAAGAGTCGTGATGATGATACAGGAGAAGTACTTATGTCAGTTTCAACCGGTTCGTGTCACATTGTATTTTGAATACTTATTTTTGACGATTGTAATTTTGCTTTTGAAGACGGTCGAGTAACTCAATGGTTATTACGTAAAGGTTTTGAATCGAGTGGTAAATGAAGAAATGTGTAATTCATACAGAATTGTTTGTTGTACTCTGATCTATTTAGATTCGATGAAATTAAAACGCATTTTGAGTAAACAGACAATTCAAAGACGTGATAATTCCAAAGAAGTAAAGATTCCCAAATCAGAGAATTTGTTATATCGACAATCGGGTGGTTTATGTTTCGATGTTTGTCCTGATGATTCTACTATGTATGTTAAAAGTCGTATTTACATGTGTCTATCATACTTCATTTACAGATATTTATGTGGTACAGAAGAAGGTCTTATCCATCGATGTTCATTGGCCAACAATGAACAGTATTTGGATACGTACGCAAGACATTCAGTAATTGAGATAGTTTTATCGAAATTTCAAATTTGTGATTGATTTTCATTTGTGCTTAGGGTCCAATTTATCGTTTGGCTTGGAGTCCGTTGGCTAAAGATGTTTTTCTTTCATCATCTGCTGATTGGACTGTATCACTTTGGACAACTGACAGATATGAACCGTGTATTACATTTACATCGAGAAAGGTCTCCATCAAACCTTTGAAACGAAGTCACTAATTCTTTTCTTATTTTATAGAAGCCAGTTTTTGACATTTGCTGGTCACCAAAATCTGCCACGATGTTCTGTTGTGCTAATGAAGAAGCTGTTGAAGTTTGGGACATTTCACGAAACACGTAAGTCATATTATTCTCATATCTTTACCGATAATCTGTCCTCTCTTGATAGACTCGAACCCATCGATGTTATATTAACAACGCATCCATACATATTCACATCGATCACCTACGCTCCGAATTCTGAAGTATTCCTGAATCCTTCTTGCTTTACTATTCGACTTTCTCATTTAATTTTCAGTGCGTTCTTGCTGGTACAAATGTAGGTTCAGTTGTTGTTTACAATTTAAAAAATCTTCCAGCACCAACGAAGGTACATCAGTCATCACGAAACTCAATTTTGTTTAATAACCTTCTTTTCTACAGGCTGATGAATTAATGGAAATAATCAAACAACAGACGCATCAAGCACTAATACCGGAAGATCCGACTGTAAAAGCTGCAGCTGCTATGAAACCTAAAGAAAACGTCCCTATAAGCAACAATAAATAAGGAAGATAAGTTTGATAATAGTGGTTTTTCTTTTTAATACATTTTTATTGAATAAAAACAGCAAATGAATGAATGAAATACACATCTGCCGAAACAGAACACAAAATCACCGGAAAAGTCATCTAATTTTGTATAAAAAAAATCAACTTCGTATTTTTATACACAAATTTATTTAAAATACCGTCGAGCTATTTGTTAAATATTCAATCACACCTCGATACGTCGTAAAAGCGTAATCAATATCTTGTGGAAGAGGGAGAAATCGAAAATTTTCAGTATAATACTCATGGGCGACTAAATGAACTGTCGAATTGACATCTGCGTTTGATACTAATTGACAGATGAGATCGATAAAGGCAGTCAAGGTTTCATCAGCTGCCATGGCCATTCCCTCGGATGATGAATGATAGGCAACTGCGGAATTCTTCGCATCGACAACCATTAATGTCTTGGCAGCGATTGTTAAATCCAATGTTGAACGAATACATTTCGCCTTTTCATATGAGGATTTTAGATCATCGAGTCGTTTCAATTCATTCGACGCACTTTGATTGGAATTTGCTGGGAAATCATTGGAATTGGCTCGTTGCTTTCTTTGTCGAATTCGAATGTTTTCAAACAGAAGTTTCTCTTTACTTTCGGTCGATTCGAGAATCGTTGGCCAAACCTTTGTATATACATAGCCTGTTACATAAATCTCACTAGCTAATTCGATATCTCGATCTTCGGATTGCCGATTTAACAATCTATAGGAGTCTTGAAGGAATTGTGTACGTAGAAGACGAAGTTTATCGATGGCGTGATTGAGAAACTTGGGAAGAACGACGTATTTGTCAGTAAACGAAAATAAGTCCGTACATAGACGAGTGAATGCAGGTTCAATTTGACGAAGTGAATCAAGAAACACAAATGATGACTCATAACTGGCTGTAGATGCATTAAATCGAGGGATCTAAACGAGAACCTTTACGAGATAATGAACTGAAATCTAATAAGGAGATTTTTACCGTTGGTGACAAAGTTCTAATGATTGGTTTGTATAACGGGTTATTTGAAATTTGTTCAAATCCATTTAGATCGATCAATGGTTGCTCTATGATTAATATCGTGTAAGTACGTTGCCGTACACTATCACGAACATCTTCTTGACTCAAGATTTTGATGCGTTTTTCACCGGCACCTTGTTTCTTATAGAAAAATCGTATTGCGCGATTGTTGTCAAACTCAATTTCATATTTATCATTCCATGAAACATGTTTGCGAAGGTACATGGGCGAAGGACGGAAAATGTGGGACTCAAACGCATCCCGTTTCAATAAAACAGCATTGAGATGTTGTGGAATAACGATAAACGAACACGCACCTTGAACTTTCGCATAAAACTCCGAATGATTCGATATTAGTTGCTGATAAAATGGGAGATCTTCGAGTTCAGGTACGTCTGACGAAGTCATATCGGAAAGAAAATGAAACGAATTTGTCGACAGAGTAAATAGAATAAAGAATACTAAGAACAAGACAAAAATGGAGTTACTATCAATGGGAAAAGGCGACATGTAACGAATGATTTGACAGAAGAATGAACCAATTAGAATTGAAAATAACGGTTGAGAGTTGAGAGTGAGAAGAGATTTTCTTTTTTAATTCACTATCTCATCTCGTATCTTAAAAGATATGATAGTTTGAAAAAGGAGCGAAGCAAAAGACAAGAGAGTTTTTATCAAAGAAAAATAAAGGCCTAACAGACAGAACAAAGAGTCTATCGTGTTAGTTTTTGTTTGTTTATGCATTTCATTTAGATTGTAAATGAATTCAGGAAATTCAGTCAACGCAGATGACGAACTCACATCGTCGAACGAAACCACGCGGTTACTTGTGCAACAACTACAACATACAGTATCACCAATTAGTCGCATTGGACCGAGACATTCGATTTCTTGGGTAATCATTGATTTTAAATGAGAAAAATCAATAAAGTACGACGAAACTTTGTTTGTTTAGGAATTTCCTGGACGATGGGGTGAGATAACACGTCTTGATCTTTCGGAATATGCTGCAGATTCAGTTTCATCTTCGGCCGCAATCCATGATGTCAATATTGATGCATCACAAACACCCATGCCTACCATTCCTCTAAGAAATCGTCTACGAAATCTAGCTCGTGGAGAAGCAAATAAGAGCGATCATAAATTATTAGGTGAATGGCGCGCAACAGCAATTGCCGGCAATGATATCTCTTCTTCTTGTCTCTATACAGCTGGAATATGTGCTCAGAAAGGTTATTTCTATTCATCGATCATCTGTCTCATTTCCTTCTGTTTTTATTTCTATTTCCAGCTGGCCAATATTCGTTTATATCCTTATATCTTGTAGCATTAGTTCTTTATTTATATCGAAATATTTATTCCGAAGTTGGTCTTGCTCTTCCATTAAATGGTGGTGCATACAATGTCCTATTGAATTGTACATCAAAATTTATCGCGTCTATTGCTGCCTGTCTTACATTAGTCTCATACATTGCAACAGCAGTTGTGTCGGCGAGCTCAGCTATTGCTTACGGACAGAATCTCTGGTCCGGATTAGATCCTTCATGGGCAGTCATGGCATTATTAGGATTCTTTTGTTTGATAACTTTATTTGGTTTGAAAGAATCAGCAAATGTCGCTTTAGGGATATTCGTAATACATGTTGGTACTATGATAATCTTATTGTTAATGTGTTTGTATAAACTAGTGGAATCGTATGATTCGATAATCATGTTTAAGAAAAATTGGGCCACGAAGCCGTTAGAAAATATTCCGACTGATATTTATTATGGATTTGCATTAGCGTTGTTAGGTGTCAGTGGTTTTGAAACTTCATCGAATTATATTGAAGAACAAGGACCAGGAGTATTTCCAAAAACATTGCGAAACATGTGGTACGTTGTTTCACTATTCAATCCACGTAAGTCCATTATTCGCAAATATCCATCGTTTTCTTAATTGTTAAATCTATTTAGTATTTGCTTTGTTATCGTTATTCATCATGCCAATGGACATCATTCGTCAACATCGTGATGATCTTCTTGCTGCGATGGGCACAGCCACGAGTCAACCACCATCATCTGTTTGGTTGAATAAACTAATCTCAGCAGATGCTTTACTTGTTCTGTCTGGTTCTGTGTTAACTTCTTATGTTGGCATAACTGGTTTAATTCGTCGTATGAGTTACGATCGATGTTTACCTATGTTTTTGTCATACACAAATCCTTGGCGGAAAACGAATCATTTTATTATTATCGGTTTCTTCCTTGTGACGAGTTTTCTTCATTTTCTCGTTCGAGGAAATTTAGAAAGCCTTGCTGGAGTTTATACAATGTCATTTCTAAGTGTAATGTCATTATTTGCAATTGGAAATATGATTTTGAAATACAAACGTGGAACGTTACGTCGAACGATCTATGCATCATGGCCACACGTGATATTCGGATTCATTTTCGTTCTTGTTGGTCTCATTGGCGAAATCATATTGAATTTTCAACATATTACCTATTTTATTCTGTATTTCGGTATCACATTCCTCATTGTTATGTTGATGTTCTCAAGGAACCGTGTATTGAAAATGTTGATTTATTTTGGCGGACCGAAACGATGGAAAGATATGTTAAATCGGCAGTATAAGAAGATCGAAGATCGTCCGATGTTGTTTTTCACACGGACAGACGATCCATCAGTTCTGAATAAAGCGATTTTATACGTTCGTGAAAATGAAGTGACAAATTTTCTGAAGATTTGCCATGTTTATGAAAATGAAAATGAAATTCCATCGGGATTGGAAGCCAATGTTAAATTTCTCGATCGACAATATCCAAAAATGTGTATTGATTTGGTAAGAACACATACAAATGTCTAATATTTGTGTTATCAATGGATTTCTTGCTTTAGCTATTAGTCAAAGGCCGATTTGATCCTCCAACAGTGAAAATTCTTAGTGAACGACTAGACATTCCAACAAACTTCATGTTTATCACATGTCCAGCTGGTAACTTTTCACACCATCTCGCCGAAATGGGCGGAATAAGATTGATAACTCATTCTTAAATCGATACAATTTAACATTTGTCAGATTTTCGGAATAAATTCTTTTTCAATTAGTTCATCTGTGATTCAATTCTTTTCTTCTTAATCGTTTAGCTATTTTCATAAAAGAATTATTAAAAAAACACACATTGAAAATTCTTTTCTTTTTTTTTAAACCAAATATATCGAATCAATGAAACCTTGACCTGATGCGATGCCACCTTCGATGTTACTCGATGGTTTACTTCGTAATAAATAACCACCGGAGCGTTCGGAAACGAGTTTTCCGTTTTGAGTTATCAAACTGCCGAAAATTCCCAATTCGCTATTGATTTGTTTCTCGGTGATGCTTCCGTTCGAACAAATTAAACTTGGACGAATTGGAGGAAAAATTCGCGACATGAGGAAATAACGTTTCGAATCGTTTTTCTCGACAATTTCGTTAAGGCGTTCTCTAAACATAAACTTTAATTGAGGCGAATAAACAACAGTCGACTTTCCGTGTTACTTTAACATCCCACCGCAATACACATTACCACCTAAATTGTCAACAGAGTCAGTTGAGTCTATTTTCTAATTCGACTCACCTCCTTCTCGACTTTGCTTCAAATAGAAAGATTCCGGATGTTCTAAAATTCGCTGTTGAACCACTGCGTCATTCATCGCCTTGACAAAAATCACTCTTTCTTCTCCCCGCATGATTTTATTCATTTTACCTGTTCGATGGTGAACATTTCCTCTGTGATATCTGTGACATCATCAATAAACTCTCGTTCTTCTTTGAAAACTTCTTTGAGAAAATTCTCTTTCGTCAATGCTAATTGAAAACATTTCATTCCAGCAAGATGATATCTTAAACTCGGACATTTCACCGCACATGACGATTCCAACATGATATACGCTTGCCAAATCTAGAACATACACTTAATGATCTTCATCAATATACAATGGCTTACATCTTCGTTGTAAAAATGTTTGGGATCATAGGCTGTTCGATAGTAGACAAGTGCAACTTCGAATTTACCGCTAAATGAAGAACAAGATTCGATTTTTTCTTGGTCGAATGAAGTTGAAGCTCACAAGAAAAGAATGCCTTTAGAATTCAAAGAACAACAACGAGAAATTTCGATTAAAGTAACGTGTTTAATAAGCAAAGAAGAATGGTCACATCGAGATAGAAGACCTTGTTCAATAAGCATTTGATCACCTATATTAAATTCACGTTCGGGAATAACAAAGAGAATCATTGCTCTGAAATTGAATCGAATATAACAATGAAATCTCATTGAAGCGATACAAACTTTGGATTGCCATAGATCTTCCACGATTCAAGTAAACTTTCGATTACAAGATCATGGGATTCATTCTCGGGTAACTTCAAACACGACACGAATATTGCCAAAAGAATTTCCACGGACTTACTTGTGAGACGAAATCCGACTGAATTTTCGTGAGAAATGTCCTACAATTTCATACTTTTTTTTCTCACATAAAAAGACTTTCCTTCAAGTACTTATGCCATTCTCGCATTAATTTTGCTGCTGCTCCCAAACCAATGGCAATTGTATTGATTTCAATCAAACGAAGTTTTGTTCTTTCCGCACACCGACTCAACTCTTGTAACATATAATCCGTTCGAATGATACACGTCTCAGCAACACTCTACTATGCAATAATAAGAAGGCGAATGTACATTAAATCTCTATTTACTTGATATGGAAGTTGTTGAATATGATCATAAATCTGTCGCAAACGTTTAATGAACGGATCACAGTCAATGAACCTAAATAGATTCATAGGTGAAGTTTTGTATAAAACTTTTGAACGTTTTTCAACTTTTCAAGAACAGAATCCATCATTTGAATATCGAATGCGAGGCGATAGACGAGTCGATTGATTGCAGATTGAATTCGACATGCTCTTTCATATTCATTTCGTGGATATGGCGAAGGACAAATTGTAAATGGATATGGAATCACGTTTGAATCGTCATTCAATGCAAAACAACGTTGAACAAAACCTTGAAATCAATTTGAAATCAAAGAGATCGATGTTTTCACTAACACACTTGCCATGAGCAAAAGCCCATCGTTGACATTCACAATTTAGTTCATTTTGATCGAGATTTTTCATCCAATGCTCGACAGACATATTCGCTCCTGAAGAATCGTCGGTTCTTGTTCTGAAAAATTGTTAAGTACAAAGTTATGTTGCAGTTTTTATCTCAAATCGAGTACGTGATCACATTTGAATACTTTTATGGAACATATTCTATTCGAAAAACGAATCCTATGAATCATCGAATGTGATCGTCGAAGTTTTGTTCTTCCTCACCACTGGTGAATATCGATGGCCAACGAAAGTCAATAAACTATAGAGTACTCCTGTAGTAAATGTTTTACTTTCGTTCGTTTTTCATATGTCTGTTGGAATGACTGTTTGGATGGGCAAACATGTGCGGATTTGGACTGGCTTTAATTAAAACAGTGTAAAGATGGATGTCACATTCTGCTTTCTGTCATTTTCTACATCAATTGTTAATCATCATAAACAGACTCTGATGTTTTTCTTGGATTTTGTGCCTTGCAATTCTCAAGCCAGGCAATTTCATATGTACTACGAATTGTTGAACTGTTCTCTCATTCTATAGCCTAGAACAACTTTGTCATACTACGTTTATCTTTTTTAACAAATGTAATCTATCTACAAAGTACACAATGGGAAGTGGAAATCCTTCCAACAATAGACACGTGACCTCCTGCGGCACTGTTATGAGGAAAAGAAGTATCATATGTGAAATAATTTCAACGTCATGCCGTTAGACCATACACTTCATGATTTCTTTTTGAATCGAATGAAATGTCGTTTCACATGAAGATAAAAGTGCGAGTCATTTGCCTGCTCACTTTGATACTAAATCGATTCTTTAGAAAATCCACTTGCGTCTAATATACAAGGAAATGAACAAATACTTCTTCGAATGCGTGAGTCTGGAAATTCTTATCAGTGTACTTCTATTACTTTCGTTCGAAAGGATATCCGCCTCTTTTTATAGCAACTCTCTTTGAATAGACATGTAAAAACGTAATGATTTTTTCCTCCAAATATCATAGTTCTCGTCATTTTCTCAGGAGAACATCTGGACTTTTTAACTAAAATGACGAGTTGCATCTTGAACTTTTCGTGTCAGTTCATGTTTTTAATCATTCAGATATCGACAGACCGGCAAAACATGTTTTTTTTTAGGTTCGACTTTTCAATAATCGTTGACATCCATTGATCGAACAAGAATTCTTCATGTAAGTTTCATTTGATCAATGTTGAACGGTATCGAACGAATACAATGCAGAGAAAAGAAAGTAACGAGTTACGATGCTAAGCTTATTATAAGAGGAGACGACGATGAGTTGTGATCGTATTAAGAAAGATCATCGATATATAATTAAATGAAGAAATAGACAAACTAAAGTTCATCTGTCGAGAACAACATGTTGCATTTATGAAGAAAAGACCGCATATATTAATTCTTTCTTGAATTTTTCGTAAGAAAAAGAAATCAATGAAACCATCGGTAAGAAATTCTTTTCTTCTATCGATTAATTATTTAGAGAAAACTCGTTATTCATTGAGTATTTTTCAATAGATATTTCTTTCATTTTGACAGGAACTCTTCATGCATATATGAAGACTCTGACAAGTCTCAGTTTTGATATATTTAGGATTCAGGACGAAGTACAATGCCAAATTCTCATCAATTAACTCCTACAATGACGAATTCGGCAGTTAACGGGAATAATCCGTTGACTTTCGAGAGTATCGTTTGTTCACAATTAGAATTAAAACGACATGCAGCTTCGTTTTCTCGTCGTCGAAGTACGATGTGTCGTCGGCCGTCATTATATGCTCCTTTGCCCACACAGCCATTACCAGCGATTTTGATATCTACTACGTTGTCTCCAATGAATCCTCGAAGATCAACGGCATCTATTGCTGATTTATCTGTTCAACTTTTGAGAAGTAAAAACTTGAGTGCTGATGGAAAACGCAGTCGAGCATCTTCGATTAATTCAGCAATGGGACCAGCAATGCGAAGTAGTTTCGGCGAACGACAATCACTTGTTTCAATGTTGTATTGGAATTCATCACAAAGTACAACAATGAAAAAAGTAAAATAAAGATTTTCGAGAATCGAAAGAGACTTTCGAGATTTATTTAGGATGAATCACATACATCAAAGTGGAGCATCGATTTTCAACAGGATGGACATCATTTTGATAGTTTACGTGCACGTTTAATCGAAGAATATACAGACTGTGAATCGCTATTCGAATTTGCGAAGAAAACTGTGTTAGTACTTGTACACACGAGTACGTTCTCATTTGAAACCTCGATTTTTCCACATCAAATATTGCGTTTGTATAGAAATCGCTACGGGTTTTCTCGGCATTCTTCTCATTCTACCGATAATAATGATGAGTATCGGTAAGTTATGCATATTTCTCTAATTTTCCGAACAAATATTCAATTTGACTTTAGGTGTTAGTCATTTAAGCGATTGTCCACGACAAACACATTTGCCTATTTATTTATTTGTCGCGGGAATTGTTTGGACAACAAAACTTCTTCAAAATATTTGGCATAAATATCGTCTCCAACAAAAAGCATCGAACGATGAAGAAACGCCAACAGAACGCAATGATGGTCATGCGTTCATTGACGGTCTCATGACGTCATTTTTGATCGTTTGGTTCTTCTTAGGTCATTATTGGTTGGCGACGATTGGTTATCCACCACAATTCGAACAACCATTAGAAACACCCGATGTTTGGTGTGATAAATCCGTTGTTTTATGTTCGTTTATTTCCATCGTGATTACATACATTCTTTTAATTACATTTTTTATTCTTGTCATGTTGTTAGTTTGTTGTACTCGATATACAATTATAAAACGAGCGTCATCGAGTTGAATATTAGATATTTATGTATGATTAATAAATGGTGATCTGACACAAGGTTGAGAACTACGTCACAAATGTTATTGGAAAAAACCGAGTCTTACTGGGAATTTGCATAGGAAAAATAATGAGCTTGGTTTTTTCCTTATCTCATTCTCCTGTATATAAACACGAGTTTTGATTCAGTTCAGTCATTTTTATCAAATAAAGTTTGTTGGAATATTATTATAATAAGAATCTTAGTTGAAGGAGAAGGTAAGGCATTCAAAACTTGATTTAATTGATGTATAATCAGTAAAATATTTATTATCATCCGTCTGACTTGACACTTGATAAATACATTCAGTAATACTCTGATAAACGATATTATTTCTTCGCAGTTCACAAATATTTGTTTATCATTCGATTGTTATAAACCTGTTGATTATTCATGTTGTTTTTCTTATGGAAATAAAAGAATATTATTACATAGAATAGCTTTTTTTCCAGTTTAAACTCTGAGTGAGTCAATGATGTGTTCATTGCTTATCTACGGATTACCATGAAATAAAATAGTAAATTTTCTAGACTTTTAGCAATTCTTTTTGAACTGGGTAAAAAGATAAAGGAGAATTCTGTCGAGAGAATGTTCTAGATTTCAAAATGTGTGAACCTGTTAGACATGATTCATAGATTAGTCAGATATTAGCAATGACGTATTAGTGAGATCGGAGAGAAGGAAAAGATACGAACATTCGGTCGGAATGTCGATCCACGACAGGTTGGTTTGATTCTCTTTATCAGGTTTATTCATCTAATGAAAGAAAGAATCGAACTAAATTATCGTTTCTTTTATACGAATAATTAGTCATTATAGAACGCGCGTAGTTGGTCTGGGGAATTTTCCAAGTGAACTCTGAGTATATATAGCGATAGAAACAATCATGTATAGCTCCATTTTTATTCTTACAAAGCCGCTTTCATAGTAATTGAGTAATAACGAAACTATGTATATGTTTTCCTTTTTTTTCTCTTCTTCCTTCTATGAATTTCTACATAATACATAGATGTTTATAGACCTGTCAGTCAGTCTTACGAATACAATTCGTTGTTAGGACAGGAAAGAAGATAGATCATCGACACTGCCCTTGCCTATTCTAGTCTTGCATCATCCACTAACGTCATCATAAATTTCACAATAAGCGTGTAATAGTTTTCAAGTATAGTCTACAAATAAGAACGAAGAAGAAATTTGCTTCTTTTTCTTTGTTTGATAGATTTTTTCTGCAAGCGTCAGATTTCTTTTTTTTCTGTACTTCCTATCTTAGTTACCTTTTACGTATTCACAAATGCACAAAACGATTACACTGGGATTCTTCTCATCATTTAGCGTTTTGAAAAGACGATTCTTCTCTTTCCTAACGTGCATATGCATAATATTTGTTTTTGCCTTTCGGAGAAAACGAAATCTTTGCTGTTTCTGCGCAACCTCTTCTCATTTCTTTTTTTCACAGTCCGTATGTGTAACATGTCTACCTTCTCCTTTCCATAAAAGACCACCTTTCATTCTGTTGCACTTTATTTATTTCAGATATCTAGCGTCCACGCGTCCCCACACGTATCTTGCACTTCATATAACGCAATACAATCAAACGATGACCGGTTCATTAGCGTACAACCGTCAACATAGTTTATCAGCAGGTCATTCGAACGTCGATAAAATGGAACAACAAACACTTCGTCGGTGGTCATCGGCTGATCACTCGTATTCGTTCGATATAATATCGGAAGAAAAATTATGCATTCAACGCAATCAAACACCAAGTGATTTCGACTCTGGTGTAGAAGATTTTGATCAACAAAATGAAAATGATAACGAAACAATTAACGCTTTCGCTCCTTGCGTCGATGATGATGATGATGAAGGATCAATTCCACCCGTTTTTGTTGCTGAACAACCAATAGTGCAAGAACACCCTCCAAGTAAGTCTCATTCACTGCTGTTGTTATTTGCTGAAAAAATATGATTTGATATTCTAACACTTTCTATTCGTTTAGCCTTGATTGAACTGGCTAAACGTGTTTCAGACGTCGAAAAGAAAGAATTTTGTGAAAACACAATGGTTGTCTTTCACGGTGAATTTGCCACGTTAATTTATGAACCAATTATCAGTATCAATGGAGATTTTCGATACCATCTATTAGCTCAAGACGAAGTGAATAGTGACGCTCGTTCCTGGCGCGGTGCTGACGCGATAAAACTAGACAATGCAAAAACCCAACTTCAATGTCAAAATCCTGTTTGTCGTCGTTTATGGACATCAGCACGCGGACGAATCGCTTTCGTAGTTAGTGTTCCTCAACTTGACGGCTTCATTGTACTCAAAATCTTTGAGCAAAAGTGTAAACAATGTCACTCAGTTGCTCAACCACTGTGGTACACAGGTAAACATCTAACACAAATCATTCGTTTTTCGAAGAATTAACTTAACTTTATGTTTTTTTGTTCTAGAGGAAGTTTGTCGTGTTATGAAAAACTTATCGAATTTCATCTTTGCTCGGTATTTTCCTTCCATGGTAACCAGTGAAAATGCTCTACAAGTGAATCCACCTCGTCGTCGTCCGCAACACGATCCTCAACAACGTCCAGGAAACATGACGGCACCACACGATAGAAATCACTGTGTTGCATGTGATTTCGGTTATTGTTTTATGTGAATCAAAGTCAAACTGTCTGTAAATAACTTTGAACTGTTTAGTATTTTGCTTATTCTTCTACATATTTATCTCTGTAGTTTGTTTTTCTTTCTGTATGAGCATGGTATCTGATTATACCAAGCTGATAACATAAAATCTCTGTTTATCCGCACTTGTTTTCTAGATGTTTTAATGAAACGATGAAAGGATATTTGTTCTATAGACTCTCCGATGAAAGAAAAATTTAACAAAAAAAGGAATCATTTAGTAGTTTATTCAGAATATTTGGTAAAAAACTCGATAATCTGCTCTTTTGTTTCGTTGCCGAAAGCTTGAATAAAAGTGAGTAGATATTCTTCTTTGAGAAAAAGGCGAGTATAAAATAAAGAGAAGAAGAGTTTGTATGAAATCTTATCATTTTCATAGTTTTGGTACGTCAACTTTCGAAACCATAAATCCTGCTAAGGCAATCATTATTAATGGTGAAACATACGAAAATAACGCTAAGAATGCGACACTTAGACCAGCAGCTGGAATTGGAAGACCAACGAAATGTCCTGTAGTCGGATGAATATTGAATCGAGCTAACCGCCAAGCACCAGCAAGACTGAAAAACAAGAGGAAATCAATTGCAATAACAAAAAGTGAGAAAACGACGTACGGAAAGCTGAAAAATGCGATAATCATCAGAAATGACCATTGTGAAATCGAATAAGCCAAAATCGTTGGTGCAACTCCGAATGAAACAACGTCGGCTAGTGAATCTAATTCTGCACCAATTGGCGATGCGTATCCCAACTTTCGTGCAACACGTCCGTCAAAAAAATCAAATACAGCAGCAAGAAAGACAAATAAAGCTGCAAAACGATGAAGACCATTCATGGTCATGATTAATGAAAACAGACCACAAGCCAAATTTCCCAGTGTTAATGCGTTAGGTATAGAACGACGTATTTTATTTGCGTAATCATCCGCTAGTTTCAAATAAACACTATTCGATGTTGATCTGAATTCAGTTTCGGTTGTGTTCGACATTCCTAGTAGATTGAAATCTAAATCCACATGAAATGTTACATTTGATTGAACACAAGGTCAATGATTCATTGAGTTTAGGTAGGTTTTGGTTAATATTTTGTTTTGCTAAGAAATGGATTTAGTGTCATATATGATTGATGAAAGAGAGAAAGATTCGACCAACAATATGATTGGTTCATATCTGTGAGTGAAAATGAAATATTTTTACTCACAATTAGATTAATATCAAAACGATTCGTGTTTTCTTGAATATTTTCGTAAAATATCTGTTTTTTTCTAGATCTTCGATTGATTTAAGCGACATCTGTTGAGCCAATCGTGAGTTATAGCAAATATTTTCTTCTTTTCCTCGCCCTGCCTGTGCTACTTTCTCCAAATACCCCTGCACTGATGACACGACCACAGAAGAAGAAAAAAACGCTCGTCGGCAGCTAAACGTCTCGTCGTTTTTTTTTCTAAACAGGAAAATATGACTAGTACGTCAAAAATTGACTCAGCTCAAGCGGAAACAAACTCGCCATCAACAAATTTCTTGGCTCGATCGAAAAAATTACTACCACCACCGTTATGTTTACCGGCGACATCAACAATGACAGAAGAAGAAAAACTTCTAAATTCAACTCAACAGCGCGAACGAAAAAAATCATCAAATAATTGTTGTCTATCATCAACATCATCTGACGACTGTCCGCATCAACCGGTAACATATGTAAGTTGAACATCGAACTCTATTTTATGAAAACTATGTCTTCGGATCAGGTTCTTCCTGTTAGTCGACGTCCAGAAATATTAAAAACTTTAATTACATCGTCATCAACGTTGTTAGCACCGCCACCATCGGAAACCAAACACAAAAAGTCGTATAATGCCGCTTATGCGAATCAAATCAGTTTACTCAAGTAAAAATTGAATCAACCGAAATGATTGTATGTGAAATGCGCTTGACTCCTTTCAGACAACGTCAACCAACAACAAAACCGACGATAAATGATAGCGAATGGATTGACCTTGTGCGTTTGATTATACACAGGCCTTTGGAAGATGAATTGAAATCATTACTTGATAGATATAAAACGGTAAATCTGAACATTTGATGTTCAATGCGAATAGCTTTTTCTATGTTAGACTTATTTCGATCAAGTAAACGCACCGAATGTCTCGGATGACACGATTCGCTCAAGTTTATGTGCCATTGTAACAGAGGTATGTGAGGAAAAGACGCAAAGTTTATGTTTTGATGATATTGTATACACGGAGACTCGAGGCCCGTCGCTTCACTCTATTGAGGTTTGTAGAAAAAGAATGAGCTTTTAGTTAGGAGTTATTTCTACAAAGACAACTCAAGGTCTATCTACGACACATGTTTTTAAACATTTTCCATACATCCTTGGCATTTATTAATCGCTTTAGCATGAAGAAAAAAAAAAGAAAAAGATGAAGAAAGAAATGAACAGAGAAACAAAAGAATAGAACACCCGCGCCGGGACTCGAACCCGGACTCTTCGGATAGCTCTATTACATATAAGAAATTTAGGAGTCCGATGCCTTAATCCATTAGGCCACGCGGGCGTATCTCTTTCATACATTCAATATCTATCTTATACAGGCATTGGGAACATACTCATCTTGTTCAACACTACCAGCAACAGAGCCACTCTCACCAACAGTTGATCTAACTACAAATGTTTCTTCTCCTTCGATGATAACAGCCACTGTAAACAACGGCAGTACAAAGTAAATTTTTCATCAAATAATTCTTTATTTCGTTTAAATATTGTTCATTTCAGACGAAAGAGAAAACGTATATGTCCAAGAACATCGATATCATTACCTATATCTATCAACAATCAAACGAAATTTGTCATCAGTCATATCATTCCCGGTAAATACGAAAATACGAATGGCAATAAAAGTAACAATCATCAACAATACAAGCAATTTCAGAAGAAATACGCACACCTGTTCAAAGTTTGTTTTCTTTATCTTTTCTATTTAAACTAAGTCAGTTCTTACGTCTCTTATCGGATAGTACATCCCTGATAAAGAAGAACAAGCGTATCTTTTACGTGCAGAATATTTGAAGCCAACATCAACACGTTCGCCAACGAATCAGAATATTTGCTTAATGTTATACGATGAAGTTTTCAATTATATAGATGATTATGATCTGGAATTAAGGTAGAGAACATATTTAATCATATTCTCTGAGTTGAAAAACCAATATCTATTTCTTTTAGTGGGATATCATTGGATGAAGTGTTTACATTACCTGAATCATTTCTTGTACATATCAATTCAATGTCTCAACAATCTGCAGAATAGTTTGTTTTTATGTATTGTCCTTTGTATTTTATTTTCTCTGGTTTAAAAGTAAAAACAAACAGTGTTTTCAATTTTAGAATATAAATCCATAATGTGAAATCATCGAAAATTGTTTTTGCTTCTTTTGTAATTGTTTCAATTTCAGATAATAAAAATCATGACTTGGTTAAATGAATGGTTTAAAGAACAATTTCCATCGTATAAACTTGCCCTTAAACATGCTGATCCACGAACAAAAGATTGGTTTTTATTATGGCGTGATCCAGTTCCTGCAGTAACATTAGCTTTGATCTATTTGGCAATTGTCATCATTGGTCCACGTTATATGCGTCATCGACAACCATTTCATATTCCATCATCGATACTTTTCATTTATAACATGGCTTTGGTCGTTCTTTCAGCTTATATGGTCGAAGAAGTAAGTCAACTTCACAACTTTCTTTCTTTAGTCATTTTCATATGTATTTCTTCTCGAAAAGCTTGTTGTTGGTCTTTATCTTCGTAAATATAATCTTTTTTGTCAAAGAATGGTTGTTACAACGGATAAAAATGAAATGAAAATAACCAATGCATTGTGGTTTTATTTTTTCTCCAAAGCGATTGAATTTATGGATACAATATTTATGGTTGTTCGAAAACGATTCACACAAATTACATTTCTTCATGTCTTTCATCATTCAACAATGTTAATTATTTGGTGGATTGTAATGACATGGATTCCCGTAAGACAATTCACATCTTTATTGATAGAAATCATTTCCATTTTCATTCAAGGGTGGACAAGCATGGTTAGGACCAGTTTTAAATTCAACTGTTCATGTATTTATGTATGCGTATTATGGTTTATCTGTTATTCCTTCATTACGTGATAAACTCTGGTGGAAACGATATATCACCATGTTTCAATTGGTAAAATCATTCTCGTCATGTGTTTATTTATTCTTTCTTTCCTTCTTTAGATTCAATTCGTACTTATATTTACTCATACGTTCACTGGTCTTTTACGTGGTTGTGATTATCCACGATGGTATAACAAATCTGTTCATCATCATCATCATTTGTTTATTTCTTTCTTTCTTTTTCTCCAGGGGTCAAATTATGTTGAGTACTTATATGATAATCATGTTACTTCTTTTTACAAATTTTTATATTCATGAATATGTGACAAGAAGTAATGATGTTAAACGTCGAAAACTTAAAACAAATCAAATCAATCAATCAACTGATGATCAATCAACAAATAAATCATCAAAACAAAATGGTGTTACAAAGAAACATCATTAAAATATGAACTTTATCGAACTTTCTTCATGTTTGTTTCGTCGTATTTTTAGGCAATTTGCTTCTTTTCCACTCTAGTCATTTAGTTTTCATCAGAGAAGAAAAGCAAGTTTATTTATTTTGTATCTTGTCTCGCGTAAGACAAAAAATCTTTATCTACCTGAAAAGATCCTCCGCTAACAATATCGTTCTTCTGAAAAATAAAAAAAGTTGCTTTTCATCTTGAAAAGATGCACTAATTTTTCCTCTTTCAAAAACATCTATTTACTCACAAACACATAAATCAATTACTTCAAACAGCTACCACAGTCGTCGAAGTTTTTCATAACTTTTCAAAATCTCTGATATTCTTGCGTATGTCCTTAAAGAGTGCTGAACTGCGATAATCGGCGATATCTTATTTCATTTCTAAAACAACACATAAATACGAAGCTTTATACTATTTGATTTGACTGAAGTTTCTGCAAAAGCTCATCTCCGAGACGTAATTTTCGTTTTTCTCAGAACATGGATTGTTAGTGAAGATAGATTCTGCAACTTGGCCAATATTTGTGAACAGCTTTCAGTTATATTTTTATTCGAAAGGCATAAACGAGATAAAACTTAGGATGTACCACTTGTTTGGTAATCAAATTGTGAACTGATGAAGATGGAATATTGTCTCGTTAAATCATCGCTTTTTTGACATTTATATTACAACATCTATAAGAAAAAAAGCAACAATGCCTAATTTCAGAAATTGTCTTCGATTAAAATCTACGTTCTAACACAAACTATTCTGAGTGAGATGTGTTTCTGAAAGAGCAGACTCCTTCAACTATTTTGCTGTTACAAGGAAAAGATGAACTAAACCTTTCGATGTTCTTTTAGATCATTTTGTTCGTTTTCTTTTATTCAATAAAATCTCTCTTTCTAAATCTAACATTCAATCCATAACAAATGGCTTCAAATAAAAGAAAAGATATAATTCAGGATGATAGTGATAAATTAGTTATTCGTCCTTTGTAAGTCAAATAACAAAACATCTCATCCATCTCGAAATACATTTTTCCATCATTAGGGGCGCAGGACAAGAAGTCGGTCGATCTTGTATCTATTTAGAATTCAAAGGCAAAAAAATACTTGTGAGTCATTTATCAAATTCTATTTTTCTCATTGAGATTATTCTTCTTTTTTCGATTAGCTTGATTTTGGAATTCATCCAGGTTTATCTGGTCGTGCAGCACTTCCCTTTATTGATAATATCGATCCAGAAGAACTCGATCTATTACTTGTTAGTCAGTGAGTATTTACTCTTCTTTGGAAAATCACATTTTCTTCATCTATGATTTAGTTTTCATCTGGATCATTGTGGTGCTCTGCCATGGTTTTTAAACAAAACTAATTTCAAAGGTCGATGTTATATGACTCATGCAACAAAAGCGATCTACAAATGGCTCTTAGCCGATTGTATTCGTGTCAGGTAAATCGTTCATGATGAAACTTTGTTCGTTTTATTTCTCTTATTGACTGGATATTTCTTTAGTAATGTAAGTGCAGAAGAAATGCTCTACACAGAAGCAGAACTCAATGCCAGTATGTCACATATTGAAACAATCAACTTTCATCAAGTATGACTCTTTCGATGTACAAATGCATCGAATGAAAGACTCATTTGTTTTCTTCATAGGAAATCGAAGTGAATGGAATCAAATTTTGGTGTTATCACGCAGGACATGTGTTAGGTGCTGCAATGTTTATGATCGAAATTGCAGGTGTTAAAGTGAGTTCACTAATAAAATCAGNAACTCAATGCCAGTATGTCACATATTGAAACAATCAACTTTCATCAAGTATGACTCTTTCGATGTACAAATGCATCGAATGAAAGACTCATTTGTTTTCTTCATAGGAAATCGAAGTGAATGGAATCAAATTTTGGTGTTATCACGCAGGACATGTGTTAGGTGCTGCAATGTTTATGATCGAAATTGCAGGTGTTAAAGTGAGTTCACTAATAAAATCAGCGGTGGAAACGAATAGTTCGTCTTAGATTTTATACACAGGAGACTTTTCTCGACAAGAAGATCGACATTTAATGGCAGCAGAAGTTCCAAATCTTCGACCAGACGTACTTGTTATTGTGAGAAATTAATTTACTTTTCATTTCATGTCGATTGGTGGTCAAATTTAGGAAGCCACCCATGGCATTCATGTTCACGAACCTCGGGAACAACGCGAAAATCGTTTCACACGTCTTGTTCATGACATTGTCACAAGAGGTGGCCGATGTCTTATCCCTGTATCTGCTCTTGGTCGTGTGCAAGAACTTCTTCTTATTCTTGGTAAAACTTATTTGTAACGAATCTCTATTGACTTTTCTTTTGTATTCTTTGATAGGCGAATACTGGGCCTCACATCCTGAACTTCATGATTTTCCAATTTACTATGCGTCATCATTAGCAAAGAAATGTATGTCTGTCTATCAGACGTATATTGATGCAATGAATGATCGAATTCGTAAACAAAGTGCAGTTTCGAATCCATTCAAATTCAAACACATTGCCAGTTTAAAAGTAAACTATTGACATATCTCCTATTCTGGTTATTTTTCCATTTGTTTAAGGCAATTGGTGATTTTAAGCATATTGGCCCTTGTGTTGTGCTGACTACTTCAGGAATGATGCAAAGTGGTCTCAGTCGTGAATTATTCGAATGCTGGTGTACAGATGAACGAAGCGGAGTTATCATTACTGGTCATGCTGCTGAAGGAACACTTGCTAAAGTATGACACATCTGAATATATTATGTTTGCAAATGATCTTCTCTAGATGGTTCTATCTAAGCCAGAAGAAATTACGACAAAAGATGGAAAAAAAGTGCCACTGAAATGTTCAGCAGAGTCGATCTCGTTTTCTGCCCATACGGACTGCAACCAAACAACCGATTTTATTCGAGAACTTCGACCACCACATGTGGTATGATTTCGATTGCGAAATAGAATGAAATACTGTTTGTCTATTTTGTTTTGTGTTAGATACTCGTTCATGGTGAAAGTACAAAAATGCATCAATTACGTTTGCATTTGATTCAAACATTCGAAGATGATCCGGAATGTAAACTGTTGGTTTACACACCCAAAAACACTCAGTCAGTGGAGTTACGGTTTCGTGGTGAGAAAACGGCCAAAGTGGTTGGCCAATTAGCTGCAGAGAAACCCGTCGAAGGAAATATTCTTAGTGGAATTCTCGTTCGAAGAAACTTCAAGTTACATATGATGGCACCTGAAGATCTACAAAGTAACAGATGAAAATGATGACAAAAACAAAAAAGATTCCAAATCTACGTTTCAGATTTCACGACTTTGACGCGATCGACTGTGACACAACATCTTGGTATTCCATTTACTGCAGCACCCAGGTAACGATTACAAAGGATTATTTTTCATGATGTTCATTGGATTTCAAACAGATCATTATTTCGGAACTTATCACAAGTGGCTGGTGAATTAGAACAAGTAGGTGATAAACAAAAGCCTGGCATTCGAGTATTTGGTGCCATCAATATCTTTCTTGAAAACAAAATGATCGTTCTCGAAGTAAATTCTCGATTGAATGTTGTCTTGTCATATTTGATCTGATTTT